TTGAAATTCCTTCGCTCGTTAAGTTTTCCTCATTTTCGAAACAATCTGATTTTCGGGTTTCTGAATTCTTTTACCAAAAAATTTTATTTTTGGAATCCAATTGTTTCATCCAAACTCATTCTGTAACTTTGCACCCAATATTTCTAGACATCTCTATAATTCATTTCAACACCACGAAAACTTAATAACTTCCATCGTCAAAGTTCTCAATTTTCAGAAATTCTATCTCTTTTTTTGCGAAAGTTCTTGCTCATTGTCAGCCTAACCTTTCTCATCACCACTAACTCTCTAAGCAATTATAAATTCCTGAATTAATTTTCAGAGTTCTTCTCATTTTTTCATATATTCTAGTTTACTTATTTTCAATTTTTTTTGCAAAAAAAAAACAGAAAGAGTAAATCTTTTGATTTTTTGGACAATGTATTCTAAGATGTTCAAAAATTCATAACCCAATAATTGTTTGGGCTGAATATGAAAATGAATACGAATATGAATATGAATATCTTGCCAACCATCATTCGAAATTTGATATATTTGTCGAGTGTTTTTTGCACTCAATTTGGAAATGACGTTTTATTCATGCTTCACAATGTTTTATGTTTTTTTCCCAATTTTTTGCGGTCTTTTTGTCCCACCGCTAGAATGATTTGGCCTTTGTCTTCATCTTCTTCATTTTGTCGTTTAGCCATTTTTCGCTTTTGGTCGTGAACATGATGTTTCTGCCCTTTGCAATATTTACATACATATACATCTGTTCTCTTTTTTTTTTGCTTTGCCCCAGCTTCATACACGTAGATATATATTTTTGGAAGACGCCAAATATTGTCAAGGGAAAAGTAAGAACGAAATTGCAGATGCTCTTTTTTTTTCGAAAATGCCGAGATATTGTTGTTTTTCTGTTTGTTTCATTTTCAGAACAATGCATGTGTATATTTTGAATTTATCTGATTTTTGACACTTGCTTTTGGCTTTTAACAAGAGGCTACATTTCAAAACTGCCTCAAATTCTGATAACTTTTTTCCTTAAAACAATTCACATTTTCATTATTGAATGTATTCAGAAATTACATCGAAATGAATTGATACAAAAAAGATTGCTGTAACACAGCAACCTCTTTTGCATTTATTCTTTATTTTTATTTTTTTTTAATTGTGGGGACCCTATTGGAACAATTTCAAACACTTTTTTTCGCTCTTATATTTTTCATATGATTACCGCTTTCCAACAATGCATGTCGCTATGTTTTGCATGCAAAAGGGGCGGGGCTTACTTTATGCATGCAGAAAGGCCGGTTCAATTACCCAAGTTTGAGGTAAACGCGCGCGGTTTTGATTATTTACTGTTCATTTCTTGATAAAATGATTAGTTAGGAGTGTATAAGAGTAGAATTGCAGAAATTTTGGCGTGAGAATTGTTTGGCGTAAAAATTTTTGAGGTGAAAATGTTTCAAGAGAAATTTTTTTGTAATTTAATAGTTTTCAAAATGTAGCCTTATCAAAATGAAAAACAATGTGTCAAAAATCAGATAAATTCAAAAAGCATTGTTGTTTTCACGAATAAACTAACCTGTATGAACCAAGACTGAATCAAAGATTATATGCACACATATCCTAGCAGAAAAAAAATCCCCGCCAAGAAAAGGGCTAATCCGATTTTTCTCTTTTTTTCTCTTGCTATTTTTCTCCTTATTCTTCTTTTTTCCGTACTTCCATATCCATATTTGTATCAGGCAACATTTTGTTAAAACAAATCAAACAAAACAAATTTTACTAGAACTCCTAATAACATGCCCTTTTTAGCTCAACCAGCTGCACATTTTGTGTTTGTGTGTGTCCAAGTCTGTGTGTGTGTGTGTGTGTGTGTGTGTGTGATAATCAAATTTTTGGCGGGAAGAAGACAAACTTTAGCAAAGCTGGAGAAAGGGGACAACGTTTTTCTCTGAATCTTGAGGCATATTGAATTGGATAAGCGTTTTCTCCATCTTTCTTCTGACCCTCTCTTTCTCTTTTTTTTCCTTTTTCCATATATTTCGTTTTGCTTCCCGAGAGCAGGCTCGAGCTCCGAGTTGAGTTGAGTTACTTGCTAATTGTCAACGTTTTTTCTTTCTTCGTTTTCTTTTTTTTCGGCATTTTCTGTTTTTTCTTAGAAGAAGAAGAGGTCTTTGTGAATTACGGATTTTTGATCCTTTTGAAACAGGTGCAATTGAATTATTTCAGCTGTTCGGGTTACAGTAGTTTACTAATCTTTTTATAAAGTTTTTTCAGTGTTCAGTTTCATAAGTTTATCACATTTGTTCTATTAGAGCATATGAAAATGTGATGTTTGTGAAAACGAAAAATTTCATGAAACATTTTTGACCTATTGTGAGTAAACCTTGTCGGCTCTTTTTATCTTTCAAATTCAAGAATGAAATGTTTGATGTTCTAGCCCATATTATTTCTCTTATCGTTAGGATAAATATTTTCCAAAAATCTTCCATAAATTCCGAATTATAAAAAGGTTAAAACCAGGCTTGAGTATATGAACTTGTGATGTTTGTCGAATGATTTCACTTGACTCAAAATGTCAACTCGAATCATCCAGAAATTCGAAACCCCATTCAAATAGTTCAAATAGGAACACTTTCACAAATTATTTTCATTTTTCTTTTTAACTTGGAAGTTTTTTTTGTTTCTATCGCTTGAAAATAAAACATGAAGGAAGTTTTTTTGAAAGTTTAATGAGACCGAATTGATTCACTTCCGATAGACTTGATTTCATCATAAAAAGTGCAATCTGCAAAAAATATCTTCATGAATCACAACTGATTGAAAAATCCCTGAATAGACATTTTTCCGTATTCGATTTTTGTTCTTTTTGAAGAAGCCGAAAAAAGAGGAAATAAATTCGTATTTCTTACCCAAACTCATCTTTGAGAACAACCAAAACTCACTCTTCCTTCCAAAATTTATTAGGTCGTGCTCCTTTTTTGTGTCGTGGACCTTTTCCAATTTGCATATTAATTGGTTTTTTTCCTTGTTTTGTCTTGTCTTGTATTTTATTTTATTTTATCTCCTTTCTAGCCCACCCCTTTTTATTTGTTTCCTGGTTTCCGAAAACAATTTTTTTCTGATTTTAATTTTGCTAAAACGTGTATAAACTGATTATTTTCAGGCAGGGTTTCGAAATGAAATGCACTATCCAATTTTCTGGCTTCAGGCTTCAATGACATAAATGAGATTGATAGATAATCCAATCAGAAATGTTAATCCGGTGAGATGAATTCACATCAGTTCTGCAATTTTTTCTATTCATAGATATGTGTTCATTGTTGAACATTTATTTCACACCAATGATATTCATTTTTGAAAAAAATCTATGGGAAAAGTCTAGTGACACCCTCACATTTGTCATTTAACGTAGCTTAGTAACGTTTCATATTTTCCACAAGTTTCGCTTAAAGAAAATTTCTGCTAATATAACTATGAATTTTTTATTGAAAATTGTCTGAAAGTGAAAAGCTCATCTGAAAAGTGAGATTATTTTCAGAGAATTTGTGAGTAGTTGCAGTTTTTTTTAGTAATTTTTGAGAAATGTAGGGACTGAAGTTTGCTTCAGAAAATTCAGAACTCTAATTATTTCGAAGAATTCTCTGAATTCAAATTGATGTGGATATTTTTGAGCTTCAAAATTTTGAATTTTTTGTTAAGAAAAAATTAGGGTTGGAGCTTTTTTGAAAAGAAATCCCAACTCAGAAAATTTTTCATTTCAATATGAACAGACTCAGTTACAAACTGTACAACTTCTGAAATTTTAAACAAAAAAATCTATGATGATTTTGAAAATGCACAATTTTACGCCCCTATGAATTTAACTATAAGAATCCAATAAAAACGACCTGAGTCCACATTTCACTAGTAAGCTCAAGCTCAATCCCCAAGAGCATCATTCACGTTGCGATGAAAAATAATGAAAACATGTGAAGCGGCAGTCAATTCTCATAAAATAATTAGTTGCCAAGTACGTAGAAGTTATTAGAGATAGCTTGAAAAAAGTGAGGAGAAATAAGTGGAGGGAGAAAAAATAAGGCTATATATGAGCAACAACGTCGTCAACTCATCCATCCATCTATCCATCCATCTTTCTTCTATCCATCTAGTCAACCAACCATCTCCTTCATATATCCATTTATTCTTCATTCATTTGTTCGTTTTTTCTTCTTTTTTGCTCTCAACCTTGTGTTATTATATTTCTTTTTATTTGATTTCTAGTTCTTTTATTTTTATGCATCTGATTCAGATTGGTTTTTGATGGCTTACCAAATTCTTTGGAGCAATTTTTTTTCATTTTATGGGTCCTTTTTGGAATCCATAAAATTCATTGAAAAATTTACGATCAGTGATTTCATTGTTTTGTTGAACAAGAAAACAAGGAAAAATCTTGACTCCAAACCCATTTATGTATGTATTTTCCCATTACTTTTTGCAATTCGATTTTTCTCAGATTTCTCTTTTCCAACTCTACTCTACTCACTTTTTCCTTGCTTTCACAGCACCACGTCTTATTTTTTTCTAATTTGGTGTTTCGCATACACTTGAGCATTTTGATTAGACATTTCAAGTGTGTATGTTTTTTCTTTTTCGTATTTTTTTTTGCTTCATTCAAGGAAATTGAAATGAAATGCGTTGCTCCTCTCCGGGAAATTGAATGGATGCAAAAAAAAAAAGTCAAGTGAGAAGATTTCTTTTTTTGACTCGGAACTCTTTTCTTTATTCACTTTTTGAGTGTTGAAGTGAGTGATCAATCTCACACCCACGTCACACACACAAAAACGAGCGGGTTTCTTTTTCGGACGTTTTCTCACCTTTTTCTTAATATTTAATGTATGTCCGCCTTTTACGTTTTTTTTTTGAAACGAAATCTTTTTCTATTTTGAGCTCTCATTCCTCCCACTCGTTTTTTGATGTGATTTTTTTCCAGAAAATAATTATATCCTCTTTTATATCACGTCTTCTTCATCATGGACGATCCGTCTATGATGCCGGATTTGTCACATCTGTCCGCCGAAGAACGTGAGATTATTGAGCAGGTTTTCAAACGACAAAGGGATGAGGAAGCCAAAGAGACACAATTATCACAGTTAGTTTTTTCTGAAATTTTAGAGAAATTTTAACTTTGCATTACCTGTTAAAAAAATTCATAAAATCTGTTCACCTACCCTTCATTTTCCAGAAAAGCATCAGAAGAATTAACCGAGCTCGATAAACAAATCAACGATCGAAAAGAAATATCAAAAAAGTTGATCGGCACCCAAGACGATGCAATTTGTCAGATTTGTCAAAAGACAAAATTCGCTGATGGTATAGGTCACAAATGTTTTTATTGTCAACTTCGAAGTTGCGCGCGCTGTGGTGGCCGTGCACAATCGAAGAATAAAGCGATTTGGGCTTGTTCACTTTGTCAGAAACGTCAGCAAATTTTGGCAAAAACGGGAAAATGGTTTCAACCTGAAGAACCGGTTCAGCCGAAAATCAGTGTTTCCGGACCGACGCCTACACAAGGTGGCATGGATTCGCCATCGATGATGAGTTTGTCGAATTCACAAACTGGCATGAATAATGGTTCACCGATGCCGCAAGGTCAAAGACAAGCTGAGCCTCCGGATAAAATGTATCAACAAGGTGGGAATGGGCCTATGAATGGGCCAATGAATGGGCCGATGAATCAAGGGCCTATGAATCAAGGTCCGATGAATCAGCAAGGCCCGATGAACCAGCAAGGCCCCATGAACCAGCAAGGCCCAATGAATCAACAAGGCCCGATGAATCAGCAAGGCCCAATGAATCAAGGACCTATGAATCAGCAAGGCCCGATGAACCAGCAAGGCCCGATGAACCAGCAACAAAATCCCGCGAATCGTCGACAGCAAAATCAAATGCCGAATCAAAACCAGCAACAAGCTCAAAAGCAATTTCGAAATCAACAGCAATCCTCATTCCAGGTTGGTATTTATTTATTTTTTGAAATCTGATACGTTTTGAACTCATAACTCATTTTTTTTCTCGTCCACTTTTTTTCCTACAAAGGGATTAGCTAGTTTTTGCACTTTTTGAGCGCCTGAGAATTTTCCGGCTCAGACTTGGAAGAAGTCTGAATTTTTCATGATTTTAAGAAAAAACGAATTTACATAAATTCAGGGACCTAAAAGTCTATTCAGATCAATTTTTGTGAGTTGTACATAGAAAATGAAAATGTTACCCACTTCTATATGTATTTTCTCTCTATTTCTCTATTCCTCTTTCTCTCTCTCTCTCTTTCAAATAATGACGACTACGACATCAATAAATTGCCCGTTTCCGCTATAAGATGTTGTAACTCACCCCTTTGGAAGCTTGTTATGTATACATACTGCAAAACTAATAGGGGTTTTTTTCTAGCAGCAGCAGCAACAAAATCAGCCACAGTCTTCTTCTCGAGGTGGTATGAATATGCAGCAGCAACAGCAACAGCAGCAGCAGCAGCAGAATATGCGACCGCAGAATCAACAAAATCAGAACCAGGGAATGATGAATCAGGGATTCAATAATCAACAAAACCAAAATTATGGACCAAATAATCAATACCAAAATCAGAATATGAACCAGAATCCAAATCCAAACATGAGCAATCAAATGCATAATCAGAATCATCACCAGAACCAAAATCAGAATCAAAATTTGAATCAAGGACAGCATAATAATTTCCAACAAAATTCACAATTCCAGAATCAAAATCAGCAACAAAATCAATTTCGTAAGTCCCTAGGCCTAGCAAAAAACAAAAGTAAATTACTTTTTGTTTCAGAAACTGGCGAGAGCAGCAATATCTACAAACAGCCATCATTAGAGGTTAGCTAATGGACTTTTCCTTTTCTTTTCCCCCGTTTTTTTCCTGAACTACTTAACTTTTTTTCCGCTATTCACATCAGTTAGAAAAAAGTAACCCATGTGGAAGATTTTGGCAACAAAAAAAAGTTCCAATTTAAATTACGTTCCACTTCTTCTTTTTTTTTTGATTACTTTTTTCAATCTCATTTTTTTTCAGAGGACTGCTTCACAAGGAAATTACAATCAACAACAAGACATGCAACAACGGTATGTTTTAGAATTTTTTGTTGGAGATTTTCTGATTTTTTTAGACCGACTTTCTACACTGGAAATTCTTGCAATGATCCAAACAGCTTCAATCAACAAGATCAATCAATGAATCGCAAAAATCGTGGAAATCGAGTGACAGAGGAAGATTATGCAACTTCTGCTAACTTTGAATCGAAAAAACGTAATTTTTTAAAAGGGACCTTTGGTTTGAAGTTTCTGGTACTGAAAATTCACATTACAATCCCAAATTTTCTGAAGACTTCAAATAATGTTTTACCATCAAATCATATGAAATTTATCTTGTTTCAGAATTAGGCCTTTGAAAATTAAAAAAAATTCAATAATCTTTCTTCATTTTCAGACCGGAATCATAATTCGCAAAATCCACAACAGCAACAACCAAATATGAATTCTCAAGGTGTTCGAGCCTGTCCACCAAACGATGATCATCTAAATAGGGTTAAAAATCGATTGCATCGGTAAGTTCCCTCTTAAATTTCATCAATTCTTGTTTCAAATTCTGACATACATAAAACCATAAAAAGTTCCCCCTTTCTTTCAAGAAAATAAAACCAACTAGTCTTTCAAGAAGCAGAAAAAAAACATCATTTTCATTTTACAGACGAACATAAAGCTAAAAATAAAATATTTCTCATTTCATATTCTGCCTTTTTTCCTCCAGCTCCATCCAATGCGGAGCCAAAAAGAAAGAAAAAAGAAAAAAGAGCTCTTTGCCATCGCGAACCAATTAACTAATGTAAATAAAATTAGTATTCCTCTTCGATCTCTCAATTTCATTCATTCATTCATCCTTTTTTGGTCCTCGTGTTTTTTATGACCTCACATTTTTTTAGACAACTTCGTTCAATGTCATCATCTGAAGAGGATATAATGGCTGGAGGTGGTGGATCGACACTGAAAATGTCAACATCAGCAGTTGTGGCAGCGGGAAACAAAACGTCATTTCACGATGAAATGGGTGCTTCAAATGTTCAACGACTTTCTGAAGAATGTAATTCTGAGAAGGGTTTGTGTATGTCAAAAATGCGGGCAAAAGTGTTAACCTTTGATTCATTTTCTAGATCTTCTTCGATACATCTATGGAGATTGCAAAAATCCCGACCAAGCTCAAAATCCTCTCAAAAGTGAGTTGTGAGAAAATGGCATTTTTTTTTGCAACTGGGTGCGGTGTTATATTTCATTTCGTTAATTCAATTCATTTAGATATGCAACCAAATCGTCGACGTGAAAAATCATTGTCTGTTTCACCTTCTCGAAATCACGATGCCTTTGGGTCCGGAAGTATATCTGGTGGTGATCTGCTAGCATCAAGAATCCGAACTTTTCTATCGGTATTATCTATTCTTTCTAATTGTGTTTGTGAACTTACAATTTTATAGCATCCGGTGACTTGGCAACCATCAGCAGATCAAAAACGTCTAATCGGTCATATGATTCTACACCGCACTGAAAATAGTTTATCAAATGGTGATTTAGGTTTGAAAATTGTTGGTGGAAGAAGAACAGATACTGGTAAACTTGGCGCTTTTGTGACACAGGTCAAGCCAGGAAGTGTTGCTGACACAATCGGAAGATTGAGACCAGGTATATTTCAATTCAAAATTTTGGACCGTACAATTAATTTATAATATTCAGGCGACGAGGTTGTTGAGTGGAATGGGCAATCTTTGCAAAATGCAACCTATGAACAAGTTTATGATAGCATTGCAGCTTCAAGATATGATACTCAAGTTGAATTGATTGTTTCGAGAAGTGCTATGTGAGTTTGAAAAAAGAAACATCTAATTTGAATTTAATATTGTTTAGTTTGCCTGGTGGAGATGATTTTTTGAATATGACACAAGCACAATCATCCTTATACTACCATCAACCAAAATCTGCAACATCTTCTTCACATCATCAACGACAACTTCCAAACCCTGAACTATTTATTAGTTCGACAGGAGGTCTTACACAGAAGGAGCAACAATTGTTGTCACATTCACAATCCGCAGTTTTTGCGCCAAACAACGCGTTAACATCAAGAAATCGGTCAACATCAAGTTATTATTATCCAGATACAGCAGCCGATCTTGGTATTCCGTCACTTCATGCAGCACAATCACAACAAACATTTGGAACGGGTCATATATTCGGTCGTATTGAAGTGTCATTTGTTTATTCTCATCATGATCGACAATTATCGGTAGCCTTGGAACGGGCATATGATCTACCGCCACGTCCAGATGGAACACCAAGAAATCCATATGTCAAAATATTTTTGTTACCTGATAGAAGCGAGAAATCAAGAAGACAATCAGCGGTGATTGCTGAAACTGTCATGCCGGTTTGGAATGAAGTTTTTTATTATAATGGGCTCACTGAGCCAATGATTTTGCAGCGGGTATTGGAGGTAAATATTTATAGGAAATGTGAAAATAAAATTGATAATTGCAGATGACTGTTTGGGATTATGATAAATTTGGAACAAATAGTTTTCTCGGTGAAACACTTATTGATCTTGCCAGCGTTCCTTTAGACGGTGAACATTCTTTGATGTGCACACTTGTTGATATGGATGATGATAATCCATTGAGAACTCGGCTGAAGCTAAGAAAATCTTCATATCATCAACCAATTCGACGACCTCAATCTGAATTGAATTATTATGATCATTCACCATATTACAATAATGTTGGTGGAAGTGGTTTAGACAACGAGGAAAACGATGAATATTTGGATGACGATGATTTAGAAAATGATATTGATCTAGCAACAGGAAGTGTGCTTCGGAAATCGAGAGGTTATGATAGACAGAGACGTGATAAATCACATGGATATGCTGATTGGTCAATGAATCATCAACGACAATCAGGATCTGGTTATTTATCTGATCATGGATATGGAAGGCATAATATGATTTCTCGAACTTTCAATCGACGACAACATCGGAGGCCAAGAAGTGCCACTGCCTTGATGCATAGTGATGTTCGAGATGGTAGAAGTGAGTTCTGTGACATGGGAAATCAATAATTTTTTTTGTTTTTTCAGTGGGACAAGATGATCGATATGATCATCGAAAATATTCTGATCGTGGTGAAGAAGACGACTATGCAATCAAGTAAGTAGTCATGTTTCCAGTTCTGTTTTTCAAAATCAAAAAAAATATTTTTAGCGGTCCACAAGGTTCACAATACTATGGCGGAGAGAATAGTATCTACGAGGATTCACGATATAAAATAACTCAACCGCATCTCCCGCAACATATGCACAATCACACACAAGGGCATAATCATAATAATCATTCTGGACAATTACAACAACATCCAGCAAACCAGCAACAACATCCACAACAAAATCCTCAACAACAAAATCAGCAGCCACAACAACCAAATGTTCAGAGTGCACATCATTTACCAGTTCAGCCTGGCGGTCAACCACAACAAGGTTATTATAGTGATGGAAGTGAAACGATGAGTGTGCATTCTTGTAATAGTATGCCGATGATAACGTGAGTTAGGAAGGGTTAATCTGATTCTGAGGATATATGTAGTTTGGGCATTTGAGCTCCCAATTAGGTTGAGCTTTTAGGCCGTTTGTTTTCTAAAGTATCTCATGATCAGAACATCTTAAAAATATTAATTTTATATTTAAGCTTCATCAAAAATAACATCTCAACCAGAAATAGATTCGCACTATTTTCATTTGAACTTAGGAAAACTCTTCCTATCAACCAAACCTTATCATTGCAGAACAATAAACCGGCGAAATCTGATACAAAACTCAAATGCAAGCGAAAACAATTCATATGAAGATGGAAATCGGGTCACCATCAAAGAAGCAAAACAATCATCAAATGCTAGTTCGAGCTCATTAGGAAATAGTCAAACGGCATCAAATACAAATTCGGCTGGACCGATGAAAGAACGAAAGAAAAGTTTGATGACTCGATTTATTCCTGGGAGAAATGCTGGTGGATCAGAAGGCAAACGAACTGGATTTGCGAGATCTGAAGAAGTTGGAATACCAGGAAATTTATCTTCCGATCGTCTTGTCGAACCAACACCTCCATTTCTGAAACAAGCCAGTAAAGAGAGTACTGATTCAGCACATTCTGATAAGTGAGTTTATTTATTGGTATTCTATCTATCTTTCTTTCATTCTTTCTTACTGTACTTATAGTCAGCTTCTTCTACTTCTTTTCAATTCAATTGTAAACATTTTAACTGTATTTTTGTAATGAAAATTATTGAACAAAAAAGTTGATTTGAATACATTGTAAATTTCACTGTAAAGTAAAGCATTTTCAAATTTAAGCTGGTTGCCAATTCTTGCCGATGGACCACTTGGAACATTTGTTGATAATTTGGGACCAGGTCAAGTTGTTGGACGACAAGTATTAGCCTCACCTGTGCTCGGAGAAATACAAATAGGCCTAATGGCTGGTAGAAGTGGAATAGATGTAGAAATTATTCGCGCCAAAAATCTTGTTGTGAAACCCGGTGTGAAAATTTGTCCAGGTTTGAGTTTTCTCCTTGTTTTTTTTTGCATATGGTTTGAAATTAAGTTCGTTATGTTTCAGCTCCCTATGTTAAAGTATATCTTATGGAAGGAAAACAATGTGTTGCAAAAGCGAAAACGAATGCGGCGAATAAAACAACTTGTCCATTATTCCAACAACATCTAATATTCAATGATAATCCGAAGAAAAAAATGTTGCAGGTAAGGAAAGAGTTGGATTACACAAACAAATGTGTGTTTTGGTTTTGGAACATTTGCTCTGTTTGAGTATAAAGAAGGGATGTTTAGTCTGAAATAATAGAAACCCGCCGCTAAAAATTCAAAAAGTTTTATAAACTTCATTTTGTGAATCTTCTTCGCAGGAGCCTTGAAATTTCTAGAACGTTGCAGTATTTTTTTTAAAATAAATTCCCTATTTATTTTCCAAAATCCTAGATTTCCGAAAAGAACTTTCCAAAACACATTCACTTCAAAAATCCACAATTCCAATTTTAGGTAACAGTCCTTGGTGATTACGGTCGTATGGAGCGAAAAGTGTTCATGGGAATATCTCAAATCCGTCTCGATGATCTCGAACTTGGTTCTCAACCCCTTATTGGCTGGTATAAATTATTCCATAGCTCATCTTTAGCTGGAACCGGACCAGTTAGAAAAGATTCCGACGTATCAGTTGGCGGTGCTCAACAATAAATTTGATTTGAGTTTTTGTTTTGTTTTAATTTTAATTAATTAATTTATTCATTTTTCTTGATAATTTATTAACTTTATCATTTTTCGAACAAAAATATTGTCTTTTTCATGATATATGGGTAATTTTTAACGTAACAAATTTATTGAAAGAGTAGATTATTTATTGCAATTTTTTGAATGAATGTTTTGATTTTTGTTCAAATTTTTTTGAAAAAAGTGCTAACATGAATAAGAACACATTTTTGAACGCCACAACATTTCATTCAACCAAAATTAGAAGACAATTTGCTTCAAATTCACAAACAGCATTTTCCCAATCCGTAAATTTTTCAGCATGAATATAAAGTTTTCTTACTTCAAGATTAGGTTAGTTTTTTTTTCCCAAGAAGGTTTTCTCAAACCTTCATCTCAAATTAGTCGAAAACATTGATATTTTTACACACATTTCTGATTTTTGTAGGTGAAAATTTGAAAATTTGTGGGATGTTTGAAAACGACCATGGGAAAAATGTTGCGAAAAAAATCTCGAATCTTCATCTAAAATTAGGCCAGTAAAAAAACTGAAATAACTTACATCGTTTCCTTTTTTGTGTTCTTATCGCAGCCAAAAGTTTTTCGATAACCTCATTTACTGTCATTTTGAGATCGAAAAACCAATTTTTTCCAGCAAGTCACAGAAACTTATATGTGTAGTAAACAATTCCGGAAAAATTTGAAAGCAAAATTGTGAAATTCTTAAAAACTGAGGATATGTTGATGTGGGTGGAGTTATGCAAACAAAAAATTAAATATTTTTTGTTCTCTGGGTGACTGCTGAGGTCAATATCTAGAATCCAACATTTTCTAATTTATTCTTTGAAGGTGGGGTTCAAGATATAAATGCATATTCTACTGTGTCTTGCCTACTTCTGAAAACTGTTTTTTCTAGTCTTATTCAACTTGAATTCGAATTTTTGAAGATGGCCCTTTAGAATTTTTTAAAATACCATTTTAACCTTCCATTTTCTCTCAAAAATTGTTTCTGTAAACCTCAATACCCCAAAAAAAATAATATCTCGACTGATTTTCAGTTATTTTCGACCAAAACTTTCGAATGTTTTATAAACTGTGAAATTGAATGACTACTAGAAGTAATAACAACATTGTCGTCATACGATAAACATCTTTTTTTGGATGCTACTTGTTGCCTATTGATTCGAATATGAATACAATTCGACAGTTTTTTTTGCGATGAAGAGGGAGGGAAAAGAAGAAGGCGAAGAAGAAGAAAAAAAGGAAATCGAATAAGGATTGTGTTTTTCGGTTTTGTTTTTGTTTTTGTTATTTCTACTGGGTTTCATGGCACTTTTATTGTTTTTCTGATTATCATTTGTAATAACATTTTTCAACTTAATTCAATATTTTTTGTGATCTGGACTGTGGTCAAAATGAAGGTCAGTTTCAACCTTTGTTTTTTTTCAATGTTTGGTTTATTATTCAATAAGATAAAATCTACATTTACGTGATTAGTAATAAATAGACTGATTTATAGGTTTCGTAAATTATGCTTTGATTCCATAGAAAACTACATTCTAGAATCGATTAAAAATCATCTGAAGTTGAAGTATTGAAAATTCATTCATTTCTGAAACATTCTTTAAAAAATTCTAGAGAAAATATGGTGTTTTAGAAAAAATTAAGAGAAAATTGAATAATTGTTTGTTTTTGAAATGATAGTTTTCCAAAAATAATCAATTATGAAAATCTTTGCAGTTTGGCATGATGAAAAAACATTGAGATAACTTTATTTTTCGCAAGGCAGTAGAGAAAATGTTTCAATTTTTGATTTTATATCAAAATTTATAGAACAATCACGTTTGAAATGTCAAAACTCCAAAAATATTTTTATTGTTTCGCCATTTTCAGAACGTTTATGCTCATGCACTTTTATTAATATCAGTTTCGTTATTCACACAAATTGGACACAAACGAGAACAAGCATCAGACACATTAATATGTTTGAAAGATAATTATGAAGATGTTAGTTTAGGTCGATTACAAACATTTCCAAAATTAATGGAGGTCAGTTTTTATTGAAATTTATGTTGTGCTCAACAAAAAAAAATGTTTTGATATTGAATTTTTTCTAGGAAATTCAAAAAATAAACGAAGATGTTGGAATTGTTTTACTAAATCGACACGCAATAAATATAACCATGAATTGGTTATGTAATCTAAATGCTCTGAATGATCCAACTATTATTTCAAAAATTCTAGTATTTGCAATGGATGATGAATCTTATCAGAAACTCACATATTTATGGCCAAGATTACGGGTTTTCAAATTGGATTTACCATCAGTGGTTGGTCACATTTTCTTGTTTGATTAATTTGAAAAATCTGATTTTTCAGAGTCAACCATTTAAAGTTGGACACTGTCAATACCAATTATTTCAATTATTACGGGCAAATTTGGCGACAATTTTTTCGATGATGAACAAATCGTTTTGGATGTTACAACCTGATACTTATTGGAGTGAAAATTTGTTTGACTTGTTGGGTGAGTCAAAAAAATCTCGTTTTTTTAATCTGAAATCTTTCAAATTCTCACAATTCTGATTTTTCAATTGTTCATATTTTTTAATAGAGTTCCTAATCTGTTATTTACCGTTAGAAATTTATTTGAAAATTACTTCTTTGCAAAACAAACACAACGTGATCTATTTACACTGATCTCAAAATTCTTCTGAAATTGATTTCGCGAAGATTCACTAGGTCCAAGAAAATATTGATTTTTCAGTGTAGAAAATGATGTAGACAACAATTTGTGCTTTCTAAAACAAACAATTCTGAAAAAATGCATCTTTAATTAATTCGAAACATACTCTGAAAATAACTTCTAATCTCACATTCAATAACAATTTTATTTTTCAGATTTTTCTGAAAATGACGGCACGAATTTGTACCTTGATGTAGAGGGTGAAACAATACTTTCATCAAGAATGATTGCTGGTGGCAATTTTTTTGTTCGAGCTTCAATCGAATCATCGTTATTTTTCCATCAATTAAGTGCAGAGATCAGGTTGTTTTTTCAATTTTTGTTTCGAATTTCATAAAAGACATTTTTCAGAGAAAAATATGCGACCGATAATAATGTGATGGGAGCAATGTGCTCAAGGCAATATGCAGATGTTCAATGCGAGTTTATTCCTTATCATACAATTTCGAATTGGAGATGGAAAAATAATAATATTAAACCAGCTTTGATGCAATTTGATAGTTTAATACTACCAGGATCAAAAGGAAAACTGGAAAGGTAAGAAGTTTCAAGAATATATTTTTAGAAAAACAAATATTTTAGGATGCATCAAGTTGGTGCAAAATTTGTGCATCCTGATGGAACTTGTGTACTGTTCAATTCATCAAACATTTCCCAATTGGTATCATTCGATGATAATTTGCCACACATTTTATTCCCCAAATGTTTTCACGTGTTCCACGTAGCTCACCATTTTTGCGAGTCATTATGCGATCTTTTCCCATCATTTGTAGATTTTCTCTTAGGCACTGTATTCCCGAATTACGCATATTTTTTGATTTGAAATTAATTCACTCGAAATTAATTTATTATGATTTAATTAGCAGCCCTACTATGAACAAATTTTGCCTGTGTCCAAAACGAAACCAGTCCACATAAGTTAAGTCCGCGCGATTTGAAATAAAGATAACCAAAACTTTGACTATATATCTTACTCGATGCCCAAAATTTCATACTTTCGAGATGTTTCGAAACATTGTTTTATTTTTATGCATCGGTTATTGTTTGGCTCAAGATTATCCAAAATATACTGAATCATCTCCCCAGTTGACGTATGTTGCTGAAAAATATCCAGCTGCACCTCCTCCACCTCCACCACCACATCGACCACCAGCAAATAATGTATACAAAACACCACCACCAACACATGTATGATTTTTATTTTTTTTTCGGCAAAACGTTCCGCATCGGTACCCAAAAATATTTTACTTTCAGGTTTATGTGACTCCGCCTCCTGTAAAAGCTACAACAACCAAAGCCCCAGCAACGTATCCTGTGAGTTAGCCTAAAATCTGTTTTAAAAATTCTAATGATCTTCCAGACTGCCGCACCGCCTGCAAAACCTCGCCCGGTCGCCTATAATTATCCAGAGCGGAATCTACCACTCAAGGGATGCTTCTACAATGATCACGGTTATGCTTGTTGTAGTAAACCTCTTCAAGGAGCCATGGAAGAGTTAGCCGATGTAATAATTCTGAGCCCACTGAAAAAAAATCTGAAAAATTTCAGGATCTTCTAAACAATGGAACGTTTCATCGATGTAACGTTCAAAAAATCGCCAACAAACTGCAAGAGAAAGTTCAAGAAGCGTAAGTCTGATGTTATCTATATTTATTACGCTACCAGTTTTGGCTTCCAGATTTGAGGATGATTTCGAAACCGTTGTTGGTTTATCCGATTTTGCGGAACGTGTACATTTTCGAAAATATTATGTTTGTAAAATCGAAGTGAATGGAAGGTAAAGCAAAATTTCTGGAAATTTTTCTCTCATATGGAAATATTTATAGATATATGTTGGCTTATTCAACACCAGAGCAATCTTCAAAACGACTTCGGGCAAAACGAGATTATAACTCGGAAGACGATGAAATTCATGAATACAATTTCTGATTTCTGATTTCTGATTTCTAATTGAAAATGTTTATATTTATTGATAAATATGCAAAACGAGGTATAAACTTCAACCTCAAAAATTTAACAGAAAAAACATTGATAAATAAAAGAAAAACGTCTAATCGGGAATTACAAAAAAACCGGTAGAAAATAAAAAAAAACATAGAACAAACCTAATATTCATGACAAAAAGGCATTCAATCCTAGTCATCCCAGAAAACATTCAAAAGAAAAATATAGAAAAAGAAAATCATAAATTAGGATAGAATTAAAGTTTCAACAGTTTTTTTGGCATCAGATCATAGTTTAAGGCTTCTAGTTGGAGAAAATAATATACCGAGAGCAGAAACCGAACTTTTTCGAGAGAGATCATACGGGATGGAAAAATAGAAAAAAAAATAGAGAGAAAGTATACATAACAGAAAAAAGCAACAAAAAACGGGGGAGAAAAAAGCACCGTAGAAAATTTCACAGACTTGATGAAGACGAACAAGGTTTAGATATGTATGATTTGGAAAAACAGTTTTGGTCTGGTCTAGAAATCATCATTTTCTGGAAGTGGAGCTGCCATTGATGCTTCGATCAATTCCTTGGCATTATTCATATCAACATCAGGTTTCTTTGGTGTATTTGTTACAGAAACAGTTGGTGTAACATCCATTTTCTCTTCTTTGTTGAATGAATTGTTATCATCCGAGTCGCAATCCCCACTTGGTCCACTGAGACTTCGATTGAAGTCAATTGCGCATGGGCTATGAGGGACTCTGAAAAATTATGGATTTTAAAATTGAAGGCTAATGTTGCAAAGAGTTTCGAAAAAGTATCCTATCACTATCATTCAGGCGTTACCCAACCAGTATCTTTAGCTTCATCTTCTATTTTTCCTAGACTGTATCAATTTTCTAACATAAGCTGTCAGAGATCTTATCGGAATGTAACAATTCACTACCAAAATTCTAAAAAACCACATTCTTCTCACAAAAAAGACTATAGATTTGATCTTTTGTACCGTAGCGTATCTATTTACGTTTCGAGCCATTCATGCGAGACTTAATTGACACAAAATAGAACATTTCAATAAGATCAACATCCAAATAGAGTTGAATACATCCTTTTTCACTAATAAAAATGAAAAAAACTTACGACGGGGACGCAAATCCACTTGCTGATTCATTTGAATGCACTGAAGATGGATATGGAAATCTATCATTGTTGACAAGTGGCGAAGTGTTGTTGCGATGAATCAATGCTCTTTTTGGATCCATTTCGACTTCTTTTGCTGTTAGCTTGCGTTTCAATGTGCTTCTGTTGTTCAAGAGAATTGGTGAAACTGATCTGAAAATATTCCATGGATTTGATGTGTCAAAACCGTCTTCTGATCTTTTTCAATCAACAATACATTTTTTTAAACGCAGAACTTTTCAAGATGTGTTTTGAATCGTAAATCCTATTTTTAAACCCGATTAAACGTCATCAACCCTTGTACCTATTTATCTGATTGAAAAATGGTCAACGTATTATTTTTGCAGGGGATTCTGACAGCGGAAAATCAAAAACGACTGAGAATTGGAAGAAAATGATTTAATGATAAATGTTGGGTTTCGGGAGATATGAGAAACTCAAGTTTAATTTTTTGTTGTTTTTGAATGAATTTAAGATAATGAAAGCTAAACTTTCATATTTGATCTAGGAATTAGAAATTCAAAAATCAAATTGATAATATGTTTAATTGCTTTATAATTTCACAGTCAGATATTGTGAGTGTATTAAATTTTGAAATATGTGTCAATGTTCTCCCAAAACTACCATAAATACTCACCTAACAAACTTCTTGTGATGTCTTGTTGGACTCTGTGATGGACTTTGTTTTGGACTCGGACTATATGAAATATGTGGTCGAATAACTTGTTGAGTCGATGGCGAATAACATTGTTTAAAAGCATCGGGAAGTCGAGTCGGACTCGGTGAGCAACTATGCGGAATGAAAACATTCGTAACAACACTAATCGGTTCTCCAAGTGTTGTTGAGAAAGACGCAGTTCTTCTACGATAATCAGCTACACTTGGCAATGGTTCGATGGAAATGTCATCGAAACCGGTCGAAACTTGTTGCGATACTTTGACAAGTCTTTCGTGTGCAACTTCGCTGTCGACTGAGCAATTACTTTCACGTCGAATGTTGGCGATTCTTCCGCGTGGTGCATCAATTCCGCGTCCAACAAATTTTTCCTCGCTCTGAAATAATTCATTTGGTTTTGATCATGCAAATTTTTGTGAAAATCAATAATATTGTGGGGGCTGTTTGAAAAATTATTATGCCAAAAATTTTCTTGAAGACCCTCCTTAACATTCAGAAAAGGTCCCCACTCAAAATTTCAAGTTTCAGTGGAGGCTTTATCTACGATCATACGCTCAAGCTTGAAATTAGATTGGTGAAGGGCTGTTCTGTGTTTTAGCCGGCTCAACAACAATTTGTTAGAAGTTTCTATCATTTCAATAAAAGATATTTGTTTTTCACACCTCCACTTCAATTTTTCAAAATATATGTATATTTCTTAATTTCTAGAAAAACTCACAATTGGTGTGCTGATCTTCCTTACAACATCAACTTCTTCTTCTCCATCGCTTGGTGATTGACTCGGCGAGCGTTTATTGTGACGCATCCTGAACTTTTCGATTTTCTCCGATGTCGAATCGCGCAAATTCATTCCGTCCAAAGAAGAGCGAGAAGAGGTTTCCGAATCAGGAATGTTTGCTGAAAAAAAATATTTTCAAAATGATTACGAAATACATATGTATTGAAAAATAGCAAAAACCCCTTACTTGATAAAAAATCCGGTCGTTGAAAGACTGAAGATGTTGAAAGAGGCGAAGATTGGCTGAGAAATCTAGAAGAAGAAAAAAAAAATAATAAAATTGACAGAGAAAATTGGCTTTTTTGGTCGCATCACATTAAATTTATTTTTTTATGACATTCACTATTTTTCTTCGATTTTTGCACGCCGCAATATGTTTTTCAATAAAATACATTCAAAGAAAACTCACGGTGAATTTCGAATCTCTGATTGTTCACTGAATAATGATGAAACTGATGTAGCAGGCGATGGAGCGATTGGAATATCATCGCGTTCTCCGCTACTCTCCGGTTCGTTGCTCATTGTTCACCTCCAATAACTAACAAATATTGCAATTACAAAAACAATACCCTGAAAAAAACATGAAAAATATGTGTTTTTATTTGAAAAAAAGAGGCAAAATCAAGAAAAATAAAAGAAAAAATCAATGTGACGATGAAACAAGACGAAACACTTGAGAAAGGGAAGGAGACAGCAAACACGCTCTATTGCAAATAACATCAGGCATTTTTTTGATAGAGACGCAGAGATGATGAGAAAATAGCTAGTCTTTTTATTTCGTTTTATTTTTTATTATATTATATCATATTATTATATTATACAATAAAATAATATAATAATAATAATAAAAAAATTGATGGGAAATAAAATCAGAAAGAATTATTTTTATGACGCAAAGACACTTCTTTGCCAAAGAGAATTAACATAATATGAAAAAAAAATAGTTTTTCAAATGAAAACATATGTAACCTTTGTTCAGAATTTTTCAATACATATGTTGAAAATGAAACTAAAGAAAACGCAAAGTCTAACAACAAAGAAAAACAATGCGCGAAAAATTTCCATAAATCAAGTAAACACGTGACGGTTTTTTCTTGTTTGAAAGAAAAAAGAAAAAAATAGTTTTGAAATGAAGAAAAGAGAAAGGAAATAAATATAAGCCAGATGTGAGCATGGCAGTTTTTCAATAAAACAAAAAAATCTGCAAGAAAAATTGGGGGAAAATGAAAAGAAAAAATGGAATGGAATGAAAATGTAATGAGAAAATACAGATTCAGTTTTCATGACTCGATTTTTGTTCACAAGATGTTTAAGGTTTCTGAGCCCGATAAGGTCCGTAATTCTAACATAAGCAGTAGACAATCAATAGAGCTTTTAGTTAACTTTTTTGAGAAACTGATAGAACTCGAGAGAAAGTGAGGAGAATAGTTTAAAACTGGCTGGAGTCAGCGTAGTCTTCTTTAATTGTTTTATAGGTTCTATCAATTTTTCTCCGTCAAATCTCATTAAGGTTTTCACTAACATGAATAATGACGTTAAGTAACAAAAACACACACGCAAACACACTACAGGACTACTGAAACATACAAGAATCCATTTTATTTCTATCCGAATTTTCATTGAGAAATTCAAAAATGTTATGTGATATTTATTTGGAGAGCTCGAAATTTACGTAGTGCGCGTTTTTTCTAAATGTGAGAAAAAACTTTGATTTTTATACCAGAAAGTATAGCTTTTTGAATAATTAAATTTATAAAAATGTACATATCAGCTGGGAAAATCACGAGATATATATGATACGAATTATAATCCCCGACATTTATACTTTATCCTTTTTTCTCACTAAAACCAAAGCTTAGAAGCACAATAGTTTAATTTAATAAATGTATTTTCATATCACAACACACCATGAAAAAAGTGCACACTCTATAGGATTATGGTATAGTGCAACTTCTATTTTTCCCCCGAAATCCAGCCGATTTAAGCACGCTCAATTTCATTCATTTTTCACATAAAAATAACCAAGCAAACATATAATTAAATTACAATATTTTCTTTTTCCATCCAATATTTTTTGTTGAAAAAAATAATCGTTTTTTTTTCGACAAGCGAAATTTATCAATAAAATTGCACGTGTTTTTGTTGATAATACCCTTTGAGCGACTAGTATAATTTATTCATGGATACGAATAAAATTCATAGCAACATGACATATGTGGTAGTTTTTTCTTCTGCTCGTTTCGTCGTCTTTATGATTTTTTTCTGAAAAAAAGAAACGTAAAGCAAATTTGGTTTTTTTGTTTTGTAGAGAGAGAAAAAGGTGAAAATTTCCGGGTTTTATCAGAGAAATTTGTTGATGATCAAATATTGCCCTAATTTCATAATTCTGATAATTTTTTTGTGGCGAAGGAGTTTTTTTCTGAATTTTACCGGGATTTCAAAAATTTCCGATAAGGGTTCAGAAATCCCGGAAATCCTCCCCCGAAAATTCCGCTTCAAAAAATCCGAAATGTTTCGACTCTCCTTCTACTGAATTACAAATAATCCCTGATCTCTTGCAAAATGTGTCAGTTCAGATCAAAAGGGCACTTCTTTACTCATACCAGTCCATCCCATTTTCAAAAAAATAATTATTTTCAAAAACATCTATCACATTGGATCAAAATTGTCTCATCATTTCTGCCCAAATTGTTCTCTTGTTTATTTTTTCAACTCGTTTTTTTTATTTTTCACACCCCATAAATAGTTTGATATTTTTCCGTGTGTCTACTCGTTGTTGTTTTTTTTTCTGCTCGTTTTTTGCTTGCATATTCTTCTTGCTCAAATCTCTTGTGAATTGTGATGTTGTTGGCTCAAAAAACGGCACACACAAAAAGGAGTTTTACATATAAGCTATAAGCTCAAACGTTTTCTTTTTTCACACAATATTTTTGCTCGTTTTCCAACTGCCCTCCAGCAGATTTTTTTCGGAAGCAAGACGAGTTCAGACAAGACAACAGAAAAAACGAATAAGAAGAAGAAAAAAGCAAAACAGATAAATATGTGTGAGAAAGGCATTCAATCCCTTTGCCTTATTTGAATTATGACTATTTTTGTTGTGCTCTTTTTTGGAGAATTTCATTTGATTGAGCACTTTTCAAGATATTTTGAAAATGGAAGTTTTATTTCATCATCCATCATGACTTTTGGCTTCTCTAAATTATTCAATCATTTTTGTTTAATGAAGACTTTTTTCATCCACATCTCCCTCATTTTCTCCATTTCTGTTTATTTGTTTGTTTGTTTTTTTTTTTTGAAAAGAGGAAAATGGAAAAAATACAAAAAACTTTTTTCTAGGCTGGGTGAAATGCTTGAAACCGACGATAAAATCGTCGAATTTCCTGATGGAGGTTTCACATATTCTCAATTCACATCAGTCAATGATGTTTTCAGGTAACTTATATTAGAATATACGTTACACCCATATAATTTCCAGGAAAAACTTTGCTGACAATCTGGAACCAGCTGGCGCCTCATTCGCAGTTTATTATAAAGATAAATTGATTATAAACCTCTTTGGGGGTTCACGGGATTTGAAAAATCAATTGAATTGGAATAAGGATACAAGAACTGTGATATTTTCAACCACAAAAAGTATATCGGCAATTATTCTTGCTCATACACTGGACAGAAATAATGTTAGTTATGATACGAAGATATCAAGTTTCTGGCCAGAATTTGGCAAACACGGGAAAGAGAATGTCACAATTCTAGATGCAGTTTTACATAGGGTAAGTCCGCCAAAACATTTATCAAAAATTTGCCAAGCTTTTTCAGGGAAGAATACCTTATGATACAACAAGCATTCTAACTCGAGAAGACGTTTTGAATCCTCAAAAAATGTCTGAATATTTTGAAAATATGGAACCTGTTGGACCAGAAGGTTCAATTATTTATCATGCTTTAGCTTTCGGATATATCTGTGATCAAATTGTGAGGAGAATAGACAAGGAAAAACGAGGAATTGTTGAGATTTTGGAGAATGATTTTGTGCAAAAATATGGAATTGATAATCTATCAATTGGTTTGAAAAACATTGAAGATAATGAAAATGTTGCTCAATTGACTGATTTAACAATGGAAGAAGCTAGTAGACAAGGAGAAACTCAAGAAGAAGCTTATCGACGATGGATGGCGGGAGATAATGAACACAATGAAAAATTGTATAAAAATTTTCCATTTATCACAACCGATGACGTAAGCTTTTGTTATCGTTTTTGAGCTTCAAAAAAAATATATATTCAATTTAGTACAACGTTCTGGAAAACCGTCTTCTCCCGATGCCATCAAATCTAGGAATTGCAAACGCCCAAAGTCTTGCTCATTTTCATTCACTCGTTACAAATCACAAAATTTTATCAGAGAAATTTATAAAAATTTTGGAGAAACCAGTTTTAGAAAATGCTTTTGATTTGGCTATTGGTTATACTGAAAATAAAGGTTACGGATTTCAATATACAAAAAATATCAAGGCAAGTTTTTATATTTTCGATATAAAAAAATCCAAAATTTCCGTTTTCAGCTGTGTTAGTTTCACAAAATGTTTTTCTTATAAAGTATATTTCTCAATTTCCTTCTCGATGAAATTTTATAACTGGATTAAACAACCCTAAAAAATTTTTTATGTGTTATATTAACATCATAAAACTACAATTTGAGAAAACAATAGAACTATCATATTTTCAGGATCAGTGGATTTTCGGACATTCTGGCTATGGTGGTCAAAATGTTCGAATGGATGTCTCAAACGGTTTAACATTTGCATACGTCTCAAATGGCCTTAAAATTTCCGATGCGGATATGGTAACCACATGGAAAAATTTGATAGATGAAACGTATCGTGTATTTTTTAATTTGTAATATTTTTTCTTTCTAATGAAAAGAGTTGTATTATTTTTTTTTGAAGCTGAACTGCAAAATTCAATTTTCGTTCAAGTGAAACAAAGTGTTCCGGTGTGAACAAGTGAACAAGTGAATAAACAATACATGTTTGTACAGACAACACCAGCCGCTTTCATTTTCACAGTATTTACTAGTACTATTCAATTATTTTTGCTTCTGTTTTTGTTTCTGTAAGTAAAGAAAAAGACAAAAAACAACATATTGTTCAAAAAAACAGGTGTTCCACAAATATCTCTCTCTCTTCCTTTGTCAATCTGCATACAAGTTACGCTAACTCAAGTAGGTAGAAAGAGACCACACAAGAAAAAAATGGACAGAAGAAAACGCGCCCTGTTGAACAAAGTGACCCTGCGACCAGCTGCCATTTTTTTGAGCAGACAGCATCTTTTTTATAGATCTTTTTTTTTTTGAAAAGATTTTGGGTTTACTTTAGTTTTTTTTTTAGAAAGAAGGAATGAGAGGATAAATGAAGGCGACGGATAGTAAACGAGCTTTTGTCAAAAAGCGCAGCAAGTGAGTTTTAATATTATTTTAAGAAAAAAATCTTGAAAACTTTAATTAATGAATAAAAAATTGTAGAGTTACTGCGTCGGAAGTGAGGAAACATGTGATAAGCGGATTGTTGCCGATTCATCGGATCACAGAAGCTGATAATGGATTTGATATGAATATTTCGATGTTGAATAAAGTCTCATTGAGTGAACCTGTTGCACCAATTGATGTTGAAACATTGTTAGAACAAAGAAAAACGTGTTTATTATATTCGATTTCTTCACCAAAATCTTCCAAACCAATTTTTGAATATGTGTCGGATGATGTTGAAGTGAAAACAATCAGGCATGATGGGTTATCAGATCATAATTATACCACAGTTAATAAGTGAGTGATATTTTCAAGCTTTGGATTCTAGAAAAAATGTAAAAGCTTTGATTGAATTTTGTGACAAAATGATATTCAAAAATTCAAATTTCAAAAAATATCTCCTGAAGTTCATCTCTAAATATCCTTCATTGAATTTTTTCAGTATTGAAAACCATGTTCGAGACATTTGCTCATTCTACTGCGATGATTTTTCGATGGTCAATAGAAAGTGAGTTCTATTCGGTTTCAGATCCTCTATTCACCCAATTCTTATTTTCAGACATCAACAACTTGGAACAGAAGATCTTCGAGATCGGTGGAATCTAGAAAAACTGACAGCTTTGAGAACTTTACGACCTCAAATATTTCATAGTGGACTTCGAATTATGGATCGTGAACCAAGCACAATTTCTTTAGAAGGGCATAGTTTTGATATGGTTGATCCTGCAAAATGTCAAACTGAACAATTCTATGTTTCAATGTTGAAAAAATCAGCAATCGACAAGAATACTTTGCTTTATTCAATGCTTGGCAAAAATCGTGTGAAACATATGATGAATTGTATTACAAATGATGATAAAGATCTGAAATTTGAAAAACGTAGTGTTCCACATTTGCCAGAAGAAGAGGAATCGCCGAAATTGTTTGTAAAAGTTGAAAAAACTCTCGCCGATCCATTTTTTGAACCGCTTTTTGTTTCAATGGCGGTTTATGATATTCGACACAAGCAAAAAGTTACCGAATCTGTATATTTTAATATTGTCGATGCTGATAAACTTGATATGCTTGGAAAATTTCAACCAACATCAATCAATAAGTGAGTTTCAAAAATAGTTTTTAAAAACTATTTCAAGGTATTATTTTTGTAGAAATCTTCAAGCTCTGTTCAATATCACTGGTCCAATTTCTGACATGTTTTTGATCATAAAGGTAACGGTTTTCTATGGGTTTTTGAAAAAAAATTAAAATTTGTAGATAGAAAAAGTGCTCCAACAACTAGATGTGTTTGAAGGAAGTGATCCATATGTTGGAAGTAAAGAAGACAAAAATATGGAAAAATTGAAATCAGCTGCAGAAGATTTTTGTCAACGACTAGGAAACTATCGAACACCACTTGGTTATCAAGTTGTAGATATTCAGAAAATTTTCAATATCAGTGTTCAAAGTGCATGTGCTTCTGATAGAAGAACTGATCCGATGATTTCATCCTCATGTACTATGAATTCAGGAATCACATTGATAAGTGAGTAGTTTTTATTAGGTTTCACCTTGTTCCTCTCATATTTTAGCCAATGGTCAAGTTATGGATGATCGTTGTAGTATCACAAGTGCTGACAGAACATCTTTGACCTCAGTCGGATCTACTCTTCGCAGATTTGGTAGTGGAACATCTGCAGCTACAGTGTTCAGTCGAGTACGAACCCCACTATCAAAACGAAAATTCAATTATAGTAAGTTTAGTTTTCCCAAAAAACTTCCAAGGTTAACTTTTTCAGCGTCACCTACACCTGCATCCAATCGAAATGATTATCCTGATACTTTGGATAATATGCCATCGTGTAGTTTGAAATTCACAACATTTTTCCGACAAGAAAATGATAAATTATCAGAAGAAGACATTTATCGAGTTTGTAATGAAGTTCGAAAAACAAATGGAAAAGTCAATCGGAAAATGTTCAATTTCGATTTGGAGCTCACTGTAGCTGGATCAAACAAAAGTAAAGAATGTCGAAATCATGGCAGTACTTTGACTTTGAGCACTGATTCAGTTATCCATGAAGCTGTTGAGATTCCAAAATATAAATCATCATTGAATAAATCATACAAAAACTATTTGTATGTTTATCCAAAACATATAAATTTATCAAATCGAACTGGGAATGCTCGAAATATTATGATCAAAGTTGAATTAATGGATTCAACAGAGAATCCACAAGAAACGATTTTTGAGAAGGGTTCGACTAATCGGGTATTGCTCAAGTGTGCAAAAACAAGTGTTGTTTATCATAACAGGTAGGATTTTTATCGGAGACTTGAGAATTTTTTATCCGAGATGTTTATTTTAGAACGCCATATTTCACGGACGAGATCAAAATCCAACTTCCATGCGATTTGAATGACGGACATCATTTGTTGTTCACAGTTTATCACGTCTCTTGCAAAGAAACTGATGTGAATGCTACTGAAACTGCTATCGGGTATACTGTAAGTATTTCTCAAATTAAAAAAATTGAATCAATAATTTGTTTCAGTGGCTTCCATTATATCGTGACGCCAAACTTCGAAGCGGAGACTTCAACCTTCCAGTTTGTGGTGAGAAACCTCCAGCTAGTTATGGATACTTGGATGCAAACAACGCTCTACCGAACTTGAAATGGATTGATAATCACAAACCGATTTTCACATGCTCATTACGAGTTATTTCCAGTGTTCACGCTCAAGATGATCATCTCGAAAAGTTTTTCACCGGAATCGCTAGTTTGAGTTCAACAGATCCGAAACATCCGCCGATTGGTGAATCTGAATTAATTCACTCGATTGATGTAAGTTAAAATTTTTGATTCCGGATAATTATATATCGATTTAATTCTAGAATTTGCTCAAAGCTGCTCCTGACCGTCTGTTCGCATTTATTCATTTTATTTTGAGCCGGCTCATTTTCTTGATCTCAAATCCGCCATTCACTGATGAAGTCTCATTGAAATCTTTTGAATGTATTGGTCACTTGGTGAAACTTTTCTCCCTGATGTTAGATTCCGATTGTGATACATATAATAGAAGTATGCTCTTAGCTTCATTTGTCAAGTATCGGAAAGTCTCTTCACAAGGTTTGTATGGGCTCTTTTAATATTAATCATTTTAGTTTTCAGAATCCAAACCACATTCTAGTATTCGACCGGTTGAATTGAAAGCATCACCAACTGATTCGAGTTTGTTGAGTAGTATGATAGGTAAGATCTAGTGCCTATTTTTTAGCATTTTAAAATCTTATCACATTTTAGAACATGTTGAGAGAAGTACCCATTCGGTGTCAATCGGAACTACAAATGTTCGATTCCATGAAAATATTTGTGAAATTTGGTTGAGAGCAAGAGGAATATCAAGAGAGAATTCGATTGTTCATTCGTGGTTCTTCTTGGAAATCATTGTATGTTTTCTCTAATACAATTATGGTTTTTTTTGTCAAAAATAATATTACAGCTGAAATCTGCATCGGAATATCTAACAATGACTGGAAGAATGTTTTCATCGAGAAAAATTCGATTTGGTGATCAGTTTTTGAAAAATATCGAGACTCTTTGTGAAATATTTGCTCAAGAAGTTATCACAAGACATACAATTGATTTTGATGAAGCGAGAATGATTTCGAACTCTTTAGCGTTTTTCTTACGCGATAGTTTATCAATTATGGATCGTAGTTTTGTGATGAAACTTATTCATAAATATATGCTCTCATTTTCCGAGGCAATGAAGTGAGTTTTCTTCAAGTTGAAATATCAGATTTGAAAATGAACTGTTATTTTTCTAGAAAACTCCCACAAACCAATGATTTATTATCGATAAAAATTGATTTTATTCGAATAATCTGCTCCTACGAACATTATTTGATAATCAATATCCTAAACGATGCTGAATTACCAAATGAGAATTCAGGTGTAGCTGCACCTCCAAAATCATCTTTAACAAACTCTAAAAACTTCAAAAAATCAATAGCAACTGGATGGGTGATGACAGATTCAGCGAGATCTACACATTATTTATCAAGTCAGGTTTTGTCGGATTTGAAAGATTCAATAAATAGTGGAAATGCTAATCTTTGTGCAAAATCAATAGAAACTATCAAAGAATTATTTCAATCTCATGAACTTGACAATCGATTGTGTGAGGGAGAATCGCTATCTCAAGTTGCAAATATCTATAAACCTTTGGTGATAATTGTTTTGGACAGTTTTGAATGTTTATATTCTGGATCTGTTAGAAATTCTGCTGATGCCTCGTGAGTTTTTTCCTTATCGATGAGCTCCCAAAACTGTTTAAATTTCAGATCGAACCTCTCATTTTTGGAGCAAACATCAAAACAAGATGTTATGTCTGCTATCTCTGGCAGACTTCGAAATTCACCAGATCCTAGTTTTGCAAAACTTCACCTTGATATTATTATGACGAAATCGGTTGGTTTTTTTTTTGAAATAGTCTGAAAATCAACTGTATTGTTTCAGCTACTCTGCTCGATGTTCTGGATTTTGAAAAATGTATCTAGAAATGAACTTCAATGTTGGTTGGTGTCACTTGATCAGGATTCAATGCTCAAACTTTTACATGTACTTTATTATACATTATCAACCTTTGAGATGAAGGAAGAAACTCCAAATCCTAGAGTAAGATTTATCACAAATTGAAATCAAATACAAAGCTATTTTTCAGCTTTCCCTTGACAAAAATTCGATGAACAAATTGGATGAAGAGCCGGCAGCTGAAGTGAAATGGAGAACAAGAAGCACTGATACTTGTGATTCTCGAAACGAGCAGATAACAACACAAGAAGCCGTGTCTAGCAATGCAATATTATCATGCGAAATATTTTTATGTGTTGTTGAAATAATTGATAATATTATCGCATCATCAGCTGACACTAAAAATTCACTCTTTCATGTTTTACCGATGGTTTTTCCAATAATTGTGAGTTTGTCTAAAATTCATATTTTGAGACAAAAAAGACTTTCAATTTTCAAATTTATTCCAGATGCACGGATTGTCATGTAACGTGTCAGATCAAGTTCTTGAAGTGTTATTCGCTGCTCAGCAAAGCTTCTTTGCCAGATTCCCAGCTATGATCCTCGAACAAAAACCAGAATTATGTGCCGAACTTTCACAACAAATTTTACGTCATTGTTCATCTACTAAACTAGACAATGTTCGAACTATGGCAACTGTCAGTCTTTATCATTTCCTCCGCGAGAACTTCAAGATCTATAAAAATTTGACAAAAGCAAGAACATTTTTGTCAACAGCTTTATCAACATTGTTATCTGGAAGTTGTGATATTGATGCATCAGTTAATGATGAATTTATGATTAAAAGTTTGGAAATTGCAAATCAATTGGCTGGTGAAGATGATGCTTTTGATGAAAGTTCGAAGAGAAAAATGATTGAACAAGTATGTTTTGAAATTCCATGAAAACAATTCATTTTGCTTTTTTTCAGATGAAAGAACTCACTGCAAACTTACAAAAAATCATGTTGAGCACTGTTAGAATGCGAGAACATGTCAATGATTATGAAATGACTATTGATTTGATGTATCAATTAGTTGAAGGGTATTCAAATAACCCGGATTTGAGAATTACTTGGCTTTTAAATATGGCAGAAAGACACGAGAAACAACGAAGCCTTTGTGAATCAGCTCATAGTTATTTGCAAGCTTGTGCTTTGGTTTTTGAATATATTGATCAGCGAAATCAAAATATGGTTTTTGAATCAAAAGGTGCTTCTACTTTCCTCGAAATTACACCAAACGCGATCAAAGAATCAAAAACAACATTCAATAAAAAGTGAGTAACCTTATTTATTTTTGAAAATATTCACACTCACATCAGTTAGTAAAAATTTGACAAATTTCAGTCCCGAAGCCGAATGCCATATTCAATCCTATCACTTTACTGAAGCTGGTTTGTTAAAAATATTGGAAAAGTCTTTCTCACTTCTTGAAAAAGCTCAACTCTACGAACTTTTATTCCCATTTTCAAAAATCATTTTGAATTACTGCCATGCTGTCAAAAGTTTTTCGCGAGTTGCACATATTCATAAACGACTGAGTGTTGCGGCTGATCAAATCAAGGAAACTGATGAATTCTATGAATATCAATCAGATTCTTGGGTTTCACCTTTACCTGGGTAAGAAAAATATTAAATCTTGAAGGAGAGAATTAATTCTCATTAATTTTTCTTTTGCAGAATCGATAAACGATGTTTTGGTACATTCTTCAGAGTTGCATTTTATGGAAAACTGTTCAGAGAACTCGATAATCAAGAATTTGTCTATAAGGAATCTGCATTTTCAAAATTAAATGAGATCAGTAATCGACTCGAAACCTTTTATACAAATATGTTTGGCGATGGAAATGTGATAGTTCTCAAAGATTCAAAACAGGTTGAAGTGGCAAAATTGAATCCAAACAAAGCCTATATCCAAATCACATTTGTGGATGTGTTTTTATCCGATGACGAAAAAATGGAGAGAAAAACATATTTTGAAAGAAGAAATAATGTGAATCGATTCTATTTTGAGACTCCTTACACTATGGAAGGACGTGCACAAGGCGATTTGTCATCTCAATATAAAAAACGAACTATTCTGACGGTTGAAAACTCCTTTCCATATATCAAAACAAGACTCAAAGTTATCAATCGGTCAATCACAAATTATTCACCAATTGAGGTTGCGATTGAAGATATTGAGAAGAAAACTAGAGAATTAGCAGCTGCAGCAAAACATAAAAATCCGAAAATGTTGTCGATGTTGGTTCAAGGCTCAATTGGAACCACAGTTAATCAAGGTCCTTTGGAGGTGAGTTTTTTTAAGTCCAGGTTGTTTTTGTTATTGATGATATCTAATTCAGATTGCAAATGTTTTCCTGGCAAATTCTGTGACTGATGAACGTGGAAGACCAATGGATCGACTTCAGAATAAACTTCGACTTTCTTTCCGACATTTACAATATCGAGCGATGGAAGCGATTCAACTTTCAAGAGAATTGATTGGAGAAGATCAAAAAGAATATCAAGAAAATGTTGAAGCCAATTTCCACAGTTTTGTAACACATCTAAAACCAATGCTTTCCCGAGAGAAAAACGAAATCACATTTTCCGAGTTCGGAAAACCGACTGTTGTATGATTAGATACTCATGTATTTTTAAACCATTATTTTCTTTCTTTAATTATAATACAATTAATAATAATCGAAACTGGTTGAGACCCTTTTTTATGCTTTATACATATATTTGTGTGCATAATGAAATGAATACGTTTTACAATTCCCGCCAAAAGTAAAGTGCAAAAAACCGAAACATAAATTGTCGGAGGGAAAAAAAGAAAGACAAAGGAATGACTCAGTTTGGGTACTTTCGGCAAAAACACCTTTTGTTCTGCCTTTTTTCACATAGTTGTTTTGAGATAAATATAGAAAATTGTTTTTGTGGAGATTGGGTAAACTTATACAGGGATGTCTTTAGATTCGGGTCTCACTGATTACTAGATGGTTTTTTTGGAAAAACCTCTTGTGTAGTCTGAAATAATGGCTGGGTTTTCCAAGGCTTCGAACATTTTGCAATTTTTGCGATAAATAATTTCTTTGAATCTTCAACTTTTGTAAGATTGTCAATTTTGACAAATCCGTGAAATTTTTCTTCAAACCTTTCTGAAATTTCACCGGAAACAGCATCTAAGAGTCCAGAACTCAATACTCTATATGATAGCCCGTTTTCAATTTTCTCTGAAATTATTTCTGATCCCCCCCCACTTTTGACTCCTTCCGTTCTAATAGATTCATCAAAAAATTGTAAAAAAAATATAATCGAATTATTGATAATTTTATTTGTTTGTTCAAAAACTACAAAATCACATTATATTTTATGATATGATTTTGATCAGAAATCCTCCCTCTCACCACTCGAACAGTATTTTTTTTCTGATGAATCATTTTTTCAACCACATCCACTTATAAATGTGTCACAGCTGTGTACCCGGTGTTCCTTTCGTTCTATTTACAGTGAACATCTGCAAATTGTTGCACTTTTTATTTGAAACCAAAATTTCAGCTTGGTTTAAGTGTTCATATTTGTTTGTCCTTTCATTTTTTGTTTCATTTTCGATAAGAGAGAAACATAAAACATATCATCAGCCGATTAACAACAAAACCGAACACAAAAATTGTTTGCTCATTTTTTGTCGTTTTCATTGTTCATTGAAACGTGGTTCAGATAACATTGCATTTTCATCTAACTGTACTCACGTTCGAACACATGACGATTTTGCACGAAAACGCAAAGAGGTTTCATTTTTCATTTCATCTTTATGTTTTTTTTCTGTCATTTTCCAAGCTTTTCCTTTACACATTTTTCCTGTTTCATGAAAGAAACATTCGTGTTATTTTTTTCCGCCGTCCCTATAACTTTCTTTTCTTATCATCGTCGTTTTCACTCGGCGTGCACTTCTATTTCCCTATTCTTCTCTTCTTCTTCTTCTTGATTTTCTATTTCCAAAAATGGGTAAACCAATAAATAAAAATTGAAATAAATCGACCGTTTCATTATCATCATTGTTGTTGTTTCTTGTAGTGTAATACAGGAAATTTGATACTTTTCTTGCGGTTTTTTCTTTTTCAAAAAAAATTGCTTGGAATTGTACTTGATAGCTGTTCAAAAATCAATTGTGATAAGTTGATTTTAAGACAAGAAAAAGAAGAGAAGTTTGTTTGTTTTCAACATCTATCATTTTTTTGAAGAAATGATTAATTGGGGTTCGGTTTTTGTTTTAAAAAACATATAAGAGTGTACATAAAAAAATAGATGAAAAATCACGTTCAGAGTTTGAGAATCTAAGTATAAGATTTGGAAAGGGAGTTTTGATTGAATTGAACCTTACATTTGGCACAACTTCAATCAACCTGGCTCGATTTCTCAAAATAGGTCACGATCAAGAGGGCCTGGCCCACTTTCTTCGGTCCAACGCAAACTTTGCCATCTGAATTTTTCTCTCCAATAAAAAAAAACAAAACAATATTCCTTATCAGAAAAAAAAAAGAAAAAGCATGTGATAAATAGTACTTTTCTCCAAATTTCGTGTTGTCAAAGATCAAAAAACTCTGAGCAATGTCAATTAACCACATGCACATCCAAATAATTCGCTCGTTTTCTAAACAATTGTCCCATTGATTTTTAATGGATTGTGTTGTGTTCCGTTTTTTTTCTTCTTTTTTTTCTTAAAAAAAACTATTTCGTTTGTGATAGAAATCTTGGTGACCTTCTTCCTATTTGTTCATTTTATTTTATTTTTTTTCTCTTTTTTTTCTTCAACCTCAACCTCACCCTCAAAATGATTTGTTACCTTTTTTCCCACTTTGACAAGAAAAACGCAAATCATGGGAGAGAGGAGCATAAAATCTCAACAAGACAAAAAAAATCAATGTAGTTTTGTCGTGGTTCTGTTTTTTCCCATCATCTCCATCGCTTTTTTTTTATTTTCCAAATCATCGATATAACACATTTATATATATTTTTTTATATAAATGAAATAAAACGAAACGAAATTTTGCTGTTTCAAATCATATTTTTTGTCTCTCAACGACCTCTATACACAGATTTTTCTTTTTTTTTTTGTTTTCTGCCTGGTTGTATCTATAGATTCATTTCTTTTTTATTCTATTTTATTGTACTGCGTTGTTCACTTCCCTTAAGAAAACATTTGCTATTCTTCTCATTTTTTATAGGGCGGAATGGCTGATACGGCTGTTGATATACCAAAAACAAGTGAGTTTATATGAAAATAGATTTTGTTTTTTTTTCTGTAGTAAACCATATCTAACTACTGTATTTTTTTGTAGACTGGGTTCGTCTTGAGATTGAGCCTGTCCAAGTGAACTATGATGCTGACACCACATTGAATTTTGCAACTGTACAATCTGTTGTACCAGGAGCCCATGGACTTTATTATCGAGACTCGGGGGAGCGAAAAGCACTCTTGTAAGTTGAATTTAAATAAAAAACTGGCAACCTGCCAGCCAGTGGCTGCCTGCCAAAATTATAATATTTTTCAACCTATTTTTTCTGAAGGTTATCTTCTTACATTAGTTAATTAAAAAATAAAGTGAAAATATTACAAATCACATCACATTGTCCTCTATTCTTATCATTTGAAACAAAAGATGTTCCTTATTTAATTAGTGAGAATGTCTCTTGTTAATTTCCAAGAAAATTTTGCAATTCAAAAGAATTATGATATCTCTGTGATATAGATTAATATAAACAATGTTTTCGAATAAACCGGTTTTGATGTGAGAGATTATTGAACTCTCTTATCAATTTTTTTTGTAGATTCGACAACAATACTGGAAAAGTTTACCCACCACCAAGCGGATGGGAATCTTCACCAATTTATATTCATTTGGGTAAGACCAAACCAAACATGTAATAACTCAAACATCAATCTGTTTTAGCGCATGGCCACAAACATGGAACACACTTTGCTGACTACACCAAAGCAAACGATGCTTTTGAGAAGAACATCTCAGCTGTTCAAAAACTTTTTGCTGCTGCTGGACTCGGAAGATCAAGCCAAGTTCCAAGATCAACCGGTGCGAAGACTCGCGCTCGCAGCACTTCCAAAAAACCAACTCCCAGTCAATTTGAAGCTCAACCAGAAAATGTGAACATCAGTGAAGAGAGTGAGGCATCAGCTGAGAAGATTGATCCACAAGTTGAGAAGTTGAAGAACAAGAATGCTGAATTGAAATCGAGGTTTGTGTTTTTTTTCATTTCCCAAAAAATCATGTAATTTACGGACTTAGATTAGGATCATGGAATCCCAGAATTCGATAATAATTTTTTGTTTCTAACATTAAAAATTGCTCCCGAAGCTTTACAGAATAATATTTGAAATCTTTAAATTCGATGGAGTGTTATCCCAAAATCATCACACAATTACTTTTTTTTTCTAGGAAACTTGAAAAAGTCCCTTTGTAGAGTCCCAAGGTAACCTGAACTTTTGGTATAGGTTCGATCTCTTCTCTCTTTTTGAATCAGTGGATTTGAAAAAAACACGTACAGACTTTTTTTTGCTTTTCTCTTCTCTCCCAATAGATAAGAAAAAATTCCTGAAACAAATCAAATCTTGAAACTATTTGTTTGTTTACCATCTCAAATTAATCAACAGTGACACTTTATTTGGGTGGAACTAGAGAATCTTCAATTTTTTTTCAAAATATTTTCACTTCTCAACCCATGACATCCGAAGAAAGGTGATCCATCAAAAAACTTTTTTGTTCCAAAACCCTTTTTTCCAGATTGCGAGAATACAAACAAGATTTGTCGGCTGCCAATGACAAGATCAAAAGGTTCGTGTTGTGATTTTTAAAAGAAAAAAATAGTTGACAGAAATTTTTTGACAGATTATCAAAGAAGTTGGAAAGTGTTAAGGCTTCGGGATACTTTGAAGAATTTGAAGACAAGTTTGTCAAGTTTGATACTGATGGAGATGATAAAAGATCACAAGATCAAGATGAAGAAGTGAAGTATGATATTTTATTTATTTTTTAAATAAATTGAAGAGAAAACAACAATCTGAAAATTTTTCAGCAACCTTCACACAATCATCGAAGAGCTTCGCAACAAATTGGCAACTACTGAAGCTGACAAAAAAGATATTGAATCAACACTTGGAGAACACCAAGAATTGTTGAAAAACACCAAAGAAAAGTTAGTAGCACCACAAATTTTCCATAAGGTTCATAAAATAATTCAGGGTCTCTTACCTCGAAGGTCAATTGAAACCAGAAGTTCAAGACGAGAATAAAACCACTGCTTTCCGCTCATTGGAAGTCAAACTTTCATTGGCTAATGGAAATTTGAGACAACTCGAAAGCGAAAAACAACAATTACAAGAAGCCAACTGGTATGCCAATGAGCGTTTAAGCAAATTGGAACAAGAAAATGGGTATTTGAAGGGTATTACTGAACAATTGAAGTGAGTTTGTTTTTTTTTTGAAAATTGTTTTGTGGAGGGGTTTTCAGAATCAAAAAATTAATAATTTTAAAATGAATGGGAAACGATTTTAGAGTTTTTCTTAAGTCTGATTCCCCAAAAAATTATATTTTGAAAATTTTCAGCAATTCTAAACTCAGGATTAATAAACTTCATCTTTCAAATTCAAAATCTGTGGTTAAAAAATAGAAAAAATACTCTTTTTTGAAAAATTTGTCATTATTTTTCATTTCCAAACATAGTCAAATATGATAAATTTCAGAGCTCGTGCTGACACATCACACTGTGAAAAATTGTTGAAGGAAAGCGAAAAACGCGTCTGGGAATTGAACGAAGAAAAAAGCAAACTTGAATGGCGTTTGGGTGAATTGTCACAATGGTGGAATGATACTAAATGGAAGTATGTTGCTTCTTAAAAATCTGAAAAAAAAAAATTTCTAGAAAAATATATAAAAAATGTTTGCAGAGTCGGTGAACTTGAAGCCTCAGTGGCGCAACAACGAAATTTGCTTGATACAGCAAACGCTAAAATCCTTAGTCTCAACGATGAGTAAGTTCATTTTTATTTATTTCCATTTATTTTTTTAATTTTCTTTAAAATCTATATCTGTTTAGGTTAATACAGGAGGTCAGGTAAGAAAATCAGGGTGTTTTGATTTTTCTTCTGTTTTTCTTGATGTTATAACGGTTTGTGTGAAAACAATACTATGTTGTGAAACATAATTTTGAAATCTAAAAAAAATCACAAAACAAAAAAAATCATATCATTTTCAGAAGTCACACCGGAACATTGAACTTGCCAACTGATGGATTCACCATCAGCCAAAACACACAAGGTTCATGGAAATTGGCCAAGTGAGTTTATCCCAAGTCTCCTGATTTCCTCCCATAACTCATTTTCAATTTAGCGGAACAGCTCAACCAACTTTCACTTATCCATCAATCCCATTGATCCCAGCTACAATCCCAACATTTCCTGGAACTTTAGCTGGATTCAGCAGCAATTCTGGTGAACGACAAGTTACTCTTACTATCAGCGATATTGAAAATGATGTTTATTTGACTGTAAATATTCTGAAACCTTTTTAAAATATTTTTTTATAAAAAAAATGTTTTCAGGGCTCATTCATTAACTGGAAGTGTGCCTTGAAATGCGAAAAATTGCCAAGTGGAAAGAAAGGAGTTGCTGTAACTTTGGCCAGAGGAAGACACGAGTTCCGCTTCATGAATAATGGCGAATGGGTAACATCGAACGATTATCAACAAGTTCCAAATGGCTTGGGCGGACAGAACAACATCATTTATGTCGAATAATCATTTTTTCTTCTTCTTCTCACCTTTTTTTTGCAAACCATATCCCCGAAACTTTCGATATGCGGTTCTTAATTGCAGTTATTTTTCTTCATTCTTCTAATACAAAAAGTTTTTGGGTCTTCTGCAATTTATTTCTTATATTTTTGCGGGAAATTCACTGTTAATAAATAATTTCAATAATTGATTTGGGTTCTGTGAACCTTCGAACCTAGTGCCAAAATTTTAGTTTCTCATCTTGCTACAGGAAGTCCACAATTCTGGAAGTTTTTAAAAAGGAATACTGGACAATTTGTTTTTCGAAGCCAAAACCTACGATAAAAATTAATATGAGCAATATCCAAAAATTTATAAATTTTGACTAGACATTTTGTAACAAAAAAAATTATTATACTCTAGGTCCAACTGAGCTTCCATTAGAACGAAGTTGGAAACTGAACAGATTCTGGCCAAAAATCACATCTCGAACATTTCTATCACAAATCAATAATGTATACGGCATACTGAAACTTAGCTGGAAAATACAAAATTATAGATATTTCTCCCAGCTTCAACTCACCATGTCTGAAACGCACATCAGCATATTTGATTGCTCGTCACTATTCATATCAGGAAAGAGCAAACCTATCGTGAACTCCCAGACTATGAGCATCAGATAGACTACTGAATTTATGGCAACTATGATCGTCATTCGTCTCATCATATCTTTGGTTCGCTGATCTTCTTGATGATTTGTGAAGCGGGCTCGAAGATTTCTTAGGGTTAGAGTTCCAAGTGTGACAATTGATAAGAAATAGACGAGAGTGCAGATGACAAGATGACAACTGTATACAAATACTTCTTCCTGAAATCAGAGAACTTAGGCTAACTCTGTCTTCCCATAACTCACCACTGGAATATACCACCAATTAGTAAAATAATTTATAGTTTCATTAAAAATCATTGGGTGAAACACATGAGCAATGGGTAAATTGATACCAACAGCATAAAAACACAATCCTAAATACACTAACAAATACCATTTTGCCCAAAATTTGTTAGCATTTTCAAATTGAATTAAACTGTAGCGATAAAAACAAAGGATAATTATACTAACACTTTGAGTTTGAAAGAAAAAATGTTGGGAAAACGCGACAAATTCGAAAATCCAATGATGATCATAGTAAAGGTTTTTCAAAAGATAACCAGTATCTGGCCGCATGGCTAACCGGAAAATCCAAGAATTCAAAAAGCAACCTAAATTTAGTATCATATCACATTGCACAATTCTATAGAATGAGGAACTCTTGAATTTCTCGTGAAGTCCAAGTAAAACCAGGAAGAATAATATGAGCAATACCGAAAATGTGCCATAGTAAAGCCAAATGTGCAAGAGAAGCTCCATTATAGTTTATTTTTGAGGAAAACTGATTGTTAGGAATAATGAGGAAAATGCCATGTAATTTTTTATAAATATGACATTTTTGAGAAAATTAGAGGTTTCTAGAGATGTTGATCATCTTGTTATTTTGAGCGCATAAATGTTTTAGTGATAGGTTGTTTTTATTTCCAATTTTTTTCAAAAATATTTTATTACATGGCAAAATACTTTTTTTTTGAAAGATGAAAAAATGAAACAGAGGAAAACAGAAAAATCGTAGGAGATCAGATCACAGGGATTCAGAAAAAACACAATTAAATTACAATTTTCAATTCAACAAAAGATAAAAACTCCAATAAGCTAAGTTGAATAAACAGAAGACCAGTGGGAAAATGATTCGACATCTGGAATTTATAGATTTATCACTGATGTTTTAAGAAACTTCAAATACCTTTCATCAATCCGTTGTGCAACACGTCGACCACGTAAATTTCGAAGTGCTCGAGTCCAATTAAATGCTCGTCGAGATACGTCAACAGTCTAAATTAATTTATCGGTTTTTTATTGGAACTGTGAAATTTGGTTTTTCATCATATTCAGACTTGTTGTAAAATTATAACTGAAAAAATCACAAGAAAACAAACTTAATGAAAAAAAAAGCGAAAAACTCACGGCGTGACGCATGCTTGCTACCTGTTGTCTGAGACGTGAAAGTGATGCTTTTGATCGTTTACGTTTCATTCGATCTGCACCAACGAAATACCTGCAAGTAAGCTCAATTTAAATAATTTTTGCAAGGAAAAAACTCTCAAAAAATGTTCTTTGTACTTTTTTCTCTCCGTCTCACTCTCTCATTTTTCCCCATTTTCTATAGAGATTTTTCTAGCATCTCAAAACATGCAGGGATGGCCGAGCGGTCTAAGGCGCCAGACTCAAGCGTGCAATTCGCTTGCCTCGTGAGTTCGAGGTACACTGGGTGTTCTGGTACTCGTATGGGTGCGTGGGTTCGAATCCCACTTCCTGCAGATCACTTTTTGCTTTTTTCGCTTTTTTTTGCCTGTTATTGCAGCGCAAAAAAAATTGCAGTTCGATTTGTATTTTTCTTTTTTTTTTAAGTTTGCAAATTTTCCTTGTTTTAAAAGGCCTGCTGGAGTATAATTATCTGTTGCTTCTGGGTGGCTTACTAAGCCTAAGCCTGAGAGGAAGTGTCATTTACAATTAGGTCTCAACTCATCGACTTCATTTTTACATTTTTGGATTATTCCAAATCTGTAACTTTTTACTTTTTCGAAAATAAATATTTAGATTTTTGTTAGCTACCCGCTCAAATCGAAATTTTTATTCGGGCGGGATGACGTCATCCAACAACACAAATTTTTGTTTTTTAACAGTGTTAATAAAATTTTACAATTTTGGATTATTCCAAATCTGTAACTTACCAATTAAAAAAAAAGATCTGCATTTAACAGTCTGCGTTCTCGTAAGATGTTAAGAACAAGAATTACAATCAATTTCATAGAAAATTACAAGTTTTTTGTTCAAAAATTGACTCGTGGCTAATTATCACAAAAAATTAGAAAATTAGAAAATTATTTCGAAATATCACGCTTGGTCCCAACAATTTTATTAATTTTTCTGAATTTCTGTGAAAGGTATCTACTATTTCAATGAAAAACCGTGACTCACTTTGTGCCATTTGCTGCGATATCATTTCCTTGATGATTTAAGGATCTTAATCTGGGCTCTTCTGGATTAAGAAAATTCAAAGATGGTCGCATCGCAATCTCCTCTTCATTCTGAAACATTTTTGAATTATTATTTTTGAATGACAGAACATTTGGAACAGAATAAGAAGCGCACAAAAAATCATGCATAGGGGAAACGTAAAAGGATTCTTGATGTTTTTAATGATTTTTTCACTTTTCGCACCAGATCATCAATATCCCTTGCGGCTCCAAAAAGCGTTGACAAAGCTGTGTCGACAAGCAATGATGGTTGAGCATCTCCTCGTAATAATTCCAGATTTTTCGCATAATGACAAATCGTAAACTCGATCATTACTCCAAACACAAATGCCTGAATGGTTTTTTTTTGAAAATGAAGGGTTTTGATTTCAAACATACCATACAAAAGCCCATCCAAACATCAATAGCTTTCATATAACTGACTTCTGGAAGTGCCAATTTTAGCGCGTTTGCTTGTGTTGAAATTGTCAAAAGTGTGGTGATACTCAAAGAAACTCTTGCTGGAGCTGAATCAATTTCTAGCCAGAAATTGAACCAGGAGATTACAACTATTAGAGCAGTTGGGACATAAGTTTGCATTATATGATGCATCCTTTCTCGTTCAACGTAAAATGTTGCTGTCATACAACTCCATTCCCCTAAAAAATGTTTTGAAGTTATTTGAATTAGCAAACTTCATTCACATGGGCCCTATCAAAATCAAAAAAAAATTATATTTTCTTTCAAATTGTTTATTTTTTTTATAAAACTTTTCAGTTTTCCCCGTATTTTACCAGTAGCATATGTTCCATTACAATATCCAGTTTTAATATTTTTCAAGGTCATATCAGGCATTGTGATATCAGGATTACTGTCAATTGCTGGCAAATTATCTTTAGTCGACCAAAGTAGACGTAGAACAGTTATTGGATATGCATATGACAATATTCGTAAAGCGCATTCCTGCGAGTCCAAAGGATACTTCCACAAATCCATATTGCATGAGCTCACCTACGACAAGTCTTTTGTTTTTTTTTAGTTTCTATTTTGACAGAAAGAAGTCTTTCAACTTAACTCACAATTGAAATTCTCGCGTCATACCAAACTCGGCCATCCGGAAAAATCCAAACTAGGAAGTTGTCGTCGGTGATGTCCTGGAGGCAAAATATAAATACAATTTGCATATTTTTTGGGTAATGTTTATTTGCAAAAAAAAACGAAGTACCTGAAAAGCTGCTGATCTTGCATTAGCAAAATATACATCTGGGTGCCACATTTTCTTGAAAACCGCCAGATCTCGCACCAAAATCGGAGCGGTATCATTATGAGCTAAACGATGATCATACCACTCTTCTTGAAAATATACGTCGAGACTATAATCCATTGTTTGAGCACCTGAAAATAGTACCTAATATGAGTAAAATCACAAAGATTCAAAAATATCTTAAATTTATCCACCGTAACCCAAAACTCACTGAATGAACTCATTCCTTCAATAAACATGGATAATGTGACATTCGTGGGAATCCCTGAAAATGAAAAAAAATTTTTTACTGAATTCAAAAATTACCTAGAAGATCTCTATGTATGTGTCTTCCTGAACTATCTAATCAAATCTTACCGTCATATTGTGTAGGTGCCGCAAATCGATTATAAAATGTTTCGTTTCCAAGTTTTTCCAGAAATGCATTTGTTAGTGAAATAAATGTGATTTTTTCTTGACATGTTGATATCATCAGTGTGGAAAGACTCAAAAATATTTGGAAAAATAAAAACATTTTTTATGATAACTAGTTTATTTACTTTGATAATGTTACTTCGTATTGTTGAATTGAGATTATCAAATCGATCTGAAATTAAATTGAATTTGAGCACATTTCTCGAAGAATTTTCAATTAAAGATTGTCAAATTTTAGTGAAACTGGTTCAAAGTTCAAAAAAAAAACAGTGAAACATTGTGTAAAATGGCTTGATGAAGCCATTTTTCTCAAGAAAATGCGAATATGCAAATATGTGCAAGTTTGGCGCTGTGTTTCTTTTTCCGATTTTCATAAAAAATCCATTGAGTTACAACTTTTTCTCTCGAATGAGCTTAACTTATTTTTTTTCTCGAAGGTCATGTTTAAAAATCAAGCAATAAATAAAACTGGTGTCGCTCTAACTGTGGGTCATACATGAACTGGGACACACTCATACATGAACTGGGACTCCGAATTCGGAGAGAGGGGGGTTAACTTCTGGTGGATTTTTAGAGGTAACTTTTGAAGATTTTAGGGTATTTTATGCTTTTTCGATAAAAAATCAGCAAAAAATTTGTATGGGGGGTTAACTTTCCGAAAACTTCCCCTGGAAGGGGGGTTAACTCGAGAGTCTCCGGAGCGACTAGTTCATGTATGGTCACATTGCCAAAATTCTAAAAAATTTGTTACTCTGAAAACTACATTCCGGAAAAAATGGAAGAACAATGGAATGAAAATGGGCGTGGCTAACATAAGATTCTTTGAACTCGGAATAGGTAATTTCTTAGAAGCACAAGTTTACACTATACAAGTCTTTTCATTCAAACCTCTTGTAGTGGAAAAGGTTGGAATTCAAATAATCCTATGGCTTAACTTACATTTCGAATTGAACCTAACTTCTTGAAAACAATGTGCTAAACCTTACTTGTCTAATAGAAACCATAACACAAATTTTCATATTTTGTTACAGATTCCAAAAAATGTTTATCATTTTTTCTATAAAATGTTTTTTTTCAATTTTATTCAAAAGATTTTATTACATGACAAACGGATTTTTTGTTGAACTTTGACGTTGAATTAGAAAATATGACAATGAAGAATGAAACAAGGAAAACAGGAAAATCGGGTTGAAAAATGGAAAAGATACATACACAACGTAGGAGATCGGATCACAGGGATTCAGAAGAAAAACACAATTAAATTACAATTCTTTAATTTATCAAAAGATAAAAACTCCAATAAGCAAGGTTGAATAAACAGAAGACCAGTGGGAAAACGATTCGACATCTGGAATTTATAGATTTATCACTGATGTTTTAAGAAAGTTCAAATACCTTTCATCAATCCGTTGTGCAACACGTCGACCACGTAAATTTCGAAGTGCTCGAGTCCAATTAAAAGCTCGTCGAGATACGTCAACAGTCTGAAATAATTAATAATATGTGTATTGGAACTGTGAATCTTGATGTTTCTCAACCAGTAAATAAACCTGTTTTAAAATCGTAACCGAGAAAAAAACCCATGCTTTTCATAACAAAAAATTTTCGAAAACAAACTTAATGAATAAGTGTTCAAAATTATCAGCCCTGATAAAAGCCTGAAAAAATCGGCAAAAAAGCGAAAAACTCACGGCGTGACGCATGCTTGCTACCTGTTGTCTGAGACGTGAAAGTGATGCTTTTGATCGTTTACGTTTCATTCGATCTGCACCAACGAAATACCTGCAAGGAAATCTCAATTTAAATTATGCTTGCTAGGAACAAACTCTCAAAAAATGTTCTTTGTACTTTTTTCTTTCCTTTTCTCTCACTCTCATTTTTCCCCATTTCCTATAGAGATTTTACTAGCATCTCAAAACATGCAGGGATGGCCGAGCGGTCTAAGGCGCCAGACTCAAGCGTGCAATTCGCTTGCCTCGTGAGTTCGAGGTACACTGGGTGTTCTGGTACTCGTATGGGTGCGTGGGTTCGAATCCCACTTCCTGCAGATAACTTTTTGCTTTTGTTTCTCGCTGCTAATTTTCTCGGGGTATTTTTTTGTGGCTTACCTAGTGCCATTTGCTGTGATATCATTTCCTTGATGATTAAGGGATCTTAATCTGGGCTCTTCTGGATTTAGAATATTCAAAGCAATATGATCACCATCTGGTCGCATCGCAACCTCTTCTTCATTCTAAAATTTTTTGAATTATTATTTTCAAATAACTGAATTTTTGAACATAATAAGAAGCGCTCAAAAAATCATGCATAGGGGAAACGTAAGAGGATGCTTGATTTTTGTAAAGTGAAAGGAGAACAAACCCATTCAGTCTCTTCTACCTGAAAAGCAACAAATAAGAACGAATAAACTAATGTGTTAGCAACAGAAATTAGTGTGAATAATTGAAAAAAAAACACGAAGCCGTTCCTATCTTACTATTAAATTATAATATTCTGAAAATCTGTTGAAAAAAGTTGATAAAAAATTGAAATTTTGTAAAAATAAAAAAAGTTAGTGTGCAGTGAACTACAAGCAACATACAAGCGATGCCACTTTTCGCACCAGATCATCAATATCCCTTGCGGCTCCAAAAAGCGTTGACAAAGCTGTGTCGACAATCAATGATGGTTGAGCATCTCCTCGTAATAATTCCAGATTTTTTGCATAATGACAAATTGTAAACTCGATCATTACTCCGAATACAAATGCCTGAAATAATTGTTTTTTTGAAAATAAAAGGTTTTGATTCTAAACTCACCATACAAGAACCCATCCAAACATCAATAGCTTTCATATAACTAACTTCTGGAAGTGCCAATTTCACTGCGTTTGCTTGTGTAGAGATTGTCAAAAGTGTAGTGATACTCAAAGAAACTCTTGCCGGAGCTGAATCAATTTCTAGCCAGAAATTGAACCAGGAGATTACAACTATTAGAGCAGTTGGGACATAGGTTTGCATAACATGATGCATCATTTCTCGTTCAACATAGAAAATTACTGTCATACAACTCCATTCTCCTGGAAATATGTGGATCAGTTTTTTTAACGACAACAAGCAACTGATAAAGTATTCCTAAGGTCACAGATAAAGGTCAGCTTATGGAATTTTAGACATGTATAAAAAACTCAGTAGACGCTTATTAGTAGTTTTGGGGCTACGAAGCTTTTCTTTTTATTTTTTCAAATCATGTGTATGCTTGTTAGAACTCCCAATCTTTCCCGTGATTTACCAGTAGCATATGTTCCATTACAATATCCAGTTTTAATATTTTTCAATGTCATATCAGGCATTGTAATATCCGGATTTCGATCAATCGCTGGCAAATTATCTTTGGTCGACCAAAGTAGACGTAGAACAGTGATTGGATATGCATATGACAATATTCGTAAAGCGCATTCTTGCGAGTCCAAAGGATACTTCCACAAATCCATATTACATGAGCTTACCTAACAAAACAATTCTTTTGTTTTCTTTTTTTAGTTTCTGTTATTTTTACAAAACATAAAGAAATCTTTCAACTCAACTCACAATTGAAATTCTCGCGTCATACCAAACTCGGCCATCCGGAAAAATCCAAACTAGAAAGTTGTCGTCGGTGATGTCCTGGAGGCAAAATAAATAAAATTTGCATATTTTTATTTTTTTTTAGTTTGGGTAAAGTTTATGTATTTGGAAAAAAACAATGTACCTGAAAAGCTGCTGATCTTGCATTTGCGAAATAAACATCTGGGTGCCACATTTTTTTGAAAACCGCTAGATCTCGCACCAAAATTGGAGCGGTATCATTATGAGCTAAACGATGATCATACCATTCTTCTTGAAAATATACGTCGAGATGATAGTCCATTGTTTGAGCACCTGAAAATCGAGACACATGGGGTAAATTTGTATGACTCATAGGAGATTCAATTAAAATGTTCTCGATTAAAGCGTTAATATGAAATTTCCGATAAGTTTTTATATAAGGGATGTTTTTCCGAAGATCATTTATACCAGGAAGTTTGATAAATACTTTTATGATCTCTGCCTCAGAATAAAAAATGTATATTGAAATTGTAAGATCACTAAAATTTGTAGATGTTTTTCTCCGGGAAAATTCGGAAGTTCCGGATATGATTTCAAAGTCAAAACATCAAACAATATTTTTCATAGCCCAAAACTTACTAAATGAACTCATTCCTTCAATAAACATGGACAATGTGACATTCGTGGGAACACCTGAAATCAAAAAAATTTCACAACATTAATAAATCACCAAAACACCATTAAAACAACATGTTATCATATCCATCTTCCCTGTTAATAATCAAAGTGCAAAAAAAGCAAAAATCTGTTTTTTTTTCATATAGCAAGTGTGAAAGCCTAGAAATATAGCGTGAATCTTTGATTGAGAAAAAAAGGCGGGATGGTCCCAGAACCATCCATAATTGTGAAAAGCAAAAATTACACGTTAAAAAAGCGTATAGTAGTAGTAGAGTAACACAATTACCATACCTCTTCCATGAATACGTATATATTCTAAAAATGAAATGATTAAGTGCTCTTTGTTAGAAGGTAAAAACAAGAAAAACAATATATGGTTGTATAAATTGAAAGCCTGCCTGCTTCAAGCTTTTTTGGATTTATGCCTGTCTTTCTGAATTATGTGTTTATATCTTACCGTCATATTGTGTAGGTGTGGCGAATCGATTATAAAATGTTTCGTTTCCAAGTTTTTCGAGAAATGCATTTGTTAGTGGAATAAATGAGATTGCTTCTTGGTGTGATGATATCATCATTATACCAACACTCAAAAATATTCGGAAAAATGAGAGCATTTTTAAATGATATTTGGGGCTTTCTGGAATTTGAATTGATAAAATGTTACTCCGTATTTTTTTTTTGATTTGGGATTATCGCATTGATCTGGAATTACATTCGGATTAAGAACAGCAATAAAACTCAAAAAAAGAAAATTAAGAATTTGAAACCTGAATATCAAAAAAGAAGCGGAATAAATATGGGCGTGGCTGAATTTTCTGAAACAGAAGACTTGAAGAAAAATTTTATTTTATATAAATTCTCCTCTTGAAAATCGAGGACACTGGAATAAAATGGGCGTGGCTAAGATTCCTCGCATTCAGAATTGAGAAATCGTCAAAAAATTTTGATTTCTGAATAAATATTTTGAGAATCCGAAAATTGTCCTACCAAGGGTCAACAAACTTCGAATTGCCAAAATTAAACTTTTTCAAAAATTTTCAAAAAAAAATGTGGGAGGATACTGTATTGAAAGCTTTGAAGTCAGAAAAAGCTTGGAATAAAATGGGCGTGGCAAAAAATTCCTTATGTTAGAATTCTCTCAATTTTTTTTGAATTATGACGTAAAATTACAGTAATCAATTTCATCCTGATTTTTGATGTTGAAAATTCTCTGCTCTTCTGCTATTTTTGAAATCCAGACCGGAACAAACACTTTTCCATAATCCGGAAATGTCCTACTCACATTTAGTTAGGTCAAAAATTAATAAAAAACCATACATTTTTTATAGTTTTTTCTAGACAGAAACTTGATCGTCAGAAAGAGAGGTCAGTGAGTTTTGAGGTCGAAAAAATTTATTTTGGCCGATGGAGTGAAAAAAAAATTGATGAGTTTTCGAATTGAAATGAATGAAATGAAATAAACAAAAAAAGAAGCATACACACAAAAAAAATCAAATATGCGAGAAATGCTTAAAATTCAATGACATTGAAAAATACACGAGGATAGATAGAAAAAATAGGCAAAATACACATTCCTAAAACAATTTCCCGCCCGGCTGCAAAAACAAATGAAATGAAATTTCGAACATAGATCGACCGGATATTCGGATTTTCTTATTTTTTCAGAAATGTAAGGGATCTTTGAGAAAAATCTATCTACAAAACGTTTTTTTTTGTTGAAACCAAGTCCAAAGGGTCACTCAAAAACTGGCACAAAAGAACAAAATTTTCAATTTATTTTCCACCTGAACGATGAATTTTTTATTGGTTGCAAAATTGAGGTGAAGCGAAATTTTTGCGCTGTTGAGATAAAATGAAAATGTTGCCAACAAGTTGAAGAAAAATGAAATGCATTTGATATGTCGTGTCTTTTTCAAGATAAATGAAGTGGGAAGTTTTCGATTCCGTTTTTTTTTTTCGTTTTTTTTTCTTCAAAAAGACAATGGATAAATAAATACATAAATAACATTGAGATCCATTCGTTCGTTTTGAGTCTGATGTCTTGCGTTTTCTCAAAAATTGGAAACATCTGCGATTTTTTCTTGCTTTCTTTTCTTATTTTTTGTATATGTGCTTTTTTCGCAGACTAACATAATTATTTGAGTGAATGAGATTTAGAAACAAAAGCATAAGAAATTATGAAAATTCAATTCACAGGGTGGTCTCACATTCAAAAAATCAATCATTAGAATTTGAAAGAACAAAAGAAAAATAATGATAACTACACGCTGTGTGTACATGGAGTGTGGCCCGTCCCGCTAGAATGTCGGTCAATGCGTTTTTCTAACTGACACTCGGCTGAAGTGTCAAACAGGTTCAACAGAAGCCTTGGGGATCTTGGATCAGGATATCTAATATAGAGTGGAAAGTTCAACTCACGTGGGAGCTTTAGCCATGCTGGATCTATTCTCTGAAGCAGAGCTGGAGGCCCAAAATGATATAGTGAGGACCAATTCCACATTTTAGCCCCGAATTGCTAATTGAAAAATGTTCTCAGAAGTTAGGATAAGTTCTAAATGCAGAAAACCAGAATATTTTTCCGGGAAAAGCCTAGAAGCGTTATTCAAACACGAAATTTCAGAAATCTAGAAATTTTCAGAAAAAACAGAAATTCTTACGTCAAACACGTTTTTCTAACTGATCTATATCTCTAGTGAGAAAATATTCATTCCAAGAAAAAAGAAGTGCTGCTGAAAAATTTCCTCAATACCAATATATGTTTTATGTAATTGGTTTAATGTTTTTGTTGGGGAATGGAATAAGCTTCTTGTCGTCAGCTCTTCTTCTTCTCCTTCTTCTTCTATTTTGCATGAAACTAAAATCCAATTCGTTTTATTGAGAAGAGATTGCAAAAAGGACAAAGAAAATAATTTTTAGACTGAAGATTGAAAAAAATACATAGAAATGGAGTGAAAGAGAACGGTTTTTATTATAGCCGAAGCCAACTATTGAAAACTTAAAAAAACAAGCAAATATTATGAATTTTAAAGTGTCCATTTTGCCCGCCCTTTATACACAACAGTTGAAAAAAAAGTGTCTATCTTCATTTTCTCTCCTTCTCGAAATAGTGTATGACAACCTGGTTGGTGGAAAATGTGGCCTCCTTAGCTCAGTTGGTAGAGCGTGAGACTTTTAATCTTAAGGTCAGGGGTTCGAGTCCCCTAGGTGGCTTGATTTTTTTATTCATTCTTTTTTTCAGAAATAAAAAAAAACTTACAGTAATCTTGAGAGATGAGACTAAAGGTTCTTTTTTCTTGCTAGCTATAACAATAAAATGTAACGGAAGATAATAAAACAAGAAGAAAGTAATAATTATTTTTCTGGGAGATGGAACATTATTTATTATTTTGGAAGATGTCTATATTTTAATTACTGGTTATATAAAAAACAGCAAAAAATTGGAAGAAAAGAAAAATAATAAATCTTCAAAAGCAGCAAAAAATAATGGAGCAACAAAAACGTAGCATAGTCATAATAACCTCTAGACATTCAAAAAAAGTAACTTTTTGTGTGTGTGAAATTCCAAATTGAATGAAGGCCGAAAAAAGGTCAAGATTTTGTGCTCGCACGTAAACTAGGTTAGAATTGTGGCTTCAAAAAAAGAAAAAAAATGTGTCATTGTTGTAGAAAAAAAGCATGAAAAAGTCAAGTTGAACCCTTTTTTCAGATTCGGAAAAAAACGAATAAGAGGTTTAGGATTTGGGACCAGAGGCTTATGATAATTATGTGAATTTGCTACAGAATATTTCTTACGATGTCAGGAACAAAAAAACATTCAAGACGTTTTTTTTTGACACGGAAGTCGAGGTCACGCAATTATTGCCAAAAAATTGACCTTTTTGTAGGCTATAATGAAAAAGCGGATAAGGATCATCATAACCAAACAAATGAATGAATATTTTCTTGCAAAACCTCAAATAGAAGACAGGGAGTGTGTGAAAAATGCAATTTGACTCTCATCATTTCAGCTATTTTTCGGAAGCCATATTTTGTCTTCTTCCATTTTTCTATTCTATTTGACAAAAAGAACAAATGATGACTTTTTAATGTTGTTTTAATAAGTGATGGATTAAACACAACATTTTGCAACATTTTTAAATGACGTTAGAAACAACATGCGATGATCGAAGGAAGCTGAATTGAGTTAATGTTTGAAAAAATAAGAAATTCAGAAGAGTGAGTGAAGAAATTTGAACTTGTTTGAAATGAGTCACACAAAATTTGAAAAAATAAATATATTGAAAGATGAGCGGTCGATGAGTTCAGAGAAAAATTGAAGTTTGGGTTTTGGTAAAAAGTTCTTAACAACGCCCGAACCTAAAATACTTCCCTATCTACGCTACAAAGCTCTGGTGAATAGTAAAAAAATTGAGGCTTTATGAAGTGAGCCACAAATTTTTGAACAATATATAATTAAAAAACGAACGGAGCATCAAAAAATAATAAAATATGAGCAATATTTTTTGACTAACAAGATGGTAGTGTTTTTTTCTCGAAACAAATCTCGAGTTTGATGCATTCAAAAGTATGCAACATTTTTTGAGAGAGGGAAAAATGACATCAAAAATGGGAACAGAGTTGATTAAACATTCTGGAAGGTTCAATCTAAAAATAAAAATTCGTAAAACCTGTAAAGTTTATAAACAAAACTTTGAACAAACTCTGTACTTTATTCAAACTTTTTTCAAAAAGTTACGTATCCGTCATGAATAATAAACTGATTCATACTTTTCTTTGAAAAAGACACCCTTTTCTCCGAATAAGGCAAAACAAAAATGAAATATACACGGGAGGGAAATAACAAATTTTCGTTCCTAGCCTAGCGCATAAAAAAACGATTCGTTTCTCCAATGTTTTTAGTGTTAGTGTAGAAGGAAGCGAAAGAATAATAACATGCGTGTATCAATTTTTTGGGCAGAAATTCGAAACCATGAATTGGTGTTGTTGGTATATTTCAAATACCAATTTTTTGCACGCAAACTGACTGCAAAGAACCAAGCAAAGAAAAAAAAGGAAAGGAAATCGACTAAATACGTGTTGCAAACTTTTGCTGATGCTTCTGAACCAACCGGATATTGTTTATTTCCGGGTGGAGGAGGAGGAGTGAAAAATATATATTTTTATATTTTCTTGGAATAAGAACAGTGTTCTGAATACTGTAATACGGAAATTTGAATTGAACAGATTATTGTTTAGAATACTGTTTAGAATCTGAAATTATGGTTTATTTGTCACAGATTTTGAAAATTAGAAATCCTGAATGTGAGATTAAAATTGGAGTAAAAATAAGAAGGCTCATTCTCAATATAAAATCATCTTGATTATCTGGCGCTGAATTTTCAGAAAAAAATTTATCAGCTAAAGCTGAGCTGAAATAATTCCAAAAACAAGATTTAAGACAAATTTTTGAATGTGACCATTTACAACCTGAACACCATTTTTTTCAAAACAAAAAACAACTATTTCTGAAAAATGTCCTCACCAGAAAATAGGTTCTAACTTATGTAAACCAAGAATTTAGAATAATGACGTAGACATGGACATTTGGAAACTCCCAAAAAGCAGAAAAAAAACTTTTCTTTATGTTTTGGTAGAATCCTCATTATATATAAACAAATATAAGCCATGACGAAGAGACAGACAGTTGGTGGGTCAAATCTCAGAAAATGGAAATATGAGACCAAAAAATATGGAAATTATGTGAAAGTTTAGTTTGAATTTTTTTTCAAGCAAAAACCAGTAACTCATACTTTTCAAGTGTATGAAGAACAATAATTCAGAATTCAAATTTTGAATTGAATCTTTGAACTTAGTACGAAATTCGATCCAGCAACAAAAAATGTGACATATTTTGTGTGTCAAACGGAGCAATCAAAATAACTAACTGACTAACACCTTTCAAGATGAAAAAAATGAAAAACGAAGAGAACGGCAAAAAATTGTCAGTCTAGGTGTGCAACATGAGTTTGATTGAATGATTGATTGATTTTCAGCTGTTTTTTGAATCATGTTTTTCTGATTGAAGGTGGCTAAAAATCAAGTTTGTGAAAGAATTGAGTTGTGCTATGTTATGTTAGTTTGGATTTCAAGTTGCCTCACAGAATTTTTGAAAAATGTCCACAGCAGTCCAGATTTGTGAGCCTAACAATTGAACTGTAGGTTCAAAATAAATTAATGTTTTCTAAAATGTATGAACGGGATAAGACATACTTCAAGAACATTTTTTTCAAATAAAAACCCATTCTGGAAGTGGAAAATGGAAGATCATTTATCTCCTGAAAAAATCTCTGATCTGACTTCTTAAAAATCAAATTTTCTAAAAATTCAAAATTGTTCACGATCCAACCAACAATAAAAACGAAACATAATAGAAAATCAAATCAAAAACTCTCGAAAAAAACGAGATAACATCTTCATTTGATTCATTTCGAAAATTGAACAGTTGTTTTAAGCAGATATACAACAAGCCTCACAATTTTTGATGGTCTTTTTATAGGCTCCCGCAAGTGAAGTAGAGCAACTTTTATATACTTCGTTTCAGACTACGGTAGCAGCACAACTTTTCGCTTTTTATTATTTGTTATTTTTAGTTTTGACACACGCAAAAACAACATTTGATTGTTTTCGTTTCTTTTCAACTATCTGTCGACATTTCGGATTTATTTCCACTTTTTTCGTCATTTTTATATGCTTTTTGATGATTTACTTGACTTGTTGTTTTTCAATTAGTTCTGTTCCTATTGGAAGAACCGAAGTACGGTAAAGTGCCCTGGAAGATTTCGAAAAAGTCCCCCGATAATACATAGACAGAATCCTTATTTCTGCCTAAAAGTGCAAGTTTGTGTGCCCTTTTTATGAAGTACGTAATGAATACAGAACCACAATTTCTTGACCACAAAAATTGTTTTTTTTTCCTTTTATAAATTAATTTTCATTATTAGGAAAGATTATGCGTTTTGTTAAGAAGAACAAAAAAGAAATACAGTTACATGAGAGTATCATAGATTTTGTGTGGTGATACATTTTTGGGGTGATTTACAACGGTTTGAATTTGATATGCTGGACGAACAAATGCTGATGGTCGAAGAACGGGAACAACAGGCCTGCAAAAAATATAGATAGATGTGAATTTTGAACTCAATTGACACACCTTTCCATTTTCTTCTTTGCTAACTCATTTTCACGCTTCAATTGATCGATTAATTGAGTCTTTTCGGCGAGCTCCTGGAAGATTGGAAATAAAAAAAACGTTTGTCAATTGATCATTTTCAATAGTGTTGTTGATAAATGATGAGAGAATTGAAAATGTTTTCTTTTTTGCAACAAGCTAACAACAATAGAAATAACAATGATGACCCGCTTTTTTACACTTTTTGATTTATGGAACTTTATTTCAATTGTTTGTTTTTTTGGAGGAGTTTGGGGGTTTGAAAATCGTATAGTTATGGAATTTTATAATGCGCTTATTAGATACAAAAAAGTTGAACTTCTGAAAAAGAAATGCTATAGTTTAAGCAAATGTGTATAGTAAAATTCGAGAAAGAGTTTTTCAAAATACTGATTGTGAAAAATATCAAGATGCTTGAAAGAAGACTGGAAAATGATATTAGAAAAATCACAGAGGAAAGAGTTTTTTTTAAGTTCTGGAAAGGTTTGAGCTCAATTCTATCTACGTTAGAAGATAATTTTAATTATTTAAAAATTACTGCAATACAAAATAATTTCTATTTGGTCCAATTGATCCAAACTTCAAATATTTGTGATTTTCTGGAATCCACTTTTCCGAAAACACTTTTTGCAGATTTTTGACTAAAATTGACTTAATTGACCTAATAAATTTCAAATCAGTTAAGCTCAGCATTCAACATTTTCGATAAAATAATTTTTTTATGTTCACCCCTCAAAATCTCCCGAAAATTTCTATAAACTATAGTGTTTTTTGAATCCACGCAATAATTCTCGCGTCACTATTCTCAAATTTTATAATTGTAACTTCAAATTTGCTACAAAAATGTGATCTGATATCATTTCCCACAGTTTTCCCAAAATAAATATTTCAATATGAAAATACGTCATGAATGTTTTCTCCAACTCAAAAAACTTGTTCTCTTTCGGGAACATTCACTAATTACAAGCTTCTGTTGTTCTCGAAGCTCGAAACCCCTTTCGAAATGAAAAATAATTTTTTTTTGTTATTTTCTTTCTAGAAAAATAATATGGAATTGTATCGTTTCGTGGAGTGATTAATCATATGACTAAAATGTATTTTTCAAGAGATTTTCAACTACAAAAATCTGTTTTTCAGCCCACTGAAAAACTAATTAGGGATTAGTTTCTTGGAACTTACCTGGTTCAATCGTTGATTCTGCCGATGAAGCCACACCAATTGATCATCATTGGCTTTGGTGTTGTTGTTATTGTTAGAAGTGCTCTGGAGAAAAACAATTTTAGAATAAATTCTGGAAGACTTTTCAATACCTTCAAATGTGCTGGAAAACCTCTGTCACTTGTTTCCATGATCGCAACAATTCGTCGATTCAATTCAGTTATATGTGCTCGAAGAAAATTCAGTTTTTGCTCATGAACAGCGGAATCCTGGAAAACATTTTATTTTTGGCGTGTGGTTTTTTGGGATACTGTAATTAATAATGATTTTGTAGCAAGATACAAAAATCAGAAGTTATATATACATACCTATATAAATAGGTGTTTTGCATAAAGAATTATTTTCTTATAAATTGTTAAGTAATAATTTTTATTTTCATCCTCTATTTCAGCCCCAATCAAATATTTTGTTGAGAAGATCCTATTTGGGATTCTAAGGTCATTTGCCCTAACACATCCCCAGATCCCAATTATTTATGTTTTTCATGAGGAAAAAATAGAAAAATAACTAACCAGAGAGACACTACCCTGCTGTAATAATCTAGCTTTTTTCTGTACCGATTGAAGACGCTCCTTATACCAATCCAATAGTTTATTTGCTTGATCTTGTCCTCGTTTTAACATATCACTCTCTTCTCCTTGAAAATATTCGAGACGAGCCTGAAATTAGAAATATTCCTATATGTTTTTTTTAATGTTAGATTTGAAATGTGGTGGCGTTTTCTGATAATTTGATTGACATATGGGAATATAGTACAAGAAAAATTTTGATTTTTGTTATCTTGAATTTTCGGTATTTCGAAAATGATATCATTTCAAAGTTCACATGGTTTTTTGTTGAGAAAATTGCTTGAGGGAGGTATGGGAATTGAATTGAACTCGAAAACAACGATTTTTGTATTATGCCAACTTGTCTAGACAGAAAAAACTGTTATGCTCTAAAATCCACCAACAAACCAAAATATCAGGGTAAATTTGGAATAATTTTGAGAATTTCGTAAATGAACAGGTTCTTGCAACTCGAAGTCTAGAATGAAATTTGTAAGGATTTTGATTTTTTTTTGCAAAATCTGTGAGCCAATGCGATTTTTCCAAAATTAATCTAAATCTTATCATTTTCAAATTCATTCCAATAGTATAGAAATCAACTATTTACCAGATATTTTGTGCTTTTACATTCCAAAAACCACTATCGATAACTATACAACATCCCTCTATTTCTCAATACATCCCACACATTTCTCCCTTCTCTTCTCCGCTTTGTATCTTCGATTTTCTGCGAAAATTTTCTCGAAACGAAGAATACAATTTCTGTTCTGCTGCTGCTGCTGCTCCGCCCTACGATGCTCCGCCTTTTTTCGCGCGTTTGGCTGAAAAAAAGCGATGCGTATAAAAACCATCTGCTCCGCCTCAATAGCACTTCATTTCAATTTCCCAAAAAAACTATTTTTTTGGGAAATGCAACCGGCCATCCTACTTCTTGTCGTCACGTTTTCGACGATTTGGGTCAGCACAGCTTCAGTGCCAATTCAAGTTTACAAAGGAATTGAGCCCGAGGTAAGAGCAGGAGAATTTCGATAAAAAAAACGCATCTAATTTCTAGGGCATCGATGTTGTGGTGGTTGGAACTCCACCAAGAAATGTTGCCTTGCAACGTGTTGATCAACAAGAGAACGAGGATTGGAATCAAGAACAAGATTTGACTGAAGGTGGAATGGGCAAACGAAGCATCGCATTGGGTAGAAGCGGATTCCGTCCAGGAAAGCGTAGTGTAGATTTAGACATTGGGTTAGTTTCGGAAAAACACATTTTCAAAATTAAATCAACTTTTACAGAAACCTTGTGATGAAACGATCAATGGCAATTGGCAGAATCGGATTGCGCCCAGGAAAGAGATCAATGAGTTTCGGACGTCTCAACTTCCGCCCCGGAAAACGCTCGATGGCCTACGGACGTCAAGGTTTCCGCCCAGGAAAGAGATCCATCGAATACCCAGACTTCCCATACCAACCAAATGGTCCAGAACTCATTGTTTTGTAAACTTTTTTTGGACTCTCTCTCACTCTCTCCCCATCTCTCTCTCCCCCAAGATACACACACACACACATAAAATAATATGATAATTTATATGAATCTGATCCCATTTGCCCCCCCCCCCCCCCCACGTTCCTATTCCTTCAAATATTTTTAAACCGAATAAATATTTCTATGCGTTTGTTTGACTTACCACTCGTGGATTATCTTCATCATCATATAATGTATATCTTCGACTGTCTGGAGTGACTGAAGACATGACTGAATTGCGCCACTGAACGTTGTCAATACCGGAAGATGCTGGAAAAACGAACATCAGAAGGGTTTAGAGATAGGGTTCTTGATAGAATTATGATGCTGGACTTGAAATATGAGATTTACTTTTGCGAAAAAAAATTAATAAAAGATTAATCTTTATAATATCCGAAAACAAGTTTGGAAATGAAAATAGATTCTAAAAATTCCACAGTTTGACTATGCTGGAATCTTAAAATTTTTCGAGCATTTTTGAGAATTCGAAAATTGCATTCCAAATCGTTCAAGAAATTATGAGTTTCAGAAACTTTGAAAAATAAAATCTAGAAATTTCATTTGAAAATTTCAGGTAAATTTTCGACTTTTTGTAAATAAAAAATAAAAAAATGTTTCTGAACACGAATTTTTCACAAACAAGAAAAAAATAGAAAAAATCCGGAAATAAACTAACCCAAACTGTTATATGAAGTGGTACTTTGCGGACGACTTCTAACTACTTGAACTCTTTGAATATTGTTCGGCGGTTGTTGTGAACGAAGTCGAGATTCTTCTTTTGCCGATCGAACAGTGCTTGGTTTCTTCGATCTCAACACAACGACTGGTTGATCGAAAAGCAACGAATAATCTGGTGGTGACTGGTTACCTTGTACAATCTGAATAGAAAACAAACATATGTTTTTTTTACTATTATTTCCGTTGGTGATTCACCAAAATGGTTTTTTATTTATCTTTGTGTTACAAATGAGTCATTCGTTCTGGTGTGATTTTGTTTGGCAAGCAAAAAATGCGTGGTGGGGTGGAATTAAAAATTGAAGATGGGAAAAAAGCAAAAACTTACGCTTGGTTGAGAACCATAATGATGGTGTTGAGATCTGTAATCGGCAAGTGAAGGAGAGGAAAAATTATGGCTTCGACGACCGAATCCGTTGACACCCATTGAGGGTGGTTGCATATCTCTGGAAATAGAAAATAAATAGAATGGGATGATTTGAGTGAATAAAAATATTTTGAAACTTTGCCAATTTTCTTTAAATAGGGTGAATTTTAGAACAGACATAGGAATGAAGATTATCTTTAAAATGATACTGCAGGGACCTCTTTTCAGGTGGGGTTGGTAAAAAAAAATCAACTCTGCAAACTAACCTCATATGTCAAAATAAACACTCCTTCAATAAATTCTTCTTCGAAAAATCCACTTTTCTCCAATAAAAAACCGTAATCAAATCAAAATCGAATAAAATGAAATGAAACCTGAAAAAAAAGATTTCTTTTTAATAATTATAATTTTGATACGTATCACTGAATAATAACAATAAACACATATACATTTGATAATATGAAGAAAGAAGAGTGAGTGGAGGGTGAAATGAAAACGAGACGCCACAAAAATCATAATAAATAAATAAATGAATGAATACATTTTAATTTCGAAATTGATAAGGCAGGTATTCCCAAAACAATTTTTCGAAAAAATGAAAATGCTAATAGTAAGAATAATAGCAAGAATAAATTGGATTCTTTCTAAAATAAAATACTTCTCTTTTACTATTATTAAATGAAGGAAAGTACGGTTTTTGAAGTGAAGGTCATTTACATATTCGGACGTTTATGAAAAAAAGAAAAAGAAAAAGGAGTTTGAAGTGAGTGGAAAATGTTTCGCATTCATAGAATTGATCTTGAAAAGTTCTTATGTTTGTATATTCACGGTTCATTTGTACTTGTCACAAAATTGATGAACCAGATTAAAGTGACAGACATTTTACGGGTTTTGGATGTTTGAAGTTTTGAATGAAAAATGTAAGGAGAGGAGAGTTCATCATAAAAATAAAATAATTTTTTCCCACTTTTTTTTCAATGAAAAACGGTCAAAAATTGCATCCCAGAAGTGATTTATATTCAAAAAATTGCCTATCGGAATCGTAACATTCTCCCTCCCTCCCAACAAAAAAACTAGCTATTTTTCAAACCTGCGCAACAATGAAAAAAACCTCGGAAAAAATGTTTCCCACACTTGTCGGAATGAACAATATGGTCAATAAAACAGCGGTTTACGACACCTTTTTTGGTCACTTTTTTTCCGCCTTTTTTCGAATGTTTGGAAAAAAACCGCCGGTCAGCCAGGTGCAATGATATTGAATATGTTATACAGATGTGATGTACATACATGAAAAGCTCGAATAAATAATACAAAAAAATGGAATGGGGAGGGAGGGAGTTCTACAATAAAATAGATAAGTGGGATACAACAAGAAGAAAACAACAAAACAAATAAACAAACAAAAACAACTAAAATTTTCCGGTTTCATTAATTTAATTGTAATTAATTGAGGTCTTACTATATGAATAAATGAGGAAATTTTGATATACATATATGTATGTATGATTTATGAAAAATATATGATTTCAAAAACCATAAAAACAGTGGAAAGTGGAACGAAATAGCACTTGTATATAAGATGATGACTAATGGATGTATGTATATGTACACTTTATATTTTTGAAAAAAAAATATAAAACAGTCATTTTTTATTATTATCATGATCACATATATAAAAAACCTCTGAAAAAAGCTACCGAAAAATTCATATGATATGACCCAGTTTTCGAGATTTCTTTTATAAAAGGAACAGCGCTAATTGAAACAAAACAAGAAGAAAAATGACTGAATTGGCTTGATAAAAATGAGATGGGATGACTAATTGGATATTACTTGGTGGTGGTTTTTGGATTACTTGGGGATTTTTTTCAGGATGAAAAAAAAAACAAAGAAAACTGGAAATTGGGGGAGAAATAGAGGGAAGATTTCGAGATTTTTGGTTCAGAAATATTTTTCAAATGTGATAATTTTTTCGAACTGAAATTTTTTCCAGTTCAAAATATCGAACTTTTTAATTAGCTCAAAAAAACTGAAAACGATTCCACTTTCACAAAAAATTTAAAAATGAGCTTAAAAATGTTAGATTCGTAAAATTGAAAACGTTACCAGATAAACAATGAAATAATTCTGGAACTGCAATTTCAAATGTGTGGTGATTAAATAGGAATTTCCAAATTCACGAAAAACATCGAAGAATTTCAAAAAAGAAGTGAGTTCGAAAATCTTGAGCTTGCGAATCACTGAAAAAGCAAAAAAAAAGTTTGAAAAAATTCAAAATTGCTGAAAACTTGTGATTTTGGTTGGACAAAATTATTTCGAACAATTTTAGAGTAAATGAACACAAAACTTTTTAGATTACCAGAAAATCGTATAATCTTCACATTCAATATAGCCTAAAATCTAAGATGGGTCATTTGAGGTTCACTTACACTAGAAAATTAAAATCCGGAAATTATTTTGGCCATAATTTCCTGTTCCTACACTCCCTCCAATTCTCCCCAAAATCTAAGAAAATAAAAAACGCTGATAAAAATTCTCGATTCAACAAATAATAATCCGAGAAAAGCGAAAAAATACATAAAATGTGACCGACGCAGGCTAGGTTAATGACCGAAATAATGGGTTAATAATACGAATAAGATTTGGAAATTATACACATATACACATACACCTGAGATCATATTCATAATAGGTTAAGATGAAATAAAAATGGATAAGTGTTCTCACACTTTTCCCTTCCTTATGTTTACTTTCATTCATCATGAAAATTTGGATTTTTGAGAGAAAATCTTGGCATTATATTCAATTCAATAAGAATTGAATGGAATGGAATGGAATAAAAAATTAAGGAACATCTGCCAGGTGTTGACAGGCGAGCCAGACAAATTAGAAAAGCACAAAAAAGGAAAGGTGTATTTGGTGGTGTGGTAGATAGATAGAATAGCAAAAAAAGAAAGGTTTGGGGGAGGAATTGAATGGATGAGTGGAAAAGTAGGAAGAAGCTTATACATACATAAGTAGTAAGTCGAGAATAAATAAACTTGCCTTCTTTTTCCGTTTTTATTAATTTCTTTTCACATATTTGGAGGGAACGGTTTCAAGTGTCGATCTTCGTTTTATATTCTTATCATTTTCAATTTTTCGCGATGAGTCATGAGATGATAGCACTTGGGTAATTTCAAATAAATATTTTATTTTGAAAATTGAACAAGTTATTTGAAATCTACCCTTCAGAAGTAAACTATTTGAAGAAAAACTTACAAAACAGAGAACAATTTAAGATTCCAAATTTTAATAGTGGACACCTGTTCACCCATATTTTTCCCCTGCACAGAATGTAATTATATACTAAAAAAAATTTCCCGCGTTTTCTGGAGGTGAAACTAAAATTTTCAACAAAAATTCAAAAAAGATTTTCTTTACCTTTGACCTTGCACAAAAATGTCCAAACAGCTTCTAGCCCTATGAATCGGAAAATATCAAAAATTGTTTTTTTCTGAATTCTAACCAAAAATCACCTTCAGTTCACAAAAACTACATAAATCAAAACAAAAAAACAGTGTTGCAAAATAAAAGAAAAAGTGAGAAAAATGTAATGAGGACAAGTTACATATCAAATGTGTCGATCTAACGAAAAAGACACATACATATATATCTATATTTTAATAATAGACAATAACAAAAACAAAAATTCTGGTTCGAAACGGAATTCGAATTTTTTTGACTTCATCAAAAAAATTTCAAACAAAAACAGGAAAAAGTTCGTGAGGCCAAAAGTGTTATAATATTATTATTATAATAATAGACATTTATGCGCGAAATATACATATACATATATATTTATTTTATGTTTGTATATATGTTTATTATTGGTATTTTTAGTAGAAGAGACAAGGCAAATGTGGAGAAGAGAAGGCAAATACATATAATCTTGACATCTTATAATACTATTAAAGAGTTGATGTAGAAAGAATAACTCGAGATTTGTTAGTAGGAAGAAAAAACAATACCGACTATGCAAAAAATTAAAGAAAAATAGCATCGCGGAGAGAAAACACAAATAAGAAATCGCCATGAGGATATAAAGAAGTAGTGTGGCAAATGCGCTCTAGCGAACAAGCGGAACGTTCGAATTTTCTTTTTTTTAGCATTCAGTTTTTTCAAGCTAAATATGAATAGAAAACTGAATTTTGTGCAAAATTTAGAAAATACTATCTGCAATATATCAATTAGCTCCTTCTTCACTCCGGATCATCAACATGAAAAATTTTAAAACTTCTTTTGACGAGTGTGAATATTTCTATAAAAATTCAGAGTATTCTTTCAATTTTCATTATTATATATTATCAAAAAACAAAAAAACAAACAATTTATAAAGTTTTCTTCTTTTTCTCGTCATCAGTCCATTTAACAACTTCCACACCAGATGCTTCTCCCTCGTCTGGATCAGTAAGATGCTTTGGAATTGGAGGAGGTCGAAGTCCAACAATTCCGGTTGCGGTTTCGAAAACGGTTTTAGCGGCTTCGGTATCTATTTGATTTTCATTTTCATCGGAGTTTTCAAGACTCTGAGTGGCGATGAGAGTTACAGGTTTTTCTGAAATTGTTGAAGATGGTTCTGTGGATGTTGTAGTAGTTTCAGTGGAAGCCTCTACTTTCAAAGTTGTCAAAATTTCAGTTGTTGTGGGAGAAACTGTCGTTGTAGATTCAGATGTTGTGGAAACTTCTGTTGATGTCGTTGGAAGTTGCGTTGTACTCTCAAGAACTTCTATAGTTGTTGAAACAACAGTAGATACCGCTAGTGGAGTTGAAGTCTCAGGAGCTGATGTGGTAGTCAATTCTTCTGATTTTTCTCCAGATTGCTCAATGAATCCTGATTTTTCTTCAGATTTATCTTCAATAGTTTCTTGTGTTTTTTCTTCAGACTTTTCTTCAGCAGTTTCTTTTGTTTTATCTTCTGATTCCTCCTCCGATTTCTTCTCAACAGTCTCATCCGAAGTTTCTCTAGGTGGAAGAACATCTCGATCAAAAAATCCATCAATATTTGTGGATGATGTGACTGCTGTAGATGGAACCAAACCTGAGGCAATCATCCGTTCCATAAATGTTGGAGGTCTCAAAGTTGGCAAAGGCTGAGGTGTTACATACTGTGTAGTTCTTTCGATAACAACTGGAATTGTAGGTTTAACAGAGGAACGTAAATAATCTGGACGAGCATATCCAGAAGCGGGCTTTTGAGACAAAAATTGTTGATTTGGGAGCGGGTATGGACGTTGTGGTGGAGGTGTTACATAACCAGTTGAATCATGTGAAGCATATTGCCAGTTTCCTTGATATCCAAATTGATTTGGATAGTAAACTTGATAATTGGTCTGAAAAAAAACAAAAAAAAATTAAAAAAAAAACAAAAACAATAAAAAATACCTGTTGATAATTATTCCATCGTGGATCAGATTGTTGTTGCTCATAATATCTTGCCCCTTGATAATAAGGACTGTCATTCCAGTATTGACGGCGAACTCTGAAAAATCAAATGATTGATCGAATTGATAAAATTCTGGTTTTTCTTTGACCCTAAATTGTTTTTTTTTGTTTCGTTTTCTATGAGAAGAAGGAAGAAGACATCAAAGAGTATGAAACGTAGGAATTTTTTGGGTGCGTTATCAAGTACAAAAGTTCTGATGGTAACACACATTTTTCTCTTTGAACTTTCGTTAAAAAGGAAAAACCCACCTTGGAAGTGCACCAACATTTATCACAGAAAATACAAGTACACAGAAGATCAACATTTTTCACACTAGACAAGTTACTCTTCTCGATTCCAAATAAAGTTTTTTATTGTCAGAAAAAGGGTATTAAAAACTCTACCACGAAGAAATACAATAAAAAAATTCGACAAAATTTTTTTGAGATGTCAAGGTTGAAGATTAGTCGTGTTTTATACACTCAATTCAAATCCGAAACATGATTGGTTGTGGTTGAGTCATAATCTGGTGAATTTCCGTCGCCAAAGATTGTTTTGGTTTCAACGTTTCCTTCTTTTTTTTTTTGGGAAAAACGAAAACATCATTGACCGAACAGCGGAAGATGATGACAAAGAGATGAAGAGAATTTGAGAAACAGAAATGATAATGATAACAGTTTTTAGTTACTATAAATTGGACACTAAATTGAATGAAATATCATACCTTTTGATAACTATGAAATATTTCACACTTTTGGCAGTTATTGCTACTATTGCTGTTGTGACTTGTGCCCCAAGGTGAGTTGTTATAACTTCTACTATTTTCCTTTGAAAAATTTTCTCTCCAGATCTAAAAGAGGATCTTATGGCCCACCACAACAATTCTCAAACTACGGGCCACCACAATATCAACAACAACAACCAGGAGGTTACGGACGTCCACCTCCACCACAAGGAGGATACGGTAGACCATCTGGGGGATATGGAAGACCATCTTATGGAAACAACGGAGGTTATCAAGGACAAGGAAATCAATATCAAGGTGGACAAGGGGGACAAGGATTTGATCAAAGTGCTGGATTCCAAGGAGCTGCTGGAGCACCAGGTGGTTTCCAAGGCTCTCAAGGAGGATTCGATGCTCAAGGTGGTGCTCAAGGAGGATTCCAAGCTTCACAAGGAGGTCCTCAATTTGACGCAGCTGCCAATGCTGGAGCTGTAGGTGGAACTGGACCTGAATACTCGACTGTTGGACAAAATGCTCCAGCTGCACCAGGACAAGGATTGTTTGGCGGTGGTGCACCAACTGGCGGATTTGATACTTCTGGATTTGCTGCTGATGCAAAATCAACTGTCACCAAGACTGATTCGATTTCCGAAGCATCGCAAACTGGAGTTGCTTCAAGAAAGTAATTGAAGAAATGTGTTTTCATTGTATCTCAGGATTTGGTTTTATTATGAATTTGTACAATAAACAATTGAATTTTTTGTTTTTAGTTTTTTTTCAGAATTCACAGGGTTAGTTCAAAAGTTTATGACGATTCGAGAATTTTTCAGAATTTCCATTTCCAGCAATCAATTGTTTCATATAGAAATATTGTTTGCCCTTTCAACAATATATTTCGTTAGTTCTGAAAATATAATGTTGATGTTATTTTTAACAAAGTTCAACACTATATCAAGAAAAGTGCAAATTTGTATTCAAATACAAACCTACGATTCACCTGTTGTTTTTGTGGATTTGCTCTAGCTCTAGACAAAAAGCATAGGATTAGTAGTATAGTGTTCCAACGGCGCGGCGGCGGCGGCGTGGCGCGGCGTTGCGTGGCGCCGCTTTGAGAAAAAATGAGGCGGCGGCGTGGTGGCGCGCCAGTACTGCGCCGTTGAGAAGTGGCGCGCCGCTTCGCCGATAATGATCGAAAAATGTTTTGTGGATTGGCCACACAATGAAGTTCGCTGGAATTTTTGATACGGGGAGCATTGTGGTGAGACCCCTTTGACCTGAAATTACTGTTAAAACCATGGTCCGACCGAAAAAAAAATTTTTTTCGAAATTGTGGTTTTCAAGCACGGGCAACATTTTGGACAGGTTTGCGTTGCGGAACAGACTTTTGAAGACATTTACCCGAATATCAAAAACGGCGGCGCGGCGTACCCATGTGGCGGCGTGGCGCGCCGCCGCCACGCCGCCAAAAAATTGAACCGGCGGCGCGCCGCCGCCACGCCGCCAAAAAATTGAACCGGCGGCGCGACGCCGCCGCCGCGCCGCCACGCCGTTGGAACACTATAATTAGTAGTCGAAAAAAAATGGATAACCTGCTGTGATAAAGTACGACTTGGGTTATTTTTGGAAAGGCGCAAGATTCACAAAATAAGTTTTATGTTTTGAACTAGGTAAAATAAAGTTATACTAATCAAAAAAAGGTTGACTTTCTCAGCACCTGGCATTTCATAATTTAATCACTTATACAAAAAACATTTTGGCAGGAAGGCAGGCAGGAAATTGAAACACGTGTTAGTCTCAATATAATAAAAAGGAAATTGGAAATTGGAAAATGAATCACATTCTCACGTTTTTCCCAGAGAACAACATTTTTTGCAATCAACAAAGTATACACACATCTAGCCGTGAATGTGTATTTCAATTTTTACGTTTACATATACATAATATTATAAATATAGATAGAAAGATATATAAATAATATGGAGCTGGTTCACCAAGGTAACGCATTCATTTGTTCATTCAATTCTCCTTCTTTTACATCAGAAATCTCTTCGGATGGATTACGTTTTTTTTTTGCATTTGGTTTCTTATATATTTTTTTGTTTCTTGCTTTGCTTGAATTTGAAAATAGACTGACTTTCTTTTATTTTTCAATTATGCATAGGATTTTTCTCCCTTCGGTTTCTCTCATTTCTCATTTTCCATCTCCTATTTTCTGTTTTTGCAGGTTCCTTTTCAGCAAAAAAAATACTGACTCATCTTAAAAATATTAGGTGTTTATTTATTTTGACTGGCAGGAACTTTCTATTTTTAATTTTTATTTTTCATCATTATTATCATTTGAAAATTTGAAATGTGTTATGTATATTGAAAATGATGACGTCTGGTTTAAAATGATGTAACTGAAATTCCAAAAAGATGAAGCTCGATTTTTTATGATGTGCTAGAAATTACAGGATTTTATTTCCTTTTTTGATTTTTCGTAATATGCGTGCCTACTTTCACATTGTCATTATGGGATTAGAAATAATTAGCATGTCTACATCATTCATTTAACGCTCGAGGGATTTTTAGTGACGAAGTTAGGTTAAGTCACAAAAATAACTGGGTGTGGTTGCCGGTAAAAATCAAAATTTCGCAAGATAAAATTTCAAAATACCGAAGAATTTTTTGAATATTTTAAATACATCCAATCATTTTCAGCAACTTGTTTGCCCAAGTTTGTTTGCACTTGGTCTAACTCATATATTTTCAGCTTAATCAATTTGAGAATAATTTTTTGAACTTAAACATTTTTGCACAAAGTAAAGGTTGCCGTGAGAGAACAGAAAATCCCCCAAAAACCTCGAAATTTTGCGAGGGACCAATTTTCTTTCTTTTCACCAATAAATTTTATCATATTTCATCCCCAAGCCTTGAATCATCTTGTTATCCAAATCTATAATTAAAATTAGCGATTTTTCCCGGAACATTTTTCATTTTTCGTCAACGTAGAACTAGCAATGAATCATGAAGACATTTTAATTAAAACGTCGACAATTTGATGTTTTTGTTGTTGAAGTTTTCGTATGTGTACATTTGGTTGATAAGGTGTGATTTTGTTCCGATGAATTTAATAATATGTAATTTATCTTGGCAACTGCTTGTGAATGGCAGGTGATTTTCCGCATAAATAAAAAAAGCCAAATCAAAAACAAAGTTAATTAATTTCTTGTACTTTTTCTTTTTCATATGTATTCATAAGAAAAGTTGCGAAAGCTTACGAAAAAAAGCTGAAGAGTTCTCACACTTTCTCAAGTATTATTTCAGATTTTCTTCCCTTTCTTTTTCTGTTTTTGCTCTATTTTTTCCACACACTTTGTATGCATGTTGCTTTTATTTTTCTTCTATTTTCCTCTGTTTTCAAATGAGTTAGTTGAATTGACAATTCATTCTTTTTTACGTATTGCGAGAAAAAAACAAAATCTGTTTATGATTTCTAGCGGTGAACTCAATTTTTTAAAGGAAATTCAGAGCTTTTGATTCAGACTTTCTGTAATTCTGATTTTCTTCCCAGTATTTTGAAGGAAGAAGTAGTTTGCTCTCCGACAAATAATTAGGTTGTTTTGAAGCTGCAAAATCAACGCAAAATGTGACAGACGTAATTTCTTTATGACTTATTCTTGACTCACGATTAGATTTTCAGTCAGATGAATCTTTGATATCAAAACCTAACCATGACAACCGAAAAACGCTAGTCCCAGCAAAATTTCGTTAGTTAGTTGGTTAGTGATCTAATCTAATTCTGACAACAGCTGAAAAACAAGAATCTTGGCCCAAACCCATGACTTATTTTTGTTGTTTTCCAAGCATCTCTAAGACAGCTGAAATTTGTAGAACTCGTGAATTTTCAAACTCCACCCATAAAAGGCGGGACTACTCGTTTTCGGTTAGTACATCTCAGGTCCTCTTTTATTTTTATTTTTATTTTACTCGTCTTAATCCGACTCACACTTTTTTTTGTTGATTCAGTTTTTTTTTCAGAAATGGTTGCGGGGTGTGGTAATAAATGTGTCAAGTATATATTTTGGGTCATCAACTTCCTATTTTTCGTAAGTTATTGGAACTTAAATTTTAGAAAAATTAAATGAAGAATCGTTTTGGAACTTACGTTAACTTGGTGTTAAATTTTGAAAAAAAAATCACAGTATAATTTAAATTCAGTAAAGAAATATGTATTTCAGATCCTTGGACTTCTCCTTGTTGGTGTTGCAGTATGGCTGATCTTCGACAAATCAATGCTATTCTCATTACTATCATCAACCAGTTTCAATACATCAAGTATTGATATCGATCAACTCAACTACATGCTATATGTTGCAATTGGCATTGGAGCGCCTCTGATCATTCTGGGATTTTTTGGATGTTGTGGAAGTTGCTGCGAGAGTTTGTGTGCTATTGGACTATACTTTTTCCTCGTTTTGGTTTTGTTCGTCGTCGAAATCGTTGCCATTATTTTGTACTTTTCACAAAAAACCTTTGTGAGTTTCACAAAAAAACCTTTTGTGATATCTGTAGATTAATGCTGATCTCTGATTTTTCGTCACATGTTTTTTGGGAATTATTTTTTTTTGTAGCCAAAAGGAAACTAGGAGTGGCATTGATGTGTGAACCCGATAATTTGAATGATTGTATTATTTTTTGCCTAGTAACCAATAGATTTCATAACATTATGAAAATTTTCAGCTGCAAGAAAAGTTCACGACAATTTGGCGAGATGAACTGGTTTCCAAATATACAACTCAAACTCAAGTCAAAACATTCCTCGATCAAGTTCAGACAAGTGTAAGTTTCTCGAGATAAAGCTTAATCTGATTTCTTTTCATTGATTTCAGCTTTCCTGTTGTGGAGCATCCGGATGCACCGATTATGTTCAATATGGATCATTCCCAACTTCATGTTCTTGCGCAACAATTCAACAATCTGGATGTGCTACAGTTATTTGGAATTTGATCTCGAATAATTTGATCTACGTTGGATTTGTGTTTATCATCATTTTGTTTGTCGAACTGTTCGCAATGATTTTGTCCTGCATTATTATTGGAGCAGTCAGAGAAACGAGACGTGGAGAATAATTGAAATTATTTTCTAAAAACTCAAACGAATTCAGTAAATCAAAGTTGCCAAAAATATTTATTCATTGATTCAAAACATATCTAATCACCATTTTTTGAGATACTCGAATAAAGATTCTGTTTTTTTTGTTGGGTGGGATATATATATATATATATATATAATTTTTTTTTACAAATTTTGAAAAAAAAAGAGAGATCAGATTATTTTTTATTGAATTTTACAATCACTTTCATCGACAATTTCCTCGTTTGTTCCTTTTTCACCATGGCGACGCATCTTCAACGACAAGTGTTTTGTGCGTCTGAAAAAAAAAGACGGTGAGATGAGGATTTTAGGGTAAAAGTACCTGATGATGCTGTAACTTCTGGACATTTTTGAGCTGTCTTCGGAGAAATGTCGTTCAACCGCGTCTTTTTCCTTGTCCTTGTCTTTGTCACGGCGAGGAGATTTCATCTGAAATTGTTTTTTTTGGTTCTGAAAATAAAGACCTTCAGAAAAAAATCTCTGATGCGTTTTATTTTGATATTGAAATATTATCGCGGTCTCAAATCCAGAGTTTTTTTCAAAGTATTTAAATTCTAAAATCATCTTCAGTCAGGATCGATAAAAATTCAAATATATGTGTTCCAGATTTTTCTCTAGTTCTCTCTTTCCCTTTATTTTTCTTACTCTCAATGACAAGTTTCTTTTCAAATCTCCAATATGCATTGGAACCGCCAAAATTGGGTGTGAAACTTGTTTGTCCAATGGTGGTGTCTTGGTTCCTGTCCCATTTTTCTCTTCAATAATCTGTTTTTGAGTGTCACGTTTCATTTGTTTTGCACGCATTGTTTGAGCTCTACGTAAAGATGGTGATTTGTCATCTTCATTTCCTTCTGCAACGTCTTCAAGACCACCCCCGCCAACCTAAAAAAAATTGTAATCACTTATAATTTATCAATATCACTTCCTTGTCTTACATACCTTACACTTTGGATAACCGCTAAGCTCGAGAAGAGTGCGAAACACTTCAGTAATCCGTATGTTATCTTTAGCCGACACTTCGATATATCTGACATCGGCACTTAGCCGATTAGTAAAAGCACGTGCTGTTTCCTCATATATCTAAAATCGGATTATCATATTTTTGCTGTATCTAAAAATAATGGAAAGAAAACGCTACTTTTTTTGTTGGCACGTCACACTTGTTTCCAACAACCACAACTGGAAGCTCATTGATATCTGGTCTACGAGCACAGATTTCTTGCCAAATATCAGACATCTGAAAAAAATTATCTTGTTAATTAGTTAATGAACAAGACCATTTTTTATGCAAATTAGGTACCTCTTTGAAACTGGTAACATCATCAACCGAGAAAACAAGAAGAAAAGCTGACGCTGATGCGATCGATAATCTTCGCATATCCGGAAAATTGAAATTCGTGTCAAGAATGTCGAGAGGAAGTGGAACGCCCTGCAAATTAGCTCAAGATTTGATGAGATTGAAGAATTTTTACTGTAGATCATTTGAAGTTCGAGAAAAGACATTGGATTTCCCGAAGTGTACCAGAAAAAATTTTCCGTGATTTGTCAGAAAAGGCGGACAAAAATTGACGAAGCTTTATGGTGAAAGTAAGATTTTAGAGCAAAACACATTTGATCTACCATATTTTCTTCTTTGGACTAGTAAATTACATACTGTGTTCCAGGTGCAGGTGCACCGTATTTTTAAGCCCTGACAAAGGGTTCTAAAATTGGTATAACATTAATGTAGATCTTGCATGTTTTAGTGTGAAATATTTTTGATCTGCCGGTGAATTTTGAGGTCTAGCAATCATACCAATTCTTCAAACTTATGACTCATATTTTTTACACCTGCAGCATAAAGAACTATGTACTTTTTCTCTCATTGAAAATCTAGTCTAGTCTCATTTATCATCTTCAAACGCATAAAAATTATGAATTTTTCTAGAAAAAAAGTGCAAAACACAATTAATTTGTTTATGTCAAGACTCTGCCAATCAAGAGTCAAAAAATTACGCTTTTTCTTTTTTTTTGGTTTTTATCTCGTCTATTTTCAAAATATATAAGAGTATATAAAAATAAAATAACTCACTTGAATTCGAAATTCTCTTGAATGCAAATCCTCAATAGTTTCCTTATATTTGGTCGAAAAATCATTGTACAAATATCGTCGAATAATATTGGTTTTGCCAACTTTGGCTGAACCCAAAACAACTAAACGATAACGTTCTTCACACATTTCAGCTTCTGGTTGACTTGTTGTCTGAAAAAAAGAGAAAAAATTGAACTTGAATTGAATTGACCTCCTTGTTCCGGGAGGAAAATGAAATCTGAGAACAGGAAAATTCTTCCTGCTTCTGTTAGAACAAAAAATGTTTTTCTAGTCATATTGTTGGGAAATCGAAAAAAAAAACACTCTACTCGGCGTTTTTCAATTTCCGAATGTGTGGCCTTTATAATTACTGACATTCGATGAAGAAGGTGATCCAATAGAAGTTGCACTAGTCATTTTAGAAAATATCAGATGTGTGAATATTATCAAAATCAAATTCAGAAAGAAATAAAAAACGATTGAGGATTAACACCGGTCGTCGTAATCTGCATATATGTAGGAGAAGCAAAAAAAGATATTTATATAATTTTTTTATAGAGAGGATGAATGTATGTATGTGGAAAGAAGAAAAAGCAGCGAAAAAGGGAGGAGTATGTCTTCCCTTCATGTTATTAGGATATTATTCAATTCAACGTGAAATAAAAATTTTATTTCATTTTTCAAACCTTTTTCATTTTCATCTTACTGGAAATTCAGAAATTCAAAAATACGGTAATAAAAATGTTGAATGATCAAAAACCTTTTTATTTGTTATGAAACAAAAAAAAGCATGTGATGAAAGGGGAAAATTTAGGAAATTGATGAAGCTGAAAAATGTCAGATGTCTGGAAAAATTGGAGTTATGAAAACATATTATTCACTGTTTCGAGAAATGATCTTTTCATTTTTCACATTTTGAAAAGATGTGTGTTTTGCAAGAGAACTTGTGTGGGTGATAAATAAGGTGTTCCTTTAGGATTCTAAATTTCATTAAAAAATTTTAAAAATTTTTTTGTATTTCTTTAGGAATCCATATCCTAAAAAAATAAAAAATCAATGTTCTGAAATACTAATCTAGGACCGAAAAAATCCAAAAATCCAGCTTCAATTTTTGAGCAAAGATTATCGTTTGTGTTTAGCTCATAACTACAGGGGTTTCTGAAAATCTTGATAATCCTCCTACATATCAGGAGTACTGTAGATTTGAGAAATTTATCATCATTTGAAGAAATGAATGGCTTTTTAATGAAGAAAATATGTATCGGAACTTTGAACATAAAAAGTAAGAAAAAAGTGAACAATGAAAAAAGTTCTGTCTGGTATTCAAAAAAAAAGTGCATCCAATTAGCGTTCATACCACCAACTTTATTCAATTCATGACTAAAAATCAAAGTGAATAAGATTATTAATGGTTTTTTGTGCAGAAAATACATAAAATATGAAATTAGGCTTCATTGTTGAAATTGTTATAAGGATTCAAAAAATCGCAGTTTTTTCGTTTCCTTTTTCTTTTCTTCTCCTTATTTTTTCCAGGCAGGAGGATTTAAAAATGTATGAAAATCGAGGATTTAGGAAAGATTCATAACGATGAGAAAATTGTGAATATCAAATTGTTTTTCAAGACAAAAAACAAAAGTTTTATGGCTTGAAAATCTGCCTAAAAGTTACAGTAATAAACTTTTGAAAAGAAATCTTACATTTAGATAAGCTCTATAAAAAACCAAGAACAAAAAAGAGCTTATAAATAACATGAAATAACACCAAAAATACTTATTCATCCAGATTAAAGGAATAAGGATTTAGAAAGTACAAATATTCTTTTTCTTTTTTCTCTATATTCCTAGCTTCCCCGATAATCCCTTGTACCTTTCAAAAAAAGAAAAAAATGACAATAATATTTTTAATTAAGAATTTGACCAGGACAGGGAAAGGTTATTCAAATTTTAAAGAGAAATTTGAATTTTAAAAGAAACATGAGCCAATTTGTCAAAAAATATTGAAGAACAACAAAAAAAGAAATTGTTATATTGAACGGACGGAAAAATAACAACAAAATTGTGAATTATTTATGAAAATAAATCAACGAAGTATTTTTTTTCGTTCTGTTACAATTTGAGTTTTGTATCAAAGGGTAAGAGGAGGAGATAATGAAATCAGGAGAATCCGGCTCATCACAGTTATCCTAACTCCAGAATGATTTCTCTCCATTTGTTTATTCCCTAAACCTTTTAAAACCCAACAAACCTGTAAAGACATTCGCCGCATTAAATTCTGCATGTTTTTGAACTTTTAAACTCGAGAGAGAAATTCAAAAAAAAATAAAATGTTTCAGTAGTTAGTTTTCAATTTTCTTTTTTTTTGAGTAATGAATGAATGGGTTCCTTTTCATACGAGATAGATCTTCCAAAAAAAAGCTTTTTCGGCATATTCATATATAATTCAACAAAGAAAAATTCGCGGCACTTTTTGTGTTGGAGCCAAACAAAAATATTTAAAAATTACTGACTTTTTTGCAGGAAAATAGCAAACGTGTCTGAAAAATGAAGAAAATAAAAAGAAAAAGATTGATTGGCTTTTTTTTCTTCTGAAAGTTGATTATCAAAATATACTCAATCGCCAAAAACATAATCTATTTTCATTTTTTTTTTCGTTGGCAGGATAAAGATTTTGAGATTGGAGATTTTTCTCAAATCTGGTTGGCTGGCGGCTCAAAATAAAATAAAATAAATATCATTCGAAGAAAATTGTTTTCGAAAAAATGCGAAAAATTGTATCACAAGGTGTACTGTAGATTAAAAAGTACGAAAAATATTTTTTCATAGAACGAGAACAATTCTGGGTTACGGTAGCCAATGTTTTCCAAAAAAACCCCTCGGACTATTAAAAAAAGGTGCTCTTTGAGCCTTGGCCCGTTTTTCGAGTCAATGACGTACCAAGAATATAAAAACTACAAAAATCTTGTCAGAAAAAAAAAACAAAAAAAAAACCAAAATTACAAATCTAATCCTTTTTGTTTTGTTTTCCTCCATCTCGAATTTTTCACAAATCCGTGTGACTTTTCATCAGAAAAATGAATGAAAAACATTTTATTGGAAGTAAAAAAAAGAATAAAAGTCATCAAAACAAGGATAAACAACGTATTGCGGACCTAGACAAATGTAGAATTTCCAACAACAAAAAAACTTGTTAAATGGGAATGGTTTTCTTGAAAAAACACGTATGTTTTGTAATTTTTTTTCGAAAAACAAAGAAAAAGCGAAGAGCAAAAAAGACACATTGTGGTAGGTGGTTGAATGAAAAAAATGAATCGAAGTCAATTCGAAGAATGAATAAAATGAACAAAAAAATGAATAAACGAAATGCAGATAAAAATCAGTGAAGCAAACACTTATTTTCAGATGTTGTCAAAAATTATGTATGTTAAAGCGCGACACAATGAAAAAAGAGCAAAGACAAAAGTTTAAAGGCTTTTTTCGACGAAAGCTGGAGCTGGTGTAACAACATCTTGATGTGGCTCTTCGGCGGCGATAACAATTGGCTCTTCTGCCGATTCTTCGCTTCCAGATTTTGAGCGGTGACGTTGTTTGGCCTAGGAAATTAAATTTTTTGCAAATACTAGATAACTTTGATTATTTCCTGTTTTTTTTTAATTATTAGAAATTTTCGCGTTTTTCTGAAAACATATAAGATCAATTTTTGGTTTTTAGTTTTTTTTTGTCATTGCGTAACCAAATTCAATAATTTTTCTACCAAATTAGGCCAAGATACATATTTTCAGTTTTGGAAGTAAAAATAGAAAATTAAATTTAGAAATTTTACGTAGAACAGAGTTAGTCGAAGTGTTGGCTGGTTCAAAAATTTTCTTAATGAAAAAGGGTTCAAAAATTATTTTAATCAGAACTGAATCGTTGAAAATTCAAAAATTTCTGGAGCAGTATATAATTTAAAGTCCCAAAAGTTCTGATAATTTTCTAAAAATTTTAGTTTTGAAATTCTGCCATAAATTTGGCTTAACTTTAAGTTTTTTGAAGTTTAGTAACATAAAAGCCTACAAAAACATTCTTCTGATTCTTCTCCAGAATATTTTTCAAAAAATACATACCTCTCCATCGGAGCTCGAGCTGTTGGATGGATCTTCATCCTCCTCTTCTTCGTGGCAGAATGTTTCGTGTGTGTTGAGTGTTTTCTTGTTCCACCCGCGAACTGAAAAAAAAATCAAAATCAAAAAAAATCTCCACCACATCTCTCGAATATCCTCACCTTGTTGTCCAACACTTTGTTGTCTTTCCAAAGTGTTTGATCTGCTTCTCAATGTTGCCGCATGATCAACAGTCGCTTCGTGTGGCATACATTTCATTGGTGCGCGGAAATAATAGAATGATGGATAGTGGACAAGGTTGTAGCAGGATGAAGCATAGACATCGGCATATCTTTCGACTTGAGCAGCAAAGAATGTTGTGCGACCGCCAGTACGGAACAAACTTCCCAAAATACCGTATTCTTCGTCCATTTGGCTTGACAATTTCTAGAAAAAACGTGAATTATGAATTATAAAAAATTATATTAAAAAACTCACTCTAATCTTGTCGACAATATCCTTAACAACAGGCTTGTGTCTGGATGCACCATCAAGATGTTTGTAAATTTCAGCTAAAGTTGATTCCATACTTCCCATTTCATCGAAAAGTCTTTTACTGTCTGTCCAAACAGTCAATTCGTTGACCAATTCAGGAACAACAAGGAATGTTCGCCATCCGCGAGATTTTTTTGAGCGAAGAACATCTCCGAAAATATGGTCTCCAACATAGAGCACTTCTTTTCCACGGCATTTCATCATTTTTTGGAAGGCATCGCATGATCCTGAAAATTATTATTATATTTGCAAAATTTACAATAAACCAAAGAACCGTTCGCCTTCGGTCAGTATGTATTTTGTTATGTTCGTTATCAATTTCAAAAATGATAAATTAATTATTCTGTCTCCAAAGTACAAATTCTCCCACTCTTTTCAGTTCAGTTATTTATCAAATTTTTGATAACGAAATAAATTTCCAAGAATTTTTTTTGTCTACGAAAAAAAATTAATCAGCTCACCTCCAGAGTAAACCACTCCTTCTCTCAATGGCCCAGTATGAATTCCCAATTTGAAAACTCCAGTATCTGTGTTGACCTCACGGAATACAGTACCCTCAGCGAACCATCTAGGTTTACACGAATCAACAACAATGATATTGAAGTAACTTCTCCAGTTGTCACCCATAATATAGCACATCATAACCTGAAATTGAAAATAAAAATAAATGTTTTTGTTATCATCGTGGGTGGTCTAAATCACTTACATTTGTATATTTCCAATCACTATTTGTCAAAAGGAAAGTCTTCTTTCCATTCTCTCTCAATTGTCCCAAAAATTGAACAGCTCTCTCATCTTTCACAACAAATTTCTCTGGAGTTTCCATAACTTGTTTTTTCATTGGACTTTCAATATGAACCCAATCGATAACTCTTCTCAAATCTTGGAAAATACTCTTGTAAGACATCATAACTTCGCCACCTTTGACTCCAGTTCTATCAGGCAATCTGAAATGTTTTTTTGTTGGATGTTAACTTATTTCAGATGTCGGTGCTCACTGTGAATATTCGGGATGTTTATCGAAAAAGTCAATCAATTGGCAGATCAAATGAGTTTCTGGCAAGTTGAAAAGTGTGTTCAAAACATAAACACGAGAATCGGAAAGTGGCAAATATTTGTTTGGATAGAATTCTTCAATTTCAGTAGATTTGAGGAATCTCAAACCATGGATTCCACCAAGAATATTTCCGAATCCATCGACTTTGAGTAAGTTTCCATATTGGAATTCGAACCAAAGACCTGGAAAAAGTGTTTTTTTGTGGAAAAGAAGAGCTTACAGTTGCATAACTATTATTATTCAATCAATATGTAGTTAATTGAAAATTCCCAAAAATATAAATTATTTTTACGATAGAGCTCATTTGATTGTTCATATGCTCTTTTTTTTCCTCTGAAAACCCCTTCTATCCGATGTTTTTCTGATCAATGATTTGAGATGTAATTCTAATTCTAAAACTAATTTCATCAGAATCTCAAATTTCCGGTTCATTTTTCATATTCAGAGATTATTTCAAAATTTGCTAATGCTAATCGAAAATTCCAAAAATTATGGGAAACTTGATAAAACAAAAAATGCTCCAAATGACTTCTATTTTGCTCACATCAGTAGTGGACAACTACTAAACTGTCAATCAACTTCCAAAAGATTGACACGCGCGATTAAAAGAAGCTAGAAATGAAAAATACCTCTGACTGGAAAAATTGGATCATATTTGAAGTCAGCAATCTCGGCTGGATAACCAGTGTCAACCAAACGTTGAACAGCGAGGTTGAATGCAAGGTATTCCATGTCAGGTGATTTATATTCTGAAAAATGAGTTTTCATGGTTAATATGAGTAATCTTTAGATATTTATAAAACTTACGGACTAATGTGTAATCCATATCAAATCCGAAATGTGTGATCTTCTCCAATCGCAACGAGCGATTGACGAACACTCTGAAAATTAATTAGATTTATCCCTGAATATTTTTTAAGTCTTCAGATGTATTTTTTCTCACCTTTCATCAACATTGGCTGTATACTCAGGCATGGTTTGATTCAGTAACTGAATAGAAACAAGAATGAGAAAAAAGGTTGGTTTCAAGAAATAAAAAAGTGCAGAACAGAAAAAAATGGGCCGATAACCTTTTTTTTTCAGTGAGTGAGTGATAAGAAGAGCCCCCAAAGAGATGTGTATAGCAGAAGAACAAGAATTATTTTATCGCCTCTTTTTTTTCTTGAACAAAAAAGAACAAAAAATGTCTGCCCTCCCTGTGGGTGAAACCCAAGGCTTATCGCCCTGATTTTTTCTGGCTGCGTTTTTGACAGGTTTTATGGTTATCATTTTGAAAAGTACGATTATGATGGTTGTAAAATTTGTGTGGTATGGCATGGAACAGTATGAATGTTCGATTCGAAAACAGAGAAAGATGAAAGATTTTCCCTAGTTTTTTTTGTTTTTATTTGTGTCTGATTGACATATGAATTAGGAATGTGGCGCTACTAAAATTGTGTGTTGCTCTGACGACATTTCCGTTTTTATTCAAGGTTTTGAAATAGAAAATGAATTGGAAATGTGGAAAAGGAACAAGAAAAAACTGAACTCATTCAGAGAAAATTGGAGAAGGGATAACGCCTAACAGAACTTGATTCTGAAGTTCAGATATCTTCAAAATCTGCTTCAATCAAGCGTAATTTGACTAGAAATAATTTCAGATCCAAAGTTTATTCTAGAACAATCAGAATAGAAAAATACAGTAATCCTCAGAGAAAAAAAAGATTATCAAGTGTAAAAATCTATATTGGAATTAACTTGAAAAGTTTTTTATCGCTGTCTCAAAATCTTAAATCGAATTAAGTAAATTAACAATTTTTGACAGCATGACACTTTTCAAGTTACAAGTTGAAAATGAAAACATTTTTTTCTTTTTTATTTCGAAACCCAAAAAAATAAAAAGTTCAGGGTGCCGGTTAATCCTTCTTATCAATGTAATAAGAAGTACAAGGGTTTATTTTTCAGGTTCAACTTATTTTTCATAAAAAGAGAAAACGAGAGCAAAGTTTTCTGAAAAGGAACAACTTTTTTGTGTCTCCTTTTTTTCTTGGAGAAAACAAAACAAAAACAATTGGAAACAAAAATGTCCAGGGTCCAATCGATTCTCAAAGGAGTTCCTTTTTTTCTAGGAAGGAAAGAACATGAGAAAAAAATCTGAAACATACATAAATGTTTCTCAAAATGTTGCGTTATCAATCTTTCCAGGAAAAAAACCCGCATTATTAATGTTTCCCTCCTTGGTAAAATGAAAAAATGACAAAAAATAACCTTGAAATTCCTGGCATGGCTGGTTTATAGAAGTCTGAATATTTTCAAAATAAAAATGTGTATAAGAATATTATAAAAATAAATACAAATATAAATAAATATTTTTGGCGCCACGCTTTGTTGAACAATTTATTCTAGAAAGGAAAAATTGTCGAAAAATGTTTTTAGGATTTTTTTTGAGTTGAAGAAATGCAAAAAAATATATGTCGAAAGTTTGAAATTGGATCATATTTTCAGCGCAAATATTTTAATTGAAGCGATCTAATCAAGATTCCTAACTAGAAAAAATATAACGGAACTGATAACAGCTGATTTCAGACTGCCATTTGTCATTGATTTAAAGCCAATTAAAAAAAAAGAAGCGATAAGAATAAAATCAGAAATATTTCCAATTTTCAGGAGAAAACTGAATGATGAAATAAAATATTTGTCTATGAATAATGTGATTTTGAATGATTGTAAAATTTTTCTGAATTTTGATAAATGGGCGGAGTTGAACGATTCTCTCTGGATACAACCATTATGAGTCACAATAACATTTATTTTTATTGGTTTTTCATGACCCGAGAGATCTTATGAAAATTTGAAATTTTTAACTTCAAGTTTTTCTGTGGATCTAAAAAAAATTCTTTGAGAAACAATTGATTTTTTCATGTGATAATATGAATTCATAATTTTAGGATGTAATCTTAACACAAAAACATTGCCTTTCTCTGAGCTTGCAGAATGAAAAATACTTATGATAGCACAGAGTAAAATTTAGAACAAACCAGAGCTAACAAAATGAAATTCAATACAGAATTATGATGGTTCTAAACATCAAATTCCTTCTTGGAAAATCACATTAAATTGGAAATGGTATTCGAGAAACAATTGATTTTTTCCCCGATATTTTTATGTGCAAAAAATATTCAAAATTTCAACATGTGATGCCCGCGTGACGCGGTCATAATGTTAATGCATAAATTTTCTGGAGCTCTGTGAAATGAAAAAAACTGGGGAAAAATACAGAATGAAGTTCAGTACCAGAAAGATCTCTACAGTTTCGAGATCTGACATATTCTTGGAGGTGGAATCTACAAAAGTCACCGGAGAAGTAATCACTTAAAATTAAACAAAAGGACCGAACTTCGCCTAGAGAAATCTAACTTTTTCTAGAAAATGACTCAAAAAAATTTCAGAGCTTGAAACATAACAAGAACGTAATTATACGAAAATATGACACATATGCAATAATGTCAGTCATAAAAATATTGTGAAATATACAACGAAAAAAAAAACAAGAGGCGGAGGAAAATTCAAGAAAAACCAAATAAAAATAATTTTTTAATTCAGAAATGTAGGTTCTTATATTGATTGTGAGTTGATATTGTCGAAAAACCAAAGATTCAACAAAATGTGCTCTCTTAAACTCATCACATCATACTGTTAATTTTCCAAAAGCACTTCCTAATTTCGAAAAAATTTTCAATTTCGAAAGTGAAGTTGAACCCATAAGGAAATATATTCTAGCTTTTACCACCGGACAGAAAAAGCGTTCGACAGAAAAAAAAATTTCAGAAAAAGTCCAAACAATAAAACAAAATGAGAAAACGAAAAAAAAAACGTTCCGTTCGTTTTTCAATTTTGAAGAGCACAAATTCAATTAGTTTAGAAACCTTTCCCTACTTGTTCTATTTTTGTATATTTCAAAAAAGAGAACAGACAAATCTTAGAAAATACAAAAAAAAGAAAGAAGAGAAGACGATCCATAAATCATAATTATTTTCACTTTCCAGCTTCTAGATATGGCTATCTATGAATATTTTTTGAGAATGAATTTACAAACCATCCAAAACATACTAGCCTTTGTCTTTGAAAATGAAATCAATTTAAAAAAAACTCACCTCTCTGATGGATTCCTTTTGTAGACATTCTTATTTGGATTCTCAATTGTTGACTCCATTTTTTTCTGGAAAAATGAATAAACTTATTTATTTTCGTCAGATGAAATGAAATAAAATAAAAGACGTCAGAAAAAATAATCGCATAAGTTTATCTTATTTTCGTTCTAGAATAGAAAAAAAAATTCTCGCAAGTTTTCTTGTGAACCTTGAAACTTGACACCTGAATTATTGATCGACTCAAAAAAATCCAGGCAACTGAACCAGAGAAGAAAAAAATTATGTTATCAGTTTTTTTCTGATAAAAAATATGATATTGGAACAAAGAAAGTACGTTATTGGAACATTCGATGTTTATCAGAAAATCGTAGGAAAAATGGAAAATTCGAGAATAAAAATAACAACACAACAAAAGAAATAACATATAATTAGTGAGCTCTTGGGGGAGACTAGATAAAATTGTTTTCGAAAACAATTTCTAACAACTCAAATTTCAAACGTAGGAAAACTGTTTTTCTGAATGTAAGGTGAAAAAAACAGAAGAATTTTGAAAAAAGGTGAAGATTCTAATAATGTGATGAGTAAGTTACAAAAACTTAAGTTTCAAACCTTTAAAACTTTTTTTTCTAATGAATAAGACAAGGCAGCAACAAAAGGATAGGCAAAAAACATACTATTCCAAAATGTGCAGGAAGACTGCAAAGAGAGATAGAAGAGACGCAGAGACATTGAAATCCCGCGCTATCTACACTATTCAAATTTGCAGGTATAGGGTTTATGAATTTCAAATTACCTTTGAAATATGTTTCTGAAAGTCTTCTGGAAGCCTCAAAATACCAAAAATAATGCAATAAAGAAGTTTAGCATTAGAAACATGTTATTCAAATTTTTACAATAAAAAAAATAAATCATTTTCATCCATCATTTTTTACATTGGAAAATGTGTAAATTTTCACTTTCTCAATGTCAAATAAGGTTTCAGAACGATTTAAAAAAAAAATTAAGATAGAGATTCGCAACACCAAAGTATTTTAGAAAATGATTTTTTGCTCTTTATATTCTTTCCTCTCTCGTTCTCTCTCTCTCCTCTCGCAAAAAAAACCAAAGCAAATATCTGAAAAATGATAATCACGTGAATTTCAATTAGTCCGAAGAACCATCAAAGATTTTGCAAAATACAACAAATAAAACAAAAATGAAAGAAATTCCCTCCCTTCTCCATCCAGGAGAGAAATCAATAACTACGAGAGAGTGTGTGGAGTTAAGAGATCGCAGAGAGAGAGCAGCTTTGTCATGCTTTTGTTGGGCGAAACAGAGAATATATTTGACAAAAATAAATAACTCATCATCTCAATTTATTATCATTATTCATATAATTATTATTAATTTCATATTATCACAACTCGGGAAGAATTTGGGCAACAAGAAAAATTTGAAAAAAAATGACAGAATGAGACAAAATACAAAAAAAATTCAAATTTTAAAATTCACAACAACAAAAATTAGGATCACGGTTTGGACTGACTGAATGACTAGCAAAAATTATTAATTAAATTCAAAACTATTTCGATTATAAAGAAAGACACTAGACTTTTCATTGGATGATAAATTGTTTGGCAAATATTTGATTTTGCTATTCTAAATGAAAAAAAAAGATTAAAACTGGCCAAATATATATATATCTCAAAGTATTAGGGACGAAAAATGAAAGATGAAAGAAAAATACTGGAAAATGTGTTTGTTATTGGCGAACCCAGAAGTACACGTCTTTCTCAAGAAAAAAATTGTATAGGAAAAAAATACAAAGAAAAAAAGGGAAATGAAAATCATTCAGCGGTAGAATTTGGATCAATCATTCTCAACCGACAGATCAGCTGATCACATATGATTTCAGAAGTTGGCGAATCATTGGACAATATTGCGAATTCAACATGCGATTTTTGTTCGGGTGGTAAAACAGCAACACCAATTTCAACACCAGTTGGCAATGATAAACGTCTCATTTCTGAAAACAAATTGCATTAAAAATATGCTCTAATTAGAACAAGCCTGCTTACCATGATCTTCATAAACAAGTTCATTAGTTTCAGAAAATGGAATTTTCAAACTATTCAAACTATTTTTCAGTTCTTCGATGATGTCAGCAAATGGAAGAGAAGACACGAAGCTCTGAAAATTGAAAAATAGTTTGGAGTGACATGTGATCAATCACAGGTTTTTTTCGATGACCAGATTGATGTTTTGAAAAAAAAACAATTTCAAGTTTAAGATGATAGTTTGCAGATGAAATTTCTGAGGTATTGTTTTGGAATTGAAAATTCGGAAGATTGATAATTAAGGGAAAATTTTGGTATAAATTTCGAGAATTTTTTAATGTTAAGTGATAGGTGAGAGATTCCTATAATGAAAATAGCTTCGAAAAGTTTCTAATCAAATTTATGTTTTATGATTTGAGAAAAGTTCCAACAAGTTTTTGAAGCACAATGTTAAAGTTTCCATGAACATTTTTGTCTAGAAAATTTAGAACTTCAAAAGTTCAGAACGTGTTTTTGTTGATGTGCCAAAGTTTTCAGAATGAATCAATCCCCACACTGTTTGAGCCTAGGGGAATATGGTTCTATAATTTTCATTGATCTTTATTAAGGTATAATAATTTGCTAACTTAAAGCTTGTTTTTCAAATATTCCCTCCTCCACTTTCCAAAACTCAAATCAATTTACTTTCCCATCAAACAAAACAATGAAAAATGTCACAATTTCCTAGTCCCCGCACATATAATTTCCGAAAATGTTCATGGAAAATAATTGCACTTTCCGGAAATTATCGCCCCCTCAGACTGAAAAAAATCGCCGGAGAAGAGAAAAATGGAAAACGTAATAAATTCTCACGCAATTATTTGTATATATAACAATTATCATCATTAAAATTTCAGCAAACTCACTTTAACACGATCATCCATACTTCGTGCCGTTTGATCTGGTGTTGATGTTCCTGAGAATGAAGTTGTTGACGAGAAACCAATTGCTGTTGCCGGTCGTTGACCGAATACTAATTCTTGCGCCTAGAAAAATGATGAGTTCAAAGAATGTAGAAAAAAATTAATCGAGAGAAAATATGCATGAACTAAGTACATGTTGAAAACTTTGATTTTTGGACTTGAAATTATTCATAAGTAACCTTTGCTTGAGATCAGAAAAGGATACGGTTTCATTTTTTCTCTCTCACATGACTTCCGTAAGAAATCATGTGAATTAGATAATTTTTTCATAATCCGAAAAAAAATGTCGAAGATCAGATGAGCATTAAAAGTTTGTTTTTAGAAGTGGGAATTGTGGTTAGAAAAAAATGTTTCCAATTTTTCGGTTTGTTGAAAAAATGAGGTTTTGATAACTAACATTCTTTTGGAACATGCTAACAGGATCAAATGAAGATGCAGATGGTGCAATATTATGTTGACGGTTATATTCATCAGTTATTGAGATTTGCGGACATGCCAAAGAGCTTCCCTCATTTGTCGACCTGATCAAAAGAGACGTGTTAAAATAAAAGTAGTGGTTTGGAGGGGGTTGAGGGCTTTAAAAAACGCCAGTTTCGGGGATAAAAAGAGAAGGGAAAAAATTCTGCAAAAAAAATGGAAAGCAACAAAAAACACTTACTGTGAGCAATTATAGGAGAGTTCATTGAACTCTTTATGCAAATTCTGAATATCGTTGTGCACTTGAAGAGTTTGCTTGAATAGTTTTTCCAGATGATTTTGCTGTTGTTGAGAAGGTGCTGCAGACGCCCAACTACTTCTTCTAGAAACAAGATTGTTTTGGAAAAAATCATTATCATTTGTACACTGTTACCTTTCCGTGGGTGGTGCTTTTGAATACGGTGCTCGATTATAGCGAGGAATCGGGTTTTGAATTCCTCCTCCCATTTGATTATTCAGGCAATGCACAGTGTTTCGTTTACCACCATATTTGTTAAGGTACCTAGAAAAAAAGGTTGGGTTCTTCGAGAAAATTTGGCTGAACTCATGTCAGAACAGGTCCAAGATCTAAAGGTTTGAAATTGAGGCCAAAAATTCTACTAACGTTTTTCCTTCCTCCTCAACAGTTTCTGGAAAAGTGAGAGTGTTATTGGGAAGATTTGCAAAATGTTGTTGAATATCAAAATTTGTCGGTAGCAATGTTTCTCCAGCCGATGCTCGACGTTCATCTGTAAAACGTTTTCAATTTTCCAAGAACCCCAATGTGAGAATTATTTTTTTTCTCGATTTTTTTCCCACATATTTATTATCATACATGTTTTCTGATAAAACCGTATCATATTTGATGATGTTAGATTATTGTTATATTTTTAGAAAGTCTATTTTTGGACAATACAGAGAATAGGGAGATGGGAAAAGGAAATTAGAAAAATAAAACCCACTCTTTGGCACTGGTAACATTCTTGTATAATCCGCCACACCAAAAGCTGGGTGTAATAAAGGTGTACTAAAATCAGCGGCTTGTCCTTCTGGCATTGGTGTGATTCCCAAGGGAGCATTCAAATGAATACCATTAAGAAGTGGTGAAGTGAACGGTATAAGATTTGGTGTAAGAATCTGCTCACTGGCGCATAAAGTATGTCGCCGATTTTCATGCCGATTTTGTGCAGACGTAACATCCAAACCTTGCGCAGCAAAACCAAACTGTCGATCATGATTTTGTGGACGCAACGAGGAAGACATTGGTGAATCATCACAAAGATCAGAATTCGATGAATCATCCGAATCACTTTCCGGACTACTCAAATTCAATTGTGCTAATTGATGCGCCGAAATAGTTGGTGTCAATGGCTGATCATCAACATTAGCTCTTCCACTTAATATTGAACCCCTTGATCCTCGTCTTGGATAATCATCTCCACTAGACCCATCTGATGTCTTTTTTACTTTGTCATGCAATAATTCATATGTTGAAAATATGGGACTCTCAAAATCTCGTCGCCTCACAGCCTATAATAATGAAAATAATGAAAATTTTATGCACATACGATATACATAATTCATTTATATGTATGTACATAAACATATATATTTCTCTTTTTTTTCCTTTTTCCTTTTTCTATACACTTACATCACAAATCTGATCTTCGCCCCAACGACCGTGTTGTTGCATAAAAAGCATGATTGTTGGGTTGAGTTTGGATGTGGTTTGTTGGCGAATTTCGAAAGAACTTGAAGGAATTGCTTCGAGAAGTTGAGATGACAAAAAGGAAGGAGTTTCATCTTGACCACTCATCCATCTGAAACAGAATTCTAATTTTTCTATTTCTATAATTCAATTTTCTCTTTTCCAACAAAAAAATGTTCCTACGTGTATTTTAACAACTGATCTTTTCCACCTCAACTCAACGGTTGTAATTTTCGTTGGATGAAAAATTACGAAAAAGAAGCCTATACTTATCTAATTATAGGCTAGCTCTTTGGCATTCTCGCCCAAAAAGTGATGTGATTTATACATTTGTTCTGTGTGTACTTTGGTCGTACTCACCTGTGTTGAAGAACATTTTGAATATTATATCGTTTGGCGGGATTGAGGACAAGCATTTTACGAATGAAATCAGCGCATTCTGAAAAAATAAAGACAATACAGAAAGAAAAGGGTTTTTATAAAACTCACCAACTGACACCCAATAAGGAATCTTGACTTGTCCACTCAAAACACTTCGTTTCAATTTGTTGACAGAATCACTTGGAAATGGAAACCCGCCAGTAACTAATATATACAATAAAACACCCATTGACCAAATATCAGCCTTCATTCCATCATAACTCTTCCCAAGCAATAATTCAGGTGCAGCATATGGTGGACTTCCACACCAGGTATTCAAAAGATTGTCGGGTTCTTGAAAATTCGAGAAACCAAAATCAATTAGTTTAATCTCTGAATCTTTTCCTAATAAAATATTTTCAGCTTTCAAATCCCGATGGACAATTCCTCTCGAATGTAAATATTGAAGTGCAGATGCAGTTTGTGCAAACCATTTTCTCGCCTGATTTTCCGGAACGCGACCTTTTTCTATTAATGTATCATACAATTCACCACCACTACAATATTCCGTGACTATATAGATCATCCGATCATGTCGCATAATCTGAATAAAGGCGTCATTGGATTATCCTCTCTATTCAATTCTTTTTTTTCTATTGGAGGGTATTATAAAATGTTGTTCTTTTTTTTTCTACTGGTTGTTATCATTCTTCTCTTCTCTTTTTTTGGTTAGTCAAGTAAAAAACAAGAAACAAATAAAACGTACTTCGTATGTCTTAACAATATGTGGATGATCGATCGTTTTCAAAATCTGAACTTCCCTCTCAATTTTGACCAAATTTTCTTTGTCTAACTTTGAAACATCAATACTTTTTATCGCCACCTGAAATCATCATATGGTTGGTTGAAATAAAAAATGACATAAAATAAAATGAGAATTTTCAAAATAATCATGAAAAACAATTGTTGTTCCCATGGAAATGGAATTCACCTTGGTTTTGGCAATCCGATGTCGACCTATACGAACTGTCGCAAAATTACCACGACCAATCACACGGCCCACGTCATATAGGCCAATCTGAAACCGGGTCACATTTTTTTCTGGCGAAGGAAGAAATTCTAAACTTTTCTTGGGACTCGAAGAAATTTGATATTTTCTTTCTGTGAATAAAAGGGACCGGAAACAAAAATATGTCGCACAAAATTTCTAGATTTTCAGATTTTCTCAGACATTCAGAATATCTCGAAACAGGTTTCTTTTTGAAATTTCTAGAATTTTTAATACATAGAACATTGAGAAAAAAAGTTGGGCTATAAAAATTGTTTATAACTCACATTCAGTTTTTTTTTTGATTTTATCTAAATTTCCAAATACTGAAAACATGAAAAATGTCTACGTCATATTTTTATTTTCCCATCCAAAAACATCGTGTTTTTCAAAATAATAAAAAAAAAGTTCGAAAAAAAAAGAACTAACCTTTTCAAGGCCTATTCGCCTTCGTGGCGTAGCCATTTATTGTAAAAATAATAGGCAAGAGCAAGGCAAGTCGAGGGATATGTGAAGGAGAAGAATATTGCGTCGTGGGTGGTCCTTAATTAGTCTCGTCTCGAATTGAATAAAATTAATCAAAGAGAAGGAGGAAGAAAGTGCAATTTTCGGGCTAAAGACGGAGCAAATAAAAAATGAAAAAAAAAAATAGAAAAGAAACAAGACAAAACGAGAAAAAAACATTGATGAATGAATAAATGAACTAAAAAAGAAGACGGCTGGTTGGTTAAAAAAGCGAAGAAAAAAGAAGAATATGATGATTATGCGTGTGATGACGAGTTGAACGTCTTCTTCTTCTTCTTCTCCTATTCGGCCGTTGCCGTCGGCTGAATGGAAACGATGCTGACTGCTGGCTGACGAGATAGTGTCAAGTTGAAACGGCGAGAGAGAGTGCATTATTTTTTCTCTCTCGTTTTTTTTTTCCTTTTACTTGCCTCTTTCAATCTTTTCCCTCTCTTATACTCTTACCGTTGAAAGCGGCGCGTACGCGTCGCGGCTTTTCTCTTGTCAGTTCAGTTCTCTCTGTCTGTTTGACGATGATTTTGCTTGCTTTTCTGACTAATACAGTTTTTTTTTCTCGTGGCTATAGAACAATGAACATCTTTACTCAACTTAACAAAAAACTGAAGAAATAAAGGTTCGATTAAAAATTGAAAATAAAAAAGTTAATAAACATAAAGCCGTATTTTAAAAAAAGAGGTATATTACATATAAAACACATTGAGATTCGAATGAGGAGAAATGGAAATATTTTCAGAAAAATATTTGAGAAAAAACACCGAAAATAAAACAAAGACACGCATTTTTTGTATGGAAAATTGAGAAGGCACCATTTTTTTAAAGGGACACATAATAACCAGATTATATCTTGGAAAATTCAACAATTATTCGCCTTTGTACAACACCCAAAGACGTGGACTATCGATATGAGCTGAAAAATATATGGATAAGTTAGGCGAAGTCTGGAGAAATTAAGAATTCTTACCTGACACATGATCAGATGCAAGATATCCACCATGAACAGCTAATGTATGATGTTTAAGATCGGACCATTCAGCAACTTTCTCTTGACAAATTGAGCAAATATAACCGTGCTCATTTTTTGTGTGCTCCTGCAAAAAAAAGTACATTGTATTTTTGAACTCTTCTAGATGAAACAAGAAGATGACTTAAAAATTGATGAAATTTTTGTTTCGTGACGAATTCGGATGAAAGCAAATTAAATTTTCGTTTTCTAGAGAATTGAGAGAAAGGGATCTAAGCTTACCTCCATTTGTATATATCGATTTGCTCGATAATCGCAAACTTTGCACTCAAATTTAATGATTCCAGTATGAGTTCTTTCATGTGTCATAACACCAACTTCACTGATGAATATCTCCTCACAAAAATGACATTGATAGGTTTTCGTGAAAACGTGAGCCATTTTCTTGTGTTTACGCAATTTTCTTGGTGTCAAGAACTTCATATTACAGAATGAGCATTTGAATCCGGAATTTGCACCACGATGAAACTTTTTGCGATGATTGAGAAGACGAATATCCGTGCAAAGATTTCTAATTGGTGTGCATTCGAAGCAAACATAAGTCAATTCACATAAATGTGATTTCATTTCCTCGTCATTTTCAACACATTTAAAACATGTTGTACATTGCTGGAATTCGACCATCTCTTCGTGCTTCTTTGAGAAATGCTTTTTGAGTGAGAATTCATTTCGAAAACGTTTGTCACAAAATGGACATTGTGGTGATACTTTTTTCTTATATGGCCGTTTGATATGCTTGATCCGACCATAATTATCAAATATTGGAACTACTCCACAATTGTTCTCGCCAGGAAGTGGGATTCTAAAAAAAATATTTGTTTATCCATATCAGAGCTCTGAAAATAAAAAGAAAACTCACGAATCAGCATTCACATCTGAAATATCTTCAACTTGATTTTCAGGCGGAATAAATCCTCCTGTTTGAATTTCTTCAATCCGATTTGCCTCCATTTCTTCCAATCGTTGAAGTTCAACCTCTTCCTCTTGTTCTCGAATATAATCTTCATAATCAGCTGGATGTTTATCACGCAAATGTCGTTCATAAATATTTTTCTCAATAAACCTATTCTTGCATCGTTTACATCGAATCATCTTCTGCCTAACCATTTTTCGAACAACTCGAACATCCGTTGGAACATTTGGCAGAAGTGGAAGATCAAATCCATCTTGTTGATCGGCTAATACAACCGTTTGCTGAACTTCTGCTATCCGACAAAGTGGAAGTTTCTCATCGGGTCGAATCGGTTGTCCCCATTGATCAAGAACAATTCGATCTTTCCTCTCATGCACTCCATTTTGCTTTTCATTCCGTAATTGTCCCAGCGTCTCGGCTAAAATATTTCAAATTGAATTGAACACAAATCTGAAATTCGCGAAGCCAAATCTTACCAAGTCCAGTGAGATGTGTTTGTTTTTCATCATGTTCTTCCGAACAACATTTGATATCATATTTATGTTCTAATTTCTGATCAATACTATCCAAAATCGCTTCGAAAGAAGACGCGGCGCTGAAACGGTTGGATTAAGCAAACAAATAAATGTGGGTAACATTCTTAAAAAGATAAAAAACGGCACATGGAACCGTCAAAACGAAAAGTTTGTTTAAAATAAATGTGCAATTTGTTTTATTTTTTATGATTATTATTAATAAACATGAGCAAATCATTGGGACCCGTTGAAATCTGTAGCAATTCGTATATATACATATTCTCTAATGTGTTGACGAGTTTCGAATACTTACTCATATTTCTGTTTATAACCTTCAGTTACAAACATGTTATGCGATAGGTAATATGCCCCGTTTCCTTGACCATTTTCCATTTTGAATTCCTAGAAAAAAAAAGATAATAGAACAATTAAAAAATTATTACATCATTTTTCGAAAATTATTCCTAAAATAATTACCCTTGGCGGCAGTGGTCCAATTGGATGAAGAAATGATGTGAGGCCCATTCCGTTACCCGATGGTCCGGAGGACATTAGATGTTGAAATGCTGAAAAAACAAGTTTTTTGGGAGAAATTCTATGGAAGAAAACTGGAAAAAAAGGCGGCAAATGGAAGAGAAATATTTTCGAAGCGCACGCGACGCACAACAGCACGCGCTGTTTGAATAATTTGTCCCTGTGATGTTGTGCAGTAGGGCGCGTTTGCTCGATTATCTTTATTTTATTATTTTTGCTGGAGGTGTGATGAAATTCTAATTTTTTCTTCTTTTCACTATACTAAATACAAAATTTGTGGTTGAAAGTACAGTAGAAGACATTTTCGAGTATGGAAAACAGCAGGAATTCGGAAACAAATTCGAGAGGATTTTTTAACACAAAGATTAAATGAAAGTAAAACTTTTACTTAAAGTCAAGCAATAATTTAATGAAAATAGTGGAAAGTAAAAATACAAAAAAAAATGCTAAAATTGTTTGGAGACTGGCAAACTATATGGCTAGCGTGAGTGAGTGTATGTGAAAAATAAACACACACCTTTTTTGTTTCGCGGATTTTTCCCATATCAAATGTGACTGTTTTTGGGAAGTTATATTGTTTATTTTTCTGGCTATTTTTTGTGTTATATGTACAGCAAAGGAATTTTGAATACATATTATATATGAGAAAAAAGGAGTTTTATGAAAAAGTTATTCGAAAATGTTCAAAAGGTGCCAGGCGTTATAGAAGTCTAGATAAACTTGCGGACCTTATGCATTTCAGAAATAGACTTCAGCCTAATTTTCAAATTTATTAAAAATTTCATTGTGGGAAGCGGATTAAAGTAATTCACATTTGTTTTTTTTTCGAAAGATCAATGCAATACGGTATTACAATTGAGAAATTCTTGATGTACCTTTAATTTTTATTTTTTCCCCGAATCACTTCACTCTTTCTGGCAGCTTTTGAATAACGTGAAATTTGAATGGAAAGGGATCAGAGTTTTTTTAAAAATAAAACTTTAATTAATTATTTTAATTAACCAAGATCACCATATTCAAAAATAAAAGTCGTTTAAAACTCCCCAAGTGTTCATGATCAGGCCTGATCGGAATCGGAATTTCGGAATTCCGAAATTCCGAAACCGACAGGTTTTTCGGAATGAGACAAACGTGTCTCGGAATCGGAATCTATTTTCTCGGAATCGGAATCATTCCGATGTTACTTCCTAAACTTTTTGGAATTTCGGAATGTGTTTCCCTTCCGAATTTCGGAATTTTTCTACCGAATTTCGGAATTTTTCGGAATGTTTGAGCTGAAATTAGTGAAAAATTCAACAAAAAAATGGAAAAATTGATGAATTTTACCTGTCATTTTCAAAAAATCTCTTTTTCTCTTGTGATTCTCGAAAAATTTAACTTTTGAAGACAAATTTTTGAAGTTTTATATCATTCCGAAACATTCCGAAAAATTCCGAAATTCCGAGGTAAAAATGTCGGAAAGGAGGTTCGGAATTCGGAATTACGATCTGACCACTCGGAATGAGTGTGCTCATTCCGAACCTTCCGACAAGGTCCATTCCGATCAGGCCTGTTCATGATTCGATTATAAAAGGTAGAAAATATTTTTAAAAAAAAGTTAGATTTTCACAAAAACTTTGAAGCGTTCGTATTTCTTCAAGGGAACTTGTGTTAAATCGATATTTTCCGAAGCACGCACCCTTAAAAATATAACAAAAAATTATCAGAATAAAAATTTAGGAAAATCTTTAAACAATCAATTTTCAGAAATTCAGAATGAAAACACGAATCTCACAAAAAATCAGAACTTCGACCATTTTTTGCACTATAAAATATTGATCTGCATAGACCCAAAAAAGAAAAAAGAAACATTTTTCTTAGTCTAAGTCGCAGCAGGTGGAGATTAACTGGAGATACTCTCCTTTTTCACTTTACAACACTTTTTCATTAAAATTATTTATAAAAAAAGAAGAAACACCAGAGAATTTGGCGAAAATACATAGTATTTTGAAACAAAACAAATTACAAATAAAAAAAAAACTAATTTTTGGTGATAATCCATGTTCCACCACCAAAAGGCAATAAAGATGCAGAAACTCTTGCATCTTGTTTAATTCGAATATTCATATTTCTTATAACTCGATCATCATTTGTCATAAAATCAATTGGCGACATCACACCACCAGAATTCAATGCTTGATTGATTATCAATAATCCGCCACTTCGCAAAAGACGAATCGAATGTTCATAATTATCCAAATAATTTTCACGCTTAAAATCATCCATGAAAATAAAATCAAAAGTGTTTGGCTCATTTGCAGCAAGTCTTGGCAAACTTTTTTCGATACTTTCTGAAGTTCTCATCTGAATTCTAGACATTTGAGCAGTCGTTAGTTTTTTGGCATGCTTTTGTCCAACTTTCTCCCAAAATACTGCGTAGGCTGGATGTTCTAAAGCTACAACAATTCCTCGAGAATCTACACGTTCAGCAACGCCAAGAAGTCCAATTCCAGTGAATACTCCTGACAAATGTAAATTTTAGTTTGGAATGAACTGCTTTTAAATCCAAAGTTTTTTCTCCAAATTTTAAAACACTAACCTACAACTAAACATCTTGATGGTCTATATAATGACATCAAAGTTTGAACCAATTGTATAGTTTCAGGTGTTACAGATTGTTGCCATGAAATATGCACAGGAAAAACTGTGGTTTGTGTTTCTTTCAACAAATCTTGAATTGAATCATCAATCATTGTTGAATGACTATAACAATATTGGAATAGCGGATCAGAAGTTTCGAAGCTTCGAAGTTTGATCGAACACCGTTGATCAGGCTGACATGTGTCATATTTGTTCATTAGCGGTGAGGAAGTGACCACTATTTTTTCGTTGATCGGTGGACGAGTAAACTTTCGCGCCTAAAAATAAATATTGTTTTTTTTCTTTGCCGATTACCAGGCAGATTTTACCTTTATGATGAAAGGAATTGGTGCAGTAACAGATGATGTTTCAATTTCTGTAGTAGTTGTTGTAGGTACGGTAGTTGTGGTTACTGTAGTAGTCTCTGGCATTTCTGTAGTATAAACTTGAGTTGTATGCTCGGTGATGAATTCTGGTGTGATTTTCTTCCAAACATTGGAAGGTTTGATATATGTTGCAGTTGTTGGATATTCTGGTGTGATTCTGAAAATATAAACAAGTTATTTTGTAACATAAAACAAAATTTCTACTCACTCTGTTGGTGGAGTTGGTGTGATTGATCTTACTGTAGTCGGCCAAATTGGATATGCTGGTTTTGTGAAAAGATTACCCTTCGAAGTTGTTGTACTTTCAGTTTTTTGAGCTTGAATATTAGGTGCAAAGGTGGCATATTTTGTAGTAAACCCACGAAGTTCTTCAGGAATACTAGGTGTAGATGTTGTTGTAGAAGTTCGTGAAGTTTTGATAAATTTCACAATCAGTGGCTCTGTTGTTGTGCTAAATCGGAACTTTGGTCGTGGATCATAAGTGGTTGTGATTTCAGGAAGAGCTGTTGAAGTTGTTAGATAACTTGGTGGAATTGTGTATGATTTGATCTCCTCGGGAATTGGTTCAGGTGTTGTTCGAACTGGGATAAGATTTGGAATTGGTCGATCAACTGGATGAATTTTTGGCAGAACTCGTTTTGTTGTTGGTTTTGTAGAGGAAGTTGTTAGATTGAAAATCTCTCGAAGATTTGAGGCGAGACTCATTTTTTCCTCATCACCAAATGATGAAGAGATAAGATTACCAAGGCCATTGAATAATTCTCTTCCGAAGTCAAATATAGAATGAGAGTCAGGTTCGTTGAAATCTGGACCGCCGGAACCAAATGCGCTTTGTTTCAAAGTCTCAAACATGGAACCAAGGTTAGCCTAAATATTATAAATATTTATTTGGATTAATTATTTCTTCAAAAATAAAATGAAATTTGAAAACTTACAAATGGTAACCATAAAAAAGCATTGGAAACATTTACCATCATCAAAAAGTAGAGAAGAAGTTTCATCTTTTTGACCAAATGACCCGACGAACTAGGAGAGCAAGAAAATGGATATGTTTGTAATCGGGGATGTCTAGATGTGTGTCAAAAAATCTTTTTTCATAAGGCTCATCGCGTCGAGTTTTGACAGCTCAACGTGACATGAAGAAAGTGTACAGATAGTACGGAGTGACCACATAAACACACGAAGCGGTTGCTAGCGAAAAAAACAGTTTTAGTGTATCAGATTACAGTAAAGTACAAATCGCGGGAGGTTTTTTGGGGTACACAAAGTTCAAAACACTTTTTACGCCGTGACATTGTTATTCAAAATTCTTTGGCCAAACTGAGATTTTTTTAGGAAAAAAAGTGGGAAAAGAGCGAGAGAGAGAGAGAAATCTGTAGAAGCAGATTTTTTTTCAGTTTTTTGTAATTGCATAGTACAATAAAAAGGAATGTTTTGAAAAAAAAAAACTTTGATGTGCAAATATTGAAATTTGAGGAATAATAGGCTTTGATTGATTTCAAGGAGAATCATATTTCGATATATGATTTTTTGTACCAGAAGACATTTTTAAAAATATATTCTAGTTAACCAAGATGGTCTTTGTTCTCAATTTCTCAAAAAAAAAACTGTTCAAAAATTCCATTCAAAACGAAGTTCCTCTAACTTCAAATCAGACCAGCATTATTCTCTGATTTCACATGTGATATGCCAATTCTCCAATTTTATGTCGCTATAAATTGTTTTACAGGTCAATTTAGGCGTTGTCGATTTCAGATTTAATCTATCTCCAAAAAAAGTTTTTCCGTAAAGCATTTTTCTTGCGAGTTTTGATCTACTTGTAGTTTATTTTTCAAATTTTCAAACTTATCTCATTGAAATCGACCCCAATTTTTCTCTCTCACTTGTCTGGTTTCCAATTTCAATTTCAATTCTCTAAATAACCATTCACCAAATATCCAACCAAAACAGTAATCATTAGTGATAGGTGTTAACAAATAGTCTTCTCTATCAATCCTCTCTTCTTGTTTCCTATTCCCAATTCGTTTTTTCTCATTCCCATCAACCCCAGGGCGACTAATGAAGGACAAACGAATGAGACAAGCAGAAAAAAAAAACCCAAGGCGCATGCATGGACAAAAAAAATAGGAAAAAGAAGAAAACGGGCCACGCCCGACCGCAATCGTTTTGTTGTAAATCAGCATTTACCGCTGGTTTGGCTTGTTGTTTTTTTTCTTGTTGTTGTTTTAAACTTCTACTTTATTGTTTCCTTGTTGCTAGGTTTTGAAATGAATTACGATCGACGATATTCTCCACCCGGCGGTGGCGGCGGTTATTCAACACAAACTCAAGCACGTTCACAACAACCAACACCACGTGGAATTGATTCAAGATCACATTTCTATGGCCGAGAATATCCACCGCTACGATCAAGATCACAAAATAATATCGAACAAGATTATGATCGAGGATATCCAGGTCCACAACATCCTCAACAACAACCATTTTATGATACTCGAACACTTGACAAAAATTCAAGGTTTCTTTCAGAATTCCCCTAAAAATAAAATAAAATAAAATGTTTCAGATCAAAATCATTGGATACTCGCGAACTCCGCGGCGATGACGGATATTATCGCGACGATTTTTCTCACGGTGTTATAATTCCGATTCGTAGAGAAACTGGACCACGTCGACCTTTCATTAATAATCCACACGATTCTCCTCCACGACAACATCAACCACAGCAACAACAACATCAAGATGATCAAGAAATTCATATTCCATATAATCATCGAAGAAGTTTTGATGATCGACAAAGATTTGGAGGTTTTGATAGCCCGAAATCTTTGAATTCAAGATATCCACAAGAACAACATAGACCTGAACCAAGATATCTTGATGAACGAGGAATCGATCCAAACTTCCAGCAAATTCAACCATATAGATCTGGAGGAGGAGGTGGAGGTGGATATCGATCAAGTAGTGGAAGTCATCATCGAAGTCATCACGAAACAATAACCCAACAACCAACAGAACTTCGAGTGGGTTATGGACCAAATCATGGGCCAGGATATGGGCCAGGGCCAGGTCCTCGTCCAATTCAACATCGTCGTATACAATGCTGCTGTTTCCGATTTGTTTGGCCACCATGGAGTGTCGAACCAACTGGACCACCCCAACAAATTTATAGAAATTTCTAGGTAAAATTATTTTTCTACCTCATTACTTTACGCCCTGCCAAAAAATTTAATTCTCCATTTTTTTTTATTTGTGAAAAAAATCCGTGCTACCAAAAAATAAATAATAAATGACCCAAATTTGTCTATGATATATGATAAACATGTTGTTAGGTCAATTTTGTTTGATGACCTTGTTTTTTCTCGCTTATTCGATTTTTTTTGTTGTGTTGTGTTGTTTGGATAACAAGAATGATGATCATCACGATAACTTTATGGCACAAGACAAATTCTCACATTACATTACAAAGAACAGTTATGTATGTTTATTTGATTTATTACAATTACAAATGATAAGTGGCTTCTCTCATTTTTGAATTGTTACTATGAGGACTTCCACCTTCATAATCATATAGATAATCGAATTGACTCAAAGCGTCACGGACATCTTCTCCTGGAACAAAATAATTGTCGGTTGATCGACTAGGGTAATCATCTTGGCTAGTAGTCCTACCAATAGTTCCATTGTTGATACTTGGGCTTCGCAATTTTTGGCGGCTGCTACTTCTTGATTCATTAAAATCGAATCGATTTGTTTTGCTATGTCGACGAGGTCCAGCACCAACACCGCCTTCGATGTTTATTGGAACGTATACTACTTGCCCATTCTCATTTGAATATGCAACTGGTCTGAAAATGGAAATTTTGGAGAATTTTGACTTTTTTAAAGATTTTTGTAACAAGAAGATAAAGCAAAATAATCGGGAGTTTCTAACAAAAAACCTCATCAGTCCCATTTTTTCGAAGTTAACTCACTTGTCATAATCTTGAACAGAATTATTCTGAACATCCAAAGGTGACAAAGGTCGACTAGATCCTTCATAATTTGTAGTCGCATACAATGGGGCAGAAACTGGTCGATTCAAAGTTTGCTCATTTCTCGGTTCAGGGGATGTTACTCTTTTCGACAAAACTGAAGTGACTACTGGTTGTTGTGGGAACAAATACGAGAATCCAGCGTGTGGCTGTTGTGCTTCAACAATTGGTGGATCTGCAAATCTAGCACGTGGTGATAATGCACTTGATAGTCTTCGCGAAGATGTTCGATCGTCAATTGAATCAGTTTGTTTTATGATTGGTGAGACTGGCATCGGTGAAACCGCGCGGATTGGAGTTCTTGATGCTGCAACAGATGGTGGTCTAGCGGATACTGGTCTGAGCAATGTTCCAGGATCATCGTCTCTAATTGCCAAGTCATGAACACTGAAATATAGTTTCATTGAATGCATAGAGCGGTAAAAATATGAAGAAACAAACCTTCTGGAAAGTGTTTTTGCTTGTTGAATTGGATGATAATGAACATTATCTCTATTATGATTGTTTGCACCATTATTAAATCGTTTGAGTCCTCTTGGAATCATTTCAGGTGAAAGTTCTTCATTCTCATCACGATCTCTTACAACCATCGCACTCTCACTTTTTGCTCTACGCATTGCTCCAAATGGTTCACGACGTTCTGTTGCATATCTTGGAGCAGGAATTGGAGATGGAGCTTCTGAAAATAATCATGCTAGGTTTTTAAGTTTTAGATAATAGAACAAACCTGTATAACCTCCACCATGATTCAAAGTTTGTGATCGTCTATCATATGTCAATCGTGGACCATTTGATCCATCGAAATAATAATTACTACCAGCAGCTCGACCACCGGAACCAGCTCCTTGTTTCCGGAAACGTTGCCTTTCCACATTTTTAGCCAATGATGTTATTGGTTGCATTTTGATACTTGGTGTCATTCTTCTACTTCTTTCAGAAATACTATCACCTTCAATTTCCGAAGTTCCATAAATATGATTATGTTCAACCACACTATTATTCGAACTTCCACCAATAAATTGATTCAATGATTTCCACGCGGCTAATTCATCAACAAGTGTATCAATTCCACCAAAAGATGTGTTTGGATATCCAATCAGTTTCTCAACATATTCTGGAGTATATTGTGCTAATTGAATCTCTGATTTCACCAAATTCCGATGAGTTTGAGTTGGAGCATTGGCAATCAATTTATTGAATAATCTAGCAACAAGAATTTGAATATGCAATTTTTTTGTATGAAGACCATGTTTGAGTTGTGCAACAAAAATTGAAAATCGCAAATAATCTCGATTTCTAGCCGCAAGAACAGTCAAAGCTCGCAAAAGAATCAAGAATCCTTGAGGTTGCTCGAGAAGCAGTAGGAAAATCTGAAATTTTTTGTCCTTTCTGAAGATACAAATGTATTTCTCTTACCTCTAATGAATAACACTTTGAATCAAGTTGTGGGCTGTGAATTGAATACATAACTGCATCAAGACCAGTAGATGTGTCCAGAAAAGATTTCCATGCTGATTCCTGCAAGAAGATTGATTTTTGACTTTTTTTGACACATTTTGTATATTATCTGGTTTAATTGCAATTGCAAATATCAAATTTCGAACGCGGAGATAAACAAACATTATGCGAGGTAGATCAAAATACAACTCACCGATTTTTCAAGCAAAAGTTTGATGCTTTCAATACAATCAGCTTCTGCTACAGCCGCTTTTCTTTTTCGATTTGCATTTGTTGAATTTCTATTCAACAAATATGAAATCTTTGAACTTGATCCTTCTGTACTATTTACAATTCCTTGCAAAACAATCACAACCTTGCCCAACAAATCAATGCCATTTATTGGTTTCGAAACAAATTCGTGTGAAAAATGTTGTGCCCTGAATTATAATAATTATTCATTTCCATTTTCATTTCTATCTCATGCTTCTTCTTTTTTCTCTCATCTCATTTACTACGTCATTGGGCAAATAATGGTCTCGACAGGCAAAGCAGTCAGGCAGAAAGTAAAGCTATCTATCAGTGAGAGGAAGAACCGGTGCGCAGTTCCGCGCGCACGTCTCATTAGATGTTAAATAGTCGCCACAGGGGAGCACAAATACACATACATATTTTTATATATTTTATTTGTTTGAATATATAACAAGAGAATTTTCAATGTATACATACACATTCATGCGCGCATTCAAAAACAGTAGGATTTTTTGCTGCCGTCCGACGCGTATTTATGTTATTAGAAAAACATGAATAGGATTTTTTTTTGCAAAAAGATAGATGAGACTGCAAAATGAAGGAGAAAGAAAAACATACTTTATGGAGTCTGCAAGGATTTGATCTTTCAATGATAATAAAACAAATCCAGCATCTGATAAGGATATTCCACTACCTGAAAAATGAGAGATTACATTTGGAAAAGTTCAGGGTGGTCGTTCCCAGATATTCAAAAACGACACATTATATCAATCTTTCTAATTTATTCAAGAAAATTAAAATAGTGGAGGTTACTGCGAATAGATTCACAATGAATGGGAATCTGAACGCTTTCAAGAGAGGATAAATTTGTTTTTGTGATAAAATAATTTTTTAAAAATCAAATAACTTCGAAACTTGAATATAGTTTTCAGAACCCCAGATTTTGTGTTATTTCAAAAAAAAAAGATTCAGTGATAAAAAAATTGATAACATTGTTGGATTTAGAAAATTAAGATTTTCGACGTTTGATGAACTAAATTTTTTAAATGAGGTGTGGTGAGTACTAAAAACTTTCAAAAATCTGGAAAATTTTGAAAGTAAGATCCACGAAGATCATCTGCTTTTCTATAAAAATGCTATTCTTCAAAATTCAGAAGACGAGTTTGAATTGAATTTGAATTTTTATTTAGAATGTTATAAATTCACCGGCACATAATGTTTCAAAAAATCTTAAAGGTTAAAGGAACATCAATAACATATCTAGATTTTTCTGAATTTTCAAAAATTGATAAATCAATTTTTATAATCAGTATTTAAATTTTTGATTTTTTCCTGTGATTGATAATTTTTATTCACTGAAAAATTACTGATTTTCAAATTTATAGAAAATTCTTCAACCCATTCTATCAAATAACCAAACACTTCAGAGAACATTTTATCACACCAAATATGCCTCTACCCCTGACCCACCAGATGGTGTCGAATCCGGATTTGAGATGAATCTCCGAAGTTGATCGGCTAAAACACGCGGCGACGATGATGTTCTATCCATCAATAGAAAATCTTCATGAGAATCCCAAGATATAATAAATCACAACGAATTTTGAAGGGAAAAAAGAAGAAAAACGAGAGGTAAGGTGTGGGTGCGCAATGTGTATGTTTCTCTCTGTGTGTGCGCGATTGAGGTAAAGCAAATAATCTCTCTTGACTTGACTACTGACTTCTTCTCCAGCTGGGGCGGAACTTTTTTCTCATTCTCATTCTCTTTCCCGATTTTCCCATTAACATAACTGTCAAAAAATGTTATCTTTCGTTCTACTGTTCCAGTATTTATTGTGCTTGTAATGAAAAAAAAGTCAAATATACACACAATTAGCAAAATGTTTAATAATCTTCATCTTCTTCCTCTTCTTTGGCTTCGAAACCTTGTGGACAGCTCGTGCTTTTTGCAAGCATCTGGAATTTGTTTATTATTTTTTGTTTGGGATTATGATCTCATATATTATGACAGATTTACCTCATTGATGTAATTCGAATCCGATTTTGAGCTACATAATTGAAGCATACAAATCGCTTGATCTCGAAGTTGAGGAAGGAAGAAAAAATCCGACTGGAATCAAAAGATTTTCATGGAAAGCTTATGAAGATTAGGAAAAAACAACATTTTTGTTTACATTTCGGATTTTTTGAATTATACAGTAAACATTGACCTGTCATCGTTGTTTATACTTTTGAAATAAAAAAAAACAGGGAAGAGATTTTTGATCAAGTAAGAAGAATTTTTAACAGCCGGGGATCCAAATCTATTTCAAACTATGTTTTGTTTCGGGAAAAATTCCCTTGCGGGTTCAAGGTATCCTAACTTTTTCAATAATTTTTATATTCGGAAGATATTTGAGTTCTAGAACAAATATTCCAGAGAATCTGTCAAACGAACCTCCTGAGTTAACATTGCCAAGCGATCTGGATCCTTTGGCAAACAAGCCTCCCATAATTGTCCAGCTTTTCTCAATCGAAAATAATTGAGAATAATTCCAAATGACTTTGGATCACGATCCACAAAATATGCTCCATCTTTATCAATCGTGAATGGAATACTCTTCGTGCGCGATACAAACCACTTGTGAAACATTGAATCGGTTGGAAAAACTGTTTTCAATGTTGCGTGCAATTTTCCACCAACATTGAAACGAATTATCAAATTTTCAGTCATCTCTGAAAGTCACAATATTTTAATATGTCACAAGAAGACCTAGAAAAACGGAACAACAAAAAATGAGACAAGAAAACCATGTCTACATATAAGTAGTCTAAAATAAGGAAGATTATCCCCACCAGTCGTCATGGTGATATAAAACTTTTTATTCACAATTTTTTTATTTTTTTTTTTCAAAGGTAATTTATTGTATCTATATATGTACTAAATTTTGCTAATTTTTTTCTAGAAGGAAAACTTTAAGAGAGCGAAAAAATCTATAAAGAGCGGATATTGCGAAATATGTTTTCTGAATATTATATTGAGAGGGAATGGAATGAAATCTGGAGGTGGATATGGAAGAAAAAAAAAGAGGTTGTCGTTCTTTTTTTTTCATTTTTTAATGAAATGCATATTTTCTGGTTTGAGAGCAGATTGGATGTAAATTGGAAAAAAGGCTACTGTGATTGAAAACAATTTTTTCTGGGATGAGTGAGTGACAGATAAAACAAATGAGAAAAGAATATGGGCAATTTCTGATGAAATGTCTTGGTTACTGTAGAGTTTATTGGGAAACTAGGAATAAAATAATTTGTGAAACATGAAATGAGAGAAAAATTTTCAAATAAAAAATTTTATTTTAGTACTAATATTTTCCCATGAAATTGCGGGATAGTATAGAACAATTAAAGAAAATTGTGAAAGAACAAAGTTTATTTGGCTCTGATCGGAAAATTATTCGAAAAACTTAATTTAAAAACGAATGAAATCTGAAATTTTTTTCAAAATATTGAAAGAAAAATCGAAAACTCTAATCCATTCTGAATATGGAAGTCAGAAAAATCGAGAATCACATTAAAAATCCCGAAAAGTGAACAAAAGAAAATTCCAGACCTCATCAAATATGAATTGTGTTCTCTCTCAACTAAATAAAAAGCGCAGCCCTTGAAATTCAAAAAAAAATATTGTCATTGTCAAAATTTTTTTTCGAAAATTTTGGAAACAAAACGAAAAGCATCTTTCTTTTCTTCTTCTCTCAAAGGGCACCACTTATTCGAATTGAGCCCATCTTTCCTTTTTCTTTTTTTCTTCTTTTTTTCTATTTGAGATTCATAAATTTTTGGGTGCGTGAACAAAATGGAAAATAAAAATAAGAATAATAAATGAAAAGGACCAACAAAATGAATAAAAAAATGTGAAAAAAAAACATTTTTGGCCACTTTGCGCATTGTGTCAAAAATGAAAAATGGAAAAACCGACACGAAAAAAATCGATCAATACTTCAAAATACTAACTAAATAAATAACAATATAATAATAAAAAATAATGATGTGGTTGTAGTCGACCTCGAGTTATTCTAGTTTCAATTTTTCCGTAGACAAAAGATTTTCTGTTCTTCCATTTTTCATGCATCCTCAAGCAAAAAATGTGTGTTTCTAAGAAATCTGATATGCTTTTTTTCTTGCGCGAGCGAGCGAGCGAATAACATTTCACCTGGCTTCCAAAACTTTTATTTTTCACAAAAAAATCAGTCTGAAAAAACACACACAAACTAAAAATCATCTAACCGTGGAAGAATAATGGGGAAGGGGGAATAACATTTTGGGATGTTTTTTTTTGAAAATGATTTTTGAAATCAAATGATAACCAGTAATTAGTACATAGCTTGCTTTTTTGACATCAAGATTGTCGAATTCAGAGAAGTACAGATTCCTGGAAAAACAATTGGTTTGAAGGAATAATTGTATTTTATATATCAGGTCATTTTGAAGATTACAATACTGTGAAAGTCATCTGATAGTTCTCAAATTTTTAGAAATCTGATCGGCAAAAAACTCCGAATTTTGAAAGGTTCCCCCTTTCTAGTCAGAACTTCTTCGAAATATATTTTTACGTGACAAAGCCTCTTTCTCATTCAAAATCACATGAATTTTCAACAAAAACATATTAATCCAAAGCTGAACTTTTCTCCTAATCCAATTATTCCATCAATATCGCTCACCTCTTTCGAACTAATCTGCGGTGATGACAATTCAACACATGAATCCATCTTCGTTGTCAAATCAATTGTAAATTCAGTGTACTCTGCTGGCTCACGTGTTTTTGCAAGTTGTGTCAATGCTCTAAAAATACATAAACTCATTAAATCGGAACTTATGTTATTGGCTTACTGTAATTTGCTTCTTGTTTTCCAAATGCTATTAATAGCACAGACAAAAATGGCAAAACAACAGAAAAGAAGTGGAGCGACGACTGAAACCAAGAAGAACACATCAGAGCTCTCATCTGAAAATTGAATTAAATCGGTCAACGGTGATTCATTATTTTTGGAGAGAATCCCTAGAATTGAGTGCTCAATGAACTAATGGAATTCAAGAAACCTTTATGCAGATGTCATGAAAATTTATGATCTATGGAAAATAAATATTCGCTGTTCTGTGATCTGAAAGATTTGCTGCTTCTCAAAAATGATTTATTTATATTGGAATTTCAGAAAAGCACAAATTATGCGAGTAAATCTGATATTACACCAGGAACTTATGTTTATTGAAAGAATGATCTACAAAAATACGTTTCAAAATTTTTTATTAAATTTCGAAATTTCATTTTCACACACTTTTGATCTACCAACATGTGAAAATTCCTGTGATCATTTAGAAAAATAAATAAATAATATGAATTTGTCATAATTTTTGAAACGTTGAAAACAAGACGTGCTTTCTGGCTAGAAGAAGCCTTTCGAAAGTCACGTTCAAAAATGTCAGTACAGTCATAATCTTGGAATTAAATGAATAATCATAAAACATTGTGAAACCTTTGAATAAAAGGTCAAACTTTAATATCTACATACTTTTCCGCATTAACAATACTACAGTACCCTTTCCCAACCCCAGATTCTCACCAAATGGATTCAGACTTCCTCCTTGTTTCTCATATTCTGTAGTCGTTGAATCGATTACAGTACTCTCTGTAGATGTCACATCTGGCAATGGTGTCGAATGAAGATGTCGTGACAGCCTCATTTGTTGTGTCACAAATTCTATAACAAAAAATTATTAATAATAAATTTTCAAATATGTATCTGCTGATGAATAAGAAGTGGTGTCGCGCGAGAAAAAAAATGAAATTAATGCGATAAAAACATGCGACCGAACAAGAAAAAATGAGCAGAAAAAGAAGAGGCTCAGATCGATCACGGATTAAGGATATCAAGAATAATGCCAGTTGAAGATTAATGGAGAATCTTGATTTTTATCATTTCGGGGTAATTTTTATTTCCTAGATAAATAACGAATAGTATTTCTTAGAAAATCCTAATTTTTTCGAATAAATAAAGATATAAATATATATATATATATAAAAAATGAATAAAATATGATAATAATTCTATTTCGCGGAAAAACGTCATATTTGTTATCCTATCGGAAGTATAGATTTATTGAGCTCGTGAGCTTGAAAAACTAATTTGCTCATTCCGTTCAAAAAAAAATAAATGAATACATATCTGAAAGTGAAAATGAATAAAAGAGAATGAATATTTTAATAAAAATGGATCGCAAAAAACCTAATAAAAATGAAAAAGACGAAGAAAATGTAATCTATTTATACACATTTTTTGTTCTTATTTATTGGATAGTGGCAGGGTCTGTCTGGAGAGAGACAAACAAATTGTGGTTGAATTATTATGCCTTGAATAGCATTCATGTTTTTTCAAGAAAATTATGAGTTGTTTGTTATTTTATGTGAGATATATAAATTTGAGCGTTTAAGACTGCAAGTGCACAATTCTGGGAACATTTTTTGAGGTGAGACTAAAAAGAGCGAAAAAGTGAGAGATTTAGAGACAAATATATTTTATCTACCGAAAAAGCTTGAGGTCTAGTGATTTGTGATAAAAATTAGGAAAAAAAAACAAAGGCCGGATATTCAAATCCCACTGTCTCCTATGGTTTTTCCTCTGCGTCACTAACACCGGGTAGAGAAGAAAAGTCAAAAGGCATATAAACCGTACTTGAAAAATTGCATTCCCAGCTTCTTTTTTTGTTTTTATTTCAAAGAAATTACACACTGTGATGTACGCTGAGGCTTTAGAAGTGTCAAAAAGCCGGCATGTCCCAGAAAAATCTCAAGATCTCATTTCAAAAATCAATTTTCTCAAAGAAAAAACTAACTACACTTCCTAGGAATATATGCATGCTTATCCAATATAAATCCAAAAGCTGTTTAAAATTCATAAGCCACTCCCCAATAGTAGATTATTTTACAATAACCAAAAACCAAAAAGCTAGACTATATATTTCCCTAGTTTTAGTGCACCGCCCATTTGGGATTTGGATACTTGTTCAATTTGACATGAGAAAAAAAACATACATCTTCTTTTTTTTTGCTAAAAAAAATAAAGAAAAACACAAGGAAGTTTTGAGGAGCGGAAAAAACAACACTTTGTTTCACATTTGATTACATTTTCATCTTGGGTGGTCTAAGAAATGGAGCATAGACAATTTGGAGCACACAAAAATGCGATGAGACGAAAAAATGGAATAAAATGAAATGAATTGAAAGAGAACAAGTTTGTAAAAAAAGAAGAAGAGCGAGAAAAAAGTGTGATTTAATTACATGTGAGTTCGATGCGGTGGGTGTCTGACGCATATAATTATCATTGATTGGGCCGGAAATTCGCAGAGCACTGCATACCACGTTCATATGATCTCATTTATTTTCTCCTTTTTTTCTTCTTCTTATTTACATTTTTCTTATGTACATATATGAAGTTTGAGATATTAACTAAACACCTGGTACATGTTACAAGTTTCACAGAATATAAAATATTTGAAAGTGGATTCGTTGATAAAATCATAGATTGTTAGTCAAACATCATTTGAAATTTGAAGAATATGTTAATTTTCATGACGTGATATAATTTTAATTAGTTCTTTGGGGAGTGAAATTGCGAAAACAATATCTTGTGATCTGAACTTCCTATTTTTCCAAATTGGCAGATGTCTGAGAAAAGCAAATCTTATGAGAGAAATCAATTAACTTTGAATTTGTTATTGAACATTTTTTTTAATTAAATTGAAATTTAAAAAAAAACTGTAAAACACCTGAAAATGAAAAAAAAGAAACCAACAAAATTAAAAACCAGGTGGACTTTTTCATCATCTTGAAAAAATAATTTATGTTTATATCACAAACTAAAATAAACCAGTAATTATAATACCGTAATACTTATAATTTACAATTCGTCTTTTGCTTCGGCAGTTTCCTCAGCTTCTTCTTCCTCAACAACTTCTTCAGAGGTAGTTTCTTCAACTTGTGGCTCTTCAACAGATTTTGGTTCATCGCTCGCAAATTCCAACAAAGCGCGCTCCATTCCATCAATAATTTGAGCAGCCAATGGATAGAAATACTTGTTATTTCTATATTTTTGCTCATTATTAGTTTTCAATGGATTTCCATCGGTATCCAAGAACAAAATTCTTGGAATATATCCACCATCTGGAGCATATTTAGCATCTTCTGGCTCATCATCATCTTCAACATTGACCATCACAAATTTGCGAGAGAGAAGGATGAGTTCATCGGTTTTTGCAGAGCTTTTGAGTTCTCTTTGAAGTGCTTTACAAGCTCCACACCATGTTTTGTGAATCAAGAAGAAGATTGGTTTGTTGAGATCTTTTGCGATTCCAATAGATTTATCGAATGAAACCCATTCAATAGCAGTTGGAAAGCCTGAATTAAAAAAACAACAATATTTATATGTTCATAATCTAAAAAAAATCTACTCACCGTGTGCCAAATTCTCGACTTCCTCCTCTTTTGCAAAAACTGCGACAAATCCCAAAACGACAAGAAGAAGCACTTTCATTTTGGCTGGAAAAACAAAAAGTAAATCAAAGCAAGAAGGATATTGGAAAAAACTGTTTTGAAGGGGAAAATAGGTCACCCGCCTCTTGGGAGACAAAAAAGAAAAAAAGGAAGGAAGAAAACAGTCGACGTGGAAGGCAAGAATGATCAAATATTGGGATATGAAAACACTAATAATAATAGTAATGCAATAGTAATTGTGGCTAGATTTGTATCTTTGTTTTATATTCTGCGAGAAAAAAGGAGAGAGGGTTATGTATGCATACAATTATTTTTGCCGAGGAAAATTTGTTTTTTTTTCATTGTGAAAGGAACATTTTTTTTATAAAACAAAAATATTTGACTACTGAAAATTGAAACAAATATATTTCGGAAGAGAAACAATTGCTATAAACCTAACAAATAAACTAAAGAAATTTTTTCGGGCCAGAATTTCAAAATTCTGAATCGGATTTTGTTCGAAGGACAATGAAAACTTGATTAAATAAAATTTTCTACATACTGTTTCATTCCCATCGAATTATTTGACAAAAAATCTTGCCAATATTTTTGAAACCTAAAATCCCGCATTAGAATGCCAAAATTAATAGTCAAAATTCCGAAATCCTGTATCACTACCCGGAAGTAATGTTCTAAAATTGAAGAATTTCAAAAACTACAGAAATGTTAATCCTCTAGTTTGAACTATCTCGACTTATGTAAATGTTTGTGTTTTGATTTTCATAAAACAATCATATAATCTTTTGAGTTCTCAAAAATGTATTTAAAAAAACTGAAAACATCGATTCATGTTATCTTTGGGTTATAAATTCTGAACAAAAATATTTTTGATATAAATCACAAGAAATGGAAAACATATCACAAAACCATATAAAATAATATCAATTTCCCATTTTCAGAATTCCAGAAAAGTTCTCACACAACTTTTTTATTCATTTAAGTAATGCAGAACAAAATTGGTTTTCCTTCTTTTTATTCCAAAGAAAATTTTTAAAAACAGTTTCGAATTTACCTCAAAATTTCTCTGTGATTTTTGAAATATCGAAATGTCAACAAAAAGTTGCGAAATCACATTAGAACACGTCGACTAAACTTTTTGTGCTTTCTTCTATCGTTGTGTTTCGAAAATTATTTTTTGACGTTTGAAACTTCACAACCCCTCTCGCCTCATAATAATTCAAAAAAACATCAGGTGCATTTGTCATTTTTGCATGCCTCGAACACATCAATCTCCAGGCAGCCTTTATATTATTTTTCCCTCAAAAAAAATGTTTTTTTCAAAATCCCTCAAAATATTTCCCGTTTCATTGCTTCAAAAATTGTAAAAAAAAAAAACAGAAATTGGACAAGTCCTTACAATGCACTTTCGTTTTTTGTTGGAGAAAAAATCAAAACAGAAATTTTTGTTCTTTTCTTTTTCGAAATATTTTTTTTAGCAAACATTATAAATTATTGAAATGTGAGAACAAATCTTTTATTTTATTCTTCTTTCAATAACAATAATAATAATAATAAATATTTAAATAACAACAGAAAACTTCTCAAGAAAAAGCAAAAAGCAGAAAAATATTGTATATTTCTCTGCTCCCTCTTCTCTCTCTGCAGTGCACACACTTTATTCGCCGCACATATGCACACATTTGGCGTCTTCCCTCCCGCCTTCTCAATTTTGCTGTTGTTTGCTTCGTTCACAAAAAAATCACATGTTTTGTGTTGTTTTGTTTTGTTTATTTTTTCCTTGTTGTGGTTCTTCTTTGTTACCAAACCCAACTAGTAACGAGTTATATATATTTCTATACAATTTTGTCGGCCAAAGTCCGTTGGGTTAATCAAACTTATCACGTGTTTACCTAGTCTTGAACGTTCTTCATTTTTTGATGACCTTCACAAAAATATATTGAAAACTTATTTTATTTTATCAATCTTTTGATTATTTTATCGTTTCTTTTTGTGTTCCCAACGAACCCTGGAGACCAAAAAAATCCTATTTTTTTCGATTTTTTGAAAACACAAAAAAATGCTTGGTTTTTGAGGTCAAAAAGATTTCTTCTTTTTTAAACAACTGTTTCAATGTCACGTGTCTCTTATCAATGTTTTTTGTTTCTCTCTTTTTCAAAAAAAAACATATATTTTCAGCATCAAAAACTGCCGGTCAAAATCAAAATCAGAATCAAATAATGTTGGGAGCTGAGCATTTGCTCTTGTTATTTTCAACAGTGGCAATTCCTCCAGTTGCTTGCACAGTTCTTCTTTGCATTATTCTTGCGACTTTCGGCAAATCACTTGGATTACGACAAATTTATGTTGATACACTTATTTGCATTTTTGAGGTGAGAAGTTTTTATTTTTTTTTCAATTAAAAAAAACAATAAAATTTCGTTATCAATGAAAAAAAATTCTTTGAGAGTAAAATGGTGTGATAACTAGAAACGCAAACATTTTTTTCCGTTTTGGCCTGTCAGGGACATGTGTTTCTGCAACTTTGGAATTGACATGAGATAGATCAAAAATCATACTACTCCATTTGAGAATCCGGGTTTGAGTGGATGAAATAGGAAATCAGGAACGGAATTGTGATAAGAACATTGAACCAATACACGTCTAGACAGAATTGTCCGTTTTGGACACTGTTTTTTGGTTTCAACTTTGTTTTTCTAGATTTTCGGACAGAAAACGACCATAATAATCTCATTTTCACTGAAAACTTCAAAAACTTAACAAAACTCATAAATTGTTTTCAGTGGGGAGCTCGTCAAATCAAAACAACGGAAAAAATCAAACGAAAAGAGAGTACAATTTATGCGCAACCTTCTTCATTTTTCATCGGAGATCATATAAGTACTGATAGTGTTGAATCAGATTGCGAAAATGTTGAATCCGACGCCGATTCTGGAGAAGATCTGCCAAGCGTTGAATTCGATCTCAATGATGAAAGTTTTATGAAACGCAAATTTGGTTCGACGACAAGTGAGTTTTCTTGGAACCTAGATTTGATTATGATATGAAACATATCTATTATATATGCACGCGCTTTTGCATGTCTCTATGATTTTCTAGGTTTGGCATCGATTGGTTCAGTATGCAGTATTCGAAGTCGGAAAATGTCGGAATCGAGCACATGTACGTTGTGATTGTCTTTTCATTTGATTTTGTTCAAATATTCTAGCTTCTGGGATGAGTTTTCCCTAGAACTCAACATAATAAATATTTTTCAGTGGGAATCATCAAACGCGAAACACAAATTCACCTTGACGATGATTTGGATGATGAAATCCCCGATGAAGTATTCGTGAAATCTCGAGGCTGGGCTGCAATTCGTGATTCTGTTGACTTTGTCAAAGCTGGACTTGAAGCAATTATTGAAGATGAAGTTACGAGTAGATTTGAAGCAGAACAATTGATGTCATGGAATATGTTGACAAGAACAAGTATTCAATTTTATCAATTTGTTAATTGGAAGTTGAGCGCATTGTGGATTATTGGATTTATTTTCCGATATTGTATCATGTTACCACTTCGATTCACAATTTTCATCATTGGATTGGTATTTTTAGTCAGTTCTACAGCTCTCATCGGACTTGTTCCAAGTGGATCATTGAAAAAGTAAGATTTTAAAATGTGAACACATGTTTCTATGAGATAATTGTTTTTTTAGGAAACTCAACTATAGTTGTATGCTTATCTGCTACAGAATTTTATCTCGAAGTCTGACAGCTGTTGTATATTTCCACGATGAACAATACAAGGCAACATCAAAAGGAATCTGTGTGGCTAACCATACTTCACCAATTGACGCTCTTATTCTATCTGTGGATAATGTTTATGCTTTGATTGGACAAAAACATCAAGGATTGCTTGGTGTTATTCAGCGAGCATTGTCACGAGCATCAAGTCATATTTGGTTTGAGAGAAGTGAGGCGAAAGATCGATTGGTTGTTGCTCAAAAGTGGGTTGATTTTAAAATTCATCGGGAAATTATATATTACAAATTATGAATTTTTAGGCTCAAGGAACATTGCACTGACCCTGACAAACTGCCGATTCTGATTTTCCCAGAGGGAACTTGCATCAACAACACATCAGTTATGATGTTCAAAAAAGGTTCATTCGAAATTGGCGCCACAATCTATCCAATCGCTATGAAATATGATTCCCGATTCGGAGATGCATTTTGGAATAGTTCAGAGCAATCTTGGTTTGGTTATATAATGCGAATGATGACGTCATGGGCTATCATCTGCAATGTTTGGTATCTTCCACCAATGACTCGTGAACCAAATGAGGATGCTGTTGATTTCGCGAATCGAGTAAAGAAAACAATTGCGAATAAAGGTGGATTAGTTGATTTGGAATGGGATGGTGGATTGAAACGAGCAAAAGTTCCACCAAAAATGATTGCAAAACAACAAGAGAGATATGCCAACCGATTGAATCGCTATACTTCGTTGTCGGATAATTTGAGACAAGATGAAGATGGGGATGAAGTTATTGATGATAAACCTGTTTCCGGTTATAACTCATTGGAAGATTTACCAGAGGATGTTTGTATTGACGAGGAGGATGAAGATGACACATTCCAAGATGGTGAGTTGACCTGAATTATAAAATTAGAATTTTAAAAAAATTATTCATTTTTTCAGATACACCAATCGATGAGACCATCCGAAAACTTTCAGTCAACGAAGATGTTCGTAATCCAATTACAGCTGCTTCAAGTTCAGCCTAGATTATCTCCAAGTTTTCTCCCCAAAACCATTTAATCTTTCTTCATAACTACCCTTTTTCATGAAATACGGTGTTTTTCTCATTCTCGGTCTTGCCTTTTTTTGCACTTTTTTCATTCTCTCAGGTAGAGTTATTTTTTTTTTCCTTCAATATTTTATTCAGTTGTCATGTGCCTTATAAATTGAAATATAGTCATAGTGTTTTTTGTATATAAGGCATTTCTCAAATAGGGTTTTTTGAGTAGTTTTTATTGTCTGACCGGAATCTTCCTTTTTGTCTTTAACGGGTCGATATTTTCCTAACGCGTCACTATTTTTCCAATACGATTATTCGAAGTATTTTGCTGTTTATGATTCTATATTTTGTGCATCTGTAAAATGAATTTTTTCTTTTTTATAATTAGATATATATTCAATTTGTTGTTTTTTTCAGATGAAACTTCAGAAAGATTGTTTCATTTACTTCAAAATTCTGATAGTTATAATTTTTTATTTATGTGTGATGAGAATTTGAAAATTTCAAGTAGATTAAAAAATCGAGTTTGCAGGGGAAAAAATTCGAACTTTTCAAGTTGACAATGAGCTGGAAACCACTTTTGTGATTTTTTCAGATGATCTTTTAATCAAAATGTTTTTCAAGATCTAAACAAGTAGAAATCAAGGAATCAGGTTAAAAAAACCTTATGAATCACGAACAGAAACCGAGTTTGGTTAAGTTACCTTCTTTAAAAAAATCTTGGTCATCACATTTATCCACTTCCCACAATGAAATTTCCAAGATATATTATCAAAAATCATATTGAAGTCTATTTTTAGATGTCATAAACCCAAGACCCGCGGATCAAATTAGTGTCGATCACGCGGGATTTCAATACCATCCTATATCGCTTCACATTCCTCTGTAAACATTGTGGAATAGCGTGTTTGAAACAGAAATATCTTTATAATCTGGAAATAAGTTCTTATTGAAAAAATCACACTGATCTATAACATCATTTCCATATAATCTAAATTTTAATCATCCCGATCAACATCCACAGATATTTGTTATTGAAGAATGCCCATACTTGAATCATATGACATCACAATATTTCACATCGTAAAAGTTCCAATTAATTCTCAAAATGTTCCTAGAAAAAGTCTATTTTCCAAGTATTACAGTCGTTTTTTTCTTCGTGTCCACAATCAAATCATTTTTACCAATTTAAAACCCGCCCAACTTGGCCTTCTGCTTCCTTCTTCTCCTTCTTCTTTTCATTGTTTTGTGTTCATCCTTTTTCTTCTTCTCTGATCTTTTTTTTGACATCAACGCAGTATTTCTGTGTTTCACACACATACACACAATGATAATATCAATAACACAAATGTACAGGTATACCAATTATTCAAATAAAAATAATAATCATAAATTACTACTTCTATTATTCTATTTTTCTTGCATTTTTCAATATGTTCAATCATCGCAGCCATTTTACAAAACTATTTTATATGGTGAAAAATTGAAGGGTTTTCTAACGGTGAGTGTTTTTGGGGGGCAAGAGCGAGGCAAGAAGATCTATCATGTAGGTGATTATCAGTTTTTCTCTATCTGATATGTTTTTTCGTCTTTTTTTCTCGTTGAAATGAGACGAAATTAAGTGTCTGATAACCTTGACTGACTCATTGTTTTTAAGATTTTTTTCTGAAGAAAAATGAATGAATGAAGTAAGTACGGAAAGATCAACTATTCTTTTAGATGAAATTCAAATAAATAATTTGGAATTAGATTTAGAAAGCACCGATGGATGTTCTCTCGAAATCCCTCTTTAAGTTGAACAAACTTTTAATTCAAAAATTATTCAAACAAATCAATTTTCATTTCAAATTCAGACTCCACCTTCGCATCTTCAAAAAAAAATTTCAACAAAATTTTGCAGATCTCACCCGCCGATAATAATGGTGATCAATATATAGTCAGTTTCGATATACGGGAAAAACCAGAAAATTGCACATTAATCTGGGCTGTTCATATGTCATCAGCCCCCTATGATATGGCTGTTATGACAGATAATTGTAGACGGGTCAAAAAATCGCCGCCAGTTGTCAAAAATATGCCAGTCATTGATTCGACAATCAGTGGAGATGGCTTGGCCGGAAACACGTTAGTTATTTCCGGTGATAATAGTGAGGTTTGTTGATCCTTGAACATTTGATAAGATAATAAATCAATTTATTAAGGTTCTTGCATGTGCGACTGTTATTATTCCTGGAGTTGAATTAAAACATGCATCGTTCCATAAAGAACCTTTTGAAGGACATATTCATATTATTCCAATTAAAAATAATGCTGTAAGATTGGTGCCGGATTTGAAATATATGAAAAAGTTTGATTATATTGAACCGGAAAAGAAAATTATGACTTGGGCATTTGTTGACAACTGTCAAGAAGATGCAAAACAATATACTGATTATGGAGAAGTTGGGATGGATTCAAGAGCTACTTTTACTTTTGATCTACCACAAGACGCAAATTTCACTTTGAAATATATTGCTTTATATCGAGAAGATAAAATGTATACTTGTGCTAAAATTAGTAATGTTGAACCAAGAATTTTAAAATCTTTGGGAGTTACTCTTCGACAAAACCATTATTTTGAACCGGTGAGCGGAATCAATAAATGTCCTGAAGAATTGCATATTCGAGATGATTGTTTGGATATTTCAACAGAAACTGTTCATAAAACATATCATTCATATTATCCGTCAGTAAATATTTTTGGAATGGAAACAATTATGTTGAAATCATTAGTGTTTAATGGAGAATGTAAAGCTTTGAGGCCACAGTTTGCACAATCTTCCGCAATTGCAACATTTATCCATCCGATGGTTGGAAGGTAAGTTGTTTTCATAGTTTTGGAACCTGAAAAATTATGTAAAAGTGTTTCTCATTCAGAATTTCGTTAGTTGATACTGATGACAAGATTCTTCTCACTGGAGAACTCCGGAATATTTTTGAAGATATGTCAACTCGAGCAACTATCCTTGTAAGTTTATTGATTTTTTTCAAAATGAAAAAAAAATCGACTCGAATTCCAGATAACAAATCAAACATTGAATGCTTCCACCTGTTCAGTCGACTTCAAAAACAGTAAAAGTTTTGAAAATGCAGCAATAATTGTTGGAAAAAATGAGCCAACTGTGACAATGGGTGGATCTTTTGAGTGGTTCAATATTTCTGAAATGCAAGCTGCAGTTGTAGATTTAGATTATATGAGAGTTTGCGAAAATCTGACGATTCTGCCAACTGGAGCTTTATCAATTCATGCACTTATAAAACGACATATCAATAAGGAATCTCAAATTATGGCATCTGTTGTAGCATTGGAATATCCAGCTAATAATTATACAGAGGTAAGACTGTCCCAGGAAATTGTGAACGTTCTCAATCTGAATATGTTTTCAGATACTCATCCATAAAAAACACACATTCTCAAATGTTTCTGCTCACTTCCGCCCAGTTGATCGAAGTATTACAAACGGCGATGCTTGCTCTGTTGAGAATCTTGGAGCAATTCAAAATGTTCATTGGATTCGAGAAGTTCGAGATAAACTTATTAATTCCGACAATGATTCAAGCATTATTTTTGATGAGAAATTTGTAACTGGAGATACAAGTATGCTTGGAACATCACTAATGTTAAAAGATAATGAAAATAAAGTGTATTGTGGACATTTTGAACCGATCAGTGAGCGGATATTGGCAATTGCAGAGTTAGAAAAACCATTTGAAGGCTACATAAAATTGGTATTTTTTTTATTTATTTGATTTTTTTTCGGAAAAAAAATTCTAAATCACGTTTAGACTCAATATGAAACTTCAAATTGGGAAACTGGATATCCTACCAGTGTTTATTACTCTATTCACAATTCCAATTCCACGAAAAAAGAAACAGTGATCTGGGAAATTGTCGATACTGGCAATTCAACATGTGCTGATGCAACTTTGTTCAATCCCTTGCAAGCTCAAGAATCTGAATGCTCTCGAGATCGATTTGAACTCTGTCCAATTGGAAGTGCGTCGAATAGATCGAAGGATTTGCTGATGAATTCAAGAAGACATCTGACCGCGCAAAATTTGCCGTTGTCAGGACCAAATAAAGGTTAGTGTTTTTCTCAATAAACTTTCCTGTTTGAAACTAAAAATATTTCAGTGACTAAAAACATGATTCGTTTACGATCTTCCAATGACAGCTCCAAAATTGGGTGCTATCCATTGAATTCTGTGTCAAAGGTATGATCAATTTTTCTGTTACTTTTTCGAAATTTCGATAATTTACAGGCTAGCTTCCAATGGATCGCACCAAGTCAATTGGGACTTTCTGGAGTACAAGCTGAATTTTCAGCGAAAACCAATGTTTCGCTTTTCAAGGTGAGGAGATTAGAATTCCTCCATCATTCAGCCATGATTTTACTTTAGATTGAAATTGATACAACTCGTGAAAAATATCTGAAAAGTTGCACCATTTATCGATTAACAATTTTGGAGCAAGATGACAAGCTTGAGAAAATCTTGAATTTATTTGACGTAGAAGCAAAAAAATTCAAAAACGATACAAGTTTTAATTGTGAGAAGGGAGAAGTTAGGACAACTAGACTTCAAACAACTACAGTAGTTCCGACTACAACGCAGAAAATCAACACAACTACAACTAAAGCTATAATAACATCAAGTTCAAGGCTATTTTTTCAGTGGTTTTTGATATTTGCAGTTGTTATTTTATCAATTTTTGGATGTTGATTGTGTTTTTTCGAAAACAAAAATGACAAAAGTTACTAAATCTTACGTTACGTGTATTCTGAACCATGAAAATTGCATTTTTAGTGTAAATAAATAAATGTTTTTGTATCCAAATTTGTTATAGCCAAGATGCGATTATTTTATTGCATTTCCGTTGATGATGAACCAAGTTGTCTCACTCACTAAAATATTATTTATGTAAAAGATGGCGGATAGATTAGTCGAAGATTCCGTGGAATTTCTGAGTGGAATACATCACAAAAATGTATATGTTTATTATATATTTATTTTCAATATATATATTTATACATGTGAAAAAAAATATTTTCTTTCTATTTTCTTCTTCTTCTCCTTTGCGCTCGAAATTTTGTCGCGCATGAAAAAATGAGAAGGACCTTCTTCCACCTCCAAACAAGAAATAAATAAAACCAAATGACCGACAATTTCCTGTCTAAACGTTTCTTTTTCTATCTTTGTGTGAGTGAGCAGACTAGGTTCTTTTTTCTTGTTCACATCATTATAAGGTATTCATAACATAGTATTATTTTTATTTGTTCAATGCAATCAGTTCTGAGAAGTTGTTGTTTTTTGCTTCATAGTCAACAAATTTCTTATTCACTATCTCATTTGTAAGAAGTTTTTTGGGTGAATCATAGATCACACTTTCAGACGCCATTTTGAAAAGAGAATCTGGACTTCCAGAAAGTAATTGTGAATAAGTAAATTGAAACTCGACTACTTTTTTGTAAAAAAAATTGATATTCAAGTGCCCACATTCTTTGAGTTCCACCCGAATTTTCTTCTTCTAAAAAACCCACATTCTAATTTTTAATCAACCATTGTTTGATCTCATAAACAACCTCCTCACACTAATTCCAAAAATTTACCTAATTATTTTTGAAAAGGTCGTTTTCTCTCTAATCATGTTTACCTTTTCTCGTTTCCGTTTTCTGTCCAGCTTACTCGACTAATTAGACATATAGAACCCGAATAAATAAAAATAAAATAATAATAATAATAATAATAATAATAATAATAATAATAATAATAATAATAATAATAACATCAAATTTCCATGGTGACTATGTAATCAACTTCACCTGCATTTTGTCATTTGTCTACTATACTTATGATTCATCTTCGAGCTTTAACTGCATTTTTGGTTAATTTGTTTTTTTTTTGAAAAAAAGGAAAATCCCTCATATGTTCCCTTCGAAACAAATCCATATTTTATTTTAAATGAATAAATAAATCCTTATAAATTTGCAGGTGTCAAAAAGTGTTGGTGTGGTGGGTCCATTATAAAAGTCCAGAATCAATCCTAGTTGCGGGTTGGTTACTTAGCGACGCCGCGCGAGCTTTTCTCGTTTTGTGTTCCCTTTTTTTTCGTAGTGGACACCAACGCTCTATTGACCATTCGCTCAAATTTTCTACTTTTTTTTCTACTTTAGAATAAAAAAGTATATATTTTTTGAGATTTGGATTTGGGACTATGCGCCCGTTATGGCAGTTTTTGCTTTTCTACACGTTCATTCGAAATGTTTCTGGAGATGATTGCTCAGGTTAGTTTATTTGAAGAATGTTCGTGCATGTGTTTGTGAAGATTTTAACAAATTTCAAGAATTTTCAATTAGTTTTAAAATAATATTTCCGTTTTAATTTGGATTAAAATTCCTGATTTAGGAGTACATTTCTGCAACAAAAAAATATTTGAAGAACCATAGCTACATATGTTTTCAATACAGAAAGATTAACACCAATTTTCAATGTTCAAAGTACATCTAAAATTAGCAGTAGCTAGGCTAACACAAATACCTACTATATAACTTTGCCTAACTCATAATTATCATTACTCTATGATTAAATATTATTTTTATATTTTGCCAGGGACAATCGAGATTCAAGCAAGCGAAACACCAAAATATATATCAACTCCAAATTATTCGAATTTGTTATTGGACAATTCAACGTATCCGCCTTTTTTAGATTGCAGATTTGTTATCAAAGCACCTGATAAAAATCGAATTTTGATAGAAGTTATAAATCTTGAAATGGAAACCAAGTTATTTTCATCGTGTGTTGATTATGTTGCAATTTATGAAGGTAACGTGAAACGTGAAAAGTGCGAAAAAGAAGTGTTATTTCATAATAGCTGTTAGACATGCCACCCAACCACGCAAATGTCAAATATCACATAAATATTTCAGATCTTCCTGATAATAATAATAATACCGAAAGTTTGGTTGCTCAATTCTGTGAACAGGTCAAAAATCGACAAGTGATTTCGAATTTGAATCGGGTTGTGATTGAATTCAAGTCAGATGATTTATATCAATATGGTGGAGCTAATATTAGTGTTCGAAGTATTGGTAAGGTTTTTGAATTTGGGTGTGCGAGAGATTGAGAAAATCTAAAAAAAAAGGCTCATTTTGAATTTCGTTTTTCAGAAAAAAAAAACCAGTACACAAAATTTGAAAAAAAACTTTGAGCCAAAAATTATACTAATTTTTGTCATGCTGAAGCCCAATTTTCTAGATATAACGATTTTATTTTTTCCTGAACTCACTTTCAATTTTTTCCAGATTACAAAGACTGCCCAACTGGATGGCTCAATTACAGAAATGAAACATGCATCAAACTATCAGATCCTAATGATAAAGTGGATTGGATAACTGCACAAAACCGATGTCTACAACAAAAATCGAATCTTCTCATGTTGGAAACTAGTGAACTTTATTCATTTGTATACAGTTAGTTTTTTTTTCTTTTTCGAATAATCCCAACAAAAACCCATGTTTTTCTAGATCACTTTAACTATGTGCTCACAAATATCTGGATAGGTTATCATGATGGAAAAACAGAGACAAGAATTGATAAAATTGACGGAGCTCCCGGAGAGCCTAATGGATCGTGAGTTGTCTTCTGAACGTCAAAATGTAATTTTAAATTTAAAAAAAAAACTTATTCAGAATGTTGGACTCATTCCAATTAAGTGATAACAATGATGAGAATGATTGTATGGCTCTCGATTTTGGCAATAATATACATTATAAAATGGATAAATGTTCAAATAATCATATGTATATTTGTCATATGGAGAGAGGTATGGTACACTCTGAAATTTTTGAATCATTCCATATCATTTTTTCAGATTGGAACACTACACTGTACCCTGTTCCTGAAAATGATTTACGTGAGGGGTTGTACTCGAAAGCATCACAATATTCATTATGGATTTTATTATTTGTTATAGGCTTATTATTTTTGACAATCTTGGCGTTTTTGTGTTTCTGTAAGTTTTTAAATTTGAAGATATTTAAAGTCTACTCATAATTTTCAGTGTGTTGGAAGCAAAAAGATTCAAATCGTATTCATGATGAATCAGCGACAATTCAGCAAAACGCATTTATGAATGATTCAAATCAAACATCATCTCAACCTCCAGCAGCACAACAAGCACAAACCAGAATCTCACCATCTCCAGTTTCTCCACAACAAATTCAACAACCAGCTCAAGGATCAATGCCGAATAGTTCAAGAGTAATTGAAAAAGTTCCAATGATTAGATCTGCTGATAAGAACAAGAAACAGTTCCCGGTAGCAGTTGGGCCAAGAAGAGTTCCAATGTCTGAAGAACCATCTGGCGAAACTGCTGGAATTGAAGGTGAAACGAATATAATGCAGAGTCGGGCAGTTGGAAATGATTCAGAAGAGCATTTGGTGCCCGCGACGAAACCGAGAACACTTCCACCTATGATGCCACCAAGAGAAGGAACATTCCAGAGTATTATTACAAGGTTAGGATTTTCTAGAATTCTATAATTGTTTTGAAAAGGTGGCAACTTGAAAATTGAAGTTTTTTATTTCAAGTTTCTTTGAAAAATATAAATAATTTTTCTCACATTCAGATTTTTCCATGAAGCTTATTTTTCAATAGAAATTTCGAAAAATAACACTTATCCAAATTTTTCATCATCGTTCAATTCAATATTTCCAGAGATGGCAGTACAATTCAAACTCGTCGAAATCGAGAACGCTTCGATCGTCCAGTCATGCACGTTCTGGACAATGTTTCAGCAATATCACTTGACGAATTCTGGAGCAACAAAAAACCATAGTTGATAATTAATAACGCCTAGGGTCATCATTTTTCTGCCAATTAAACGGGTCTCCGAACTACGTATTTCTTCGGTTTCTTTATTCGTATTCGAATTCGCCAATCATACATATTTACTGCATTTTTATAACAATTCCTAATGTCTTTCTTTTAGGAAATGTTACCTTCATTTTTAAATTTTTTTTTAAAATTATTTTCTTATTTTTAAACAAATTTATTAGAACCGTAAATAAATATATTGAGAATGTATCACATTATCATACAATCAGATCAAATGCATCATTTTTGGCAAAATTGTCATACATGAGAGGAGGAAGAGTTCGAGGAAGAATAACATAATTGAAAAACGAGCGATTTCTTCGAAGACCCAAAAAATTCTTCCAATTCATCCAGAATCCTTTGTTGAGTCGGTTACGATATCCAGGTTTTCGCTTCAAATCGGAATGTCTCAAATAATCGATATATGTAAAACCGATTGATATGAGGTACACATTCCAAAGTGTCAATCCGCCAACCATCAAAAATAACACAGCGCTGAGCAAATAGCAGAAAACTATCGATGTTCTAGCAAGTTCTGGAAAATAGTTTTGTTTAGTTTTAAATTTATTTGTAATTATTACCATTATAATCGCAAATATAATTCTGAAGTGGAGCATAGTGTAAAATTGATGTACAGAAAGTGTGTTCAGAGGTTTCCTAAAAAATATTTGTTTAGGAATTTTCAAGTGTACACGAAAAACTTACCATAAATATATGATCATAAACAGAAGGGTAACCTGCCAAAATAATAGTTCCTGCAGCGAAGGTGAGATTTGCGATGAAAAGAAAGAAATGACGATGATTATGACTTCCGACACATTGATTGATCCAAATACAATGATGATCCATACCCAAAATACATCTGAAAATTGATAAAAATTAATTAGATATGATTCTAAGTCTCCCCACTCTCGCTGGCAAACGTGAAATTCTATGTGTTCCAATAATTTGACCCCTGGTAAAAATCTTACGTTTCACAAACTGAGCAATGATGTGTTCTTTGACTTTTCCAATAATTACACTTCTCACAAAATGAATCGCCTTCTTGCTAAAAAAGGATAATCTATCTCAATTATTTTCCAATTATCTTACTTACCCCTGGATTCGCTACAGGTTTTGTAGTTCTCGCTTTGTAATAATGAAATTGAATATTGATAAGAAAATAGAACCCAAAAATGCTCAGAACGACTAGAAGATATGGAGATTTATATCTGGAATAATATAAATTCAATGTTTGGGATTTTTTTTTGTAAAATTTGAAGACTTACAATTGTTCGTATGGCAAGATGATGAAAAATGAGGTAGCGGCAAGAAAAAATGAAATTGCGTAGACAAAGTAGACAAGAAGCTGGAAGAAAATTAATTAGTTTTTGATGTGGGGTAATTGGGAAGAGGCTATTTGATGATGTAATTAAACATCAGAAGTGCAGGAAATTAATACCCTTTGGGTTTTTTTCTAAAAATAATTTGAAAATCTGAATACCGTCCTTTTAAATTTGAAATAAATTTTTTTTAATCTCATTTTTTCACTATTCTAAAAATAATCTAATGTAAGTTTTAATGTGGACTAGAAAAGCACAATCTAGGTTCTTAAAAAAAAGATTTTCCAAGATCCCTGAAAAACAAAAAAAAATGATTCTAAACAGAGCAACTTTGCTGTTCAGAGATTAAAAAAAAGATTTTCCAAGATCCCTGAAAAACAAAAAAAAATGATTCTAAACAGAGCAACTTTGCTGTTCAGAGATTTGGAAGATTGCCAAAAATATATTTTGTGCATTTTTACGTCGATCACAGTGTTTACGGTTTAAGAGGACAATTTTTATGGGATGATTCACAGAGTGAAAAAAATTAATGTTTTTTTTTTCAGTAAAAAAACATTTAAAGGCGCATTCGATTATTTCAGAATGTGGATTTCGCTACGAAAAGTTTTTTTTATTTCGTGAATCATCCCATTATTTTTTCGTCTTATCAGAAAACAAAATTTTATTTCATATCCCGATTTTTATTCCCTCTCTCTCTGAATTTCTTTATTTTTATTTTTTTCTTTGATAATTTTCTCTATAATTAAAAATTCACTAACCCTTCCAATTTGTCTCATACATGAATGCGCACCATTGACAACCGGTAAAAAAGTTCCATCATCAATTTTTGTATCGATCCAATCACAACAGTTATCAATACTATCTTCAAATAAGAAGTTCAAATAAAATAACTTTTTTTTCAAAAATATTGTGACTCACTTCTACACATTTTTTTTCACTTTCACTTTCGAAACATAATAATAATATTAGAATTAAGAATAACAGGTTTCAAAAAAGTTTCAAAAAATAGATTGAAATAGTATAACTATCATGAAAAAGAACACTTACACTCGTAAAAAAAAAAGTCGGAGCGCAAAAGAGAGAATAAATAACAAGAGAGACGAGAGATTACACTGACCACAAGAAATGCTATGCAAATCGCGAGAGACGCAGAGAAAATAGATGGTCAACAAGAATGTTGGGAAATTTGAGACGCAGACGTTCGGTTATATGTTGGGTCGGCCGCTCTATTTGTGGTGATGCTGGTGGAAGAAAAATCGAATCCGTTCTTTTTTCCACACAAAACAACAAAACTCATTCATTTTTTTTGCTTTCTTGATTATTTTTACACGTTTTCCCCGCATTTCTCACATTTTCTCTAATAATTTTCTCAAGGAAAAATTGATTTTTCTTTGCAGCTAAACAATGTCTGTCGCTTGGAATGTTCAAAATGGAGAGCTTGAAGTGGTCAAAGAATTGGTGAATGCTGACAATTTGAACGAGGTCTACAACGGAAGAACTGCCATTCAAATCGCTTCGGATTATGGGCATGTTAACATTGTCGAATTTTTGATTGGAATGGGAGCCAACATCAATGTGAGTTATTTTTTGGGAAGTTTTTATAAATGAAACCAAGAAAATCGGCTCAGGTCCAATTTTTTTAAAAGAAAATTTCTGAATTCGACCCTAAACCTCGGATCATTTGTTGCAAATGTCGATTTTTCGGTGCCCAAATCGGAATATTCTTTAAAAAAATAGTTCCAGTTTCTCAAAATTCGCCAGGGCGTGTTTTTGTTTTCAAAATAGCAACATAAACAACGAATCGCCTGTCCAACATACAAAAATATCAAATTTCAAGTGTTTTCATGAACTTTGTTCTCGCCTCCTCTATGTATTTTCAATGTCATATTTATTCCTTTACTGAAAAAAAACATGAATTGTGCCCTGAAAACGACACTTGTAAAAAATGAGAACCCTAGAATTAATTTTGTTGGATGGATGCGTGCGGAAATGAGTGCGCTGGATAAAATATGTAAAATAATTTTGGCTCGGTGGAATAGGAATGGAATGAATCTGAAAGGTCCTTTGAGTCCAGAATTACACTGGGAATTTTTGCATCAAAATATCTTATGATTAAATCAATTGAAATCAGCTCCCCACATCTGAAAACAAAAAATTTCAGGATGTCGATAGATATGGAATCACTCCACTTCTCTCTGCTGTTTGGGAAGGACACGTCGCTGTTGTCAAGCTTCTTCTTGCTCATGTTAGTTTTTTCTGGGGTAGATCAAAAACATTTCCTAGTAGATCAAATATATTTTGCTCTCAATAACCTGAAATTAGTCGATTTCAGTCCGATCCTTAAAATTCAGGCATAAAATTTTAAACAATCATTATGTTTTAGGGAGCAAATCGCAACGTCAAAGCTCCAGATGGAACTCCACTTGCTGAATGCACCGAAGAGCAAGAAATCAAAGATCTTTTGGCTAGTCCATAAGTCTTCTTCTCCTTCACTTTTATAATCACCTTAATTATCATATTTATGGCATTATACTTATTCTTATTGATCTTTCTATCCTATCCTGTCTGTCTGCAGCTTTACCTTACTTACATTTCGCTTTCACTTGTGATACAAACCCTTTTCTTGTCCCTTGCTTCTTCTTGCTTTTGTGATTTGATTTGATTTTAATTTATTCTATCCTCTCGGTGGCTTTTTCCTATGAACTACTTACATTTATATTTAATAATGAAATAATGAATGGTGTTTGATTGACATTTCTCCGATTTTTTCACTGATAAACAAAAAGTTTGTGACTTTTTCTCATATCTAAAACAAAAATCATTTCTTACATCAGTTTTCTTGGAAAATATGAGGGTTTCAGCGAATCCGAAAAGATATATGCTGAATTATGATTATGCTGAAAATCAACATTTGCTATATTGGCCAGAATCGGTGAGACTTAAGGTAAGTTCATTAAAAAATTGAATCTTCAGAGAAAGGAATTCTTTAGGTCGCAAAAAATGAGCACAAGAAGATCATGCAATATACGATGCCTGGAGTGAAAGATGAATTTATGAGAAGTCCGATTGATTTGAGATTTCAAGAAACTTTCAATAAGTTTTTTGGGCAAAACGATTTTGAGATGAATCAAAAGGGACTGGTCTGGTTTATCGTAAGTAATTTTCATCTGAATTTTCAGAAGGAACTCTTGTAAAATATTTTTTTATTTAGAAAAAGGGGATGCTCGAAGCTACATTGAATGGCACCACCGATATGTTGACTTGGCTTGGACAGGGAAAAGATAAAGCTGGAAGACCCTCAGAGCTAACACAAGTAACAATGGAATTATGGACTCTTCGATTCGAACTTCTGATAAATCTCCGAATGCATGCACAACTTCTCGCGGAACTCGCAGCTTTTGAAGAAATGGATGCTCCCGATCTTTTTTATCAATATTCATCTACTGAGAAAACTGGGTCGTTGGTGCCTTTTAATCTACGACTCATTCACGCAGAAAGCCTCAGATTTTCACCGTTCCCATGGAAATCCTTGATTCGGATAGAGCAGTTATGGACAACTGTTGAAACGGTAAATTTTTCAAATGTTATGCAAAAATTCATTTTGAAACTCAGATAGTTGCACACTTCCGCTCCAAAAACGCTCCAGAAAAGCACATATCTGATTGGGAAAAAAGACTGGATACTGTGAAATGTTTGTATGTTCGTGTTTTATATGAACTTGGAGAATATAAACAAGCAATGTCATTCATGGAAAATATCAGAATTGGTATGAAAAGTGTGGAAGAGCAAGTGATAGTTAGTAGAGCAATGATGAGAATGGCTATGCAAGCTGGAGATGAGAAATCGATGAATATTTATGCTGAAAAAGCAAATCAATATAATTCAACTGCAAATGAGATGGTTTTGCACAAGTGAGTTTTTGCTTGAAAACTGCTATTTTTGCTAATTATTCAAAAAAATGTTTGCAGAGCTCTTCGAAGTATTTTCCTCGGTGCATATTCTCACGCGCAAGATTATGCCAGTCGATTGCAATCGGCAAATTATTCAACACCACAATCGATAAATACACGAGCTATTGTTCAATTATATACTGGAAATGCAGTTAGCTCGGTTGAAACAATTAGTCAAATCAAACCATTGTTGGCTGGACCAACAACAACAAATTTGAAAACATTGGCAGAATTATGTTATTCTACGGCTGCTAAAGATGAACTTTTGATAAGATGAGATAATTTCTAGTTAATAATTTTATTACATGGTTGTGCATATTTTTTTTGAGATTGACATAATAAAATGGTATTTATTCAAATGATTTATTGTTTTTTTTTAATTGTATAAAGAATGTTTTGACATCACTAATAACAGACTTGATATTGATTTTTCAATTTGTAAATCTAGAAAATTTTCCAGTTTTTCAAATTTCTTTTTTCGAGCCAAAATTCATGATTTCAGTTGGTTGTTTTCAGTTCTTTATTCCAATTATTTATTGTGTAGGTTTACACTGAACAATACGCAACGTGATTATGCGGAGTGTTGTACTTGTTTTTTCAAATTTTTTATCCGTGTAATGTTCCTAGAACACTGAACATCGAGTATAGATATAAAAGATCTCATTATATTTTCTTAATTCTTTGTGATTAATTAGGGTGTCTTGAAAATAACCAACAAAAAAGACTATCAAAGGAGAACATAAAAATTACCCTATTGTAGATTTACACTAAAGAACAGGCAGTGCGACAATTGGAATGTTGTTTGTTGTTTTTTCTCATTTTAGAACTTGAAAAGAGGATTTTCAGAAGTTGAGGGGAATTGAAAAATCAACCAAAGTTATCACAAAATAAGATTATATATTATAACCCGTCAGAATTAACATCTTGATATGAGAAATTCAAACATTCAAAAAAATTATATGAATTGTTCTGAATTTACTTCAATTCCACAAAACCCATTCTTGAATTTTTAAAACCCAAAAACTCCCGCTTATAATTTATATTCAAAAGTGACCTGATTCAATATAGATAACAGATATGCAAAACAACTCACAGGGACGAACATTTCGAGAGAACAGTTTTCTATAAGAGAGTATATAGGCTGTTAGACACAAATGGCAGGGACTATTATACAATGATCATTTTTTGTGTCAATCTGATGATCTTTTGATTTTGAAGTTTGGGAAGAATTTTGATTTGGTTAAAAATATTGCTTTGAACATTTCCACAATATTAAAAACTTGTATATTGACAAAATGTCATATCCAGTTACCAATAATACGCTTCATTTTTTTTCCATATTTTCAAAGATATTTTGATCATCTAGTTAGTTTTTAGTTTTACTCGTATAACCCCGAAAATGTTTTCGTATTTTATTTCGCACTCGAGCATTCATTCCATATTTTCATTTGTTTTCTTGGTCGAAAATAATCCCTATTTTCTATCATGTCATTTGATTAAATCGTGTCCCATAGTAACCAAAAATGTCATATCTCCTAGCAATCTCCTCTAGATGCTATGCAATTATGAGATTATTTTTCAATATATACACCTCATATATGCACAAACAGACATATAAGTCTTAAAGCTTACAGAGACAAAAATAAAGTATTGAATAATAAGAGAGTGCAGGAAATACGAGAGAATGAACTAGAACAAATGGAAATGATTTTATAATCCTAATCTTCAAGCAAAATGAAATGAGTTTTGATAAATTTAGTTATATTTTGTATTTCCTGTTGACATTTGCTCTTCAGGCTCATTTAACTTTAGAATTTGTTTAATAAAAATGCTTCCATCTGTTTTTAATTTTTTTCACCCAAGCTTCAAAAAAAGCTTCGAATGTTCCAAAGGTTTTGCAATAATTCAAGATTTTTTCTACAAATTCTATTCTGTATTTCAATTTTCCAAGATTTCCCAAAAATTTGATCTTCTCATAACAAATGTTCCCAAAGATCAATTGACCTAACACTTTCCCCTTTTCCATTCACATGGTAACCAAAAAAGAAACGCCAAACAACCTGACCCTTTCTTGCACCTTCCCTTTTCCCAACCAAGCCACGCCATCTGCTTGTTATGGGCGGGATTCAATGCTCATCTTATTATTTTTTATCATTCTTACAAATTTTTAAATATATTTTTGTTGCTCTTTAATTTTTATTTTCTTAATTCAACATTTATGTATTTCAGCACAGGCAGCAAATAAAACAAAAATGCGTGTTCCACGACAAAGAACTCAAGAAGATATGATTCATGATATGCTTATTATGACAATTGAGCAAACTTATGACGAAGAGGATATGATCAAAGTTTCGGCTCTTCAACTTCTTCAAAAACTTCTTGTCAAAACACGTAATTTTTCAATTATTATGCCAAGATTGGTCGAAATGATTTCAACGGAACAAAAAGATATTGGTGTAAGAGAAACTATTGTGACCACATTGATTGATGCGTGTAGAATGCAACACATGGATCCCGTCGACTATATCATGCCTCTAATTTGTAAAAATAATTGTGTTCCAAGTGATGCGCAAATCGCTTTTCTGCCACATTTGAAAGCTCATTGTGGAAAACCATTGGCCAAATATCTTGTTTTGAAAGCTCGAGAAATGCCAGATGGAATCGAAAAAATACAATATGTGGCGATAATTGAACAAATCTTCAGTCGGAAAAATATCAAACAGAATGACTTGATTGAAACATTCACTGAAATGTATATTGGTATTTTCCATGCTCAAATGAACAATCCATTATACGAAGACCTTCTCATTAGTTCACATTTGATTGATTATTTGTTTTTGTCTGAAAATATTTTCCACTCTGAAGCTGCAACTCATCGTTATGCAAATCGATATAACGACTTTCGCAATCTTGGGTTAAAATTGATCGTCAAAACAAATGAAGTTCGACCAACAGACAAAATATCAGAAGCGAGAATGAGATTCATTGTCAGACAGGTTAGTTACTTTTCTTTTTCGGAATTATTTCTTTAAATGAAACATTGAATTAATTAATTTTCTTACAGTTCTTATTATGCTTCGATCCACTTCAACGTTTGAGAGTCGCTGAAAAACTCTACGAGGCAGACATCTACGATGAAGACGATGTTATGCGAATCAAAAAACAAACACTGAAATATGTGGAGGACTACGAAGTTGTTCCAAAAAGTGCGATGAGCAAATTGACGATCTCAAATACAGTTACCAATTTGTAAACTTTAAATATTTTGGGTTGAAATTATGTGTTAATCTGATAAATAAAGTATTGAGCATCCAATTTTTTTGTTTGTTTTTTTAAAAGATGTTTGAGTTCAATTGAAATATCTGAAGAGCTCATGTTTTTCTTCGAGGCTTGAAGATTATTGTGTTTTATGGGATTCATTGTTGAATTTGGTACAAGAAAATTCCTCGAAGGGTAGAATTGATAGAAATCACAAAATTCTATTAAAAATATCAAGCTATTTTGTTTATAAATTGTTTTCCTTAAGAATTTTATAAAAATGTTGATTCGGTGGAAGGTGGTGAATATTCAAAGGTGTCTCAAATTGATTTTTTTTTTAATTTTAGGATTCAAAAATTTATAGAGGTTACAAGCGGCTTTTAGCTGAAAAATTGACCACTTTAGCATCAAAATGTGTTTTTTTTTTTGAGAATTTTTGTTTACTTGGAGCTATACGACGATTTCTATAAATTAAAAGCTTTTTTGCATCAAAAATTGGTGAGTTACCATAACTCCTGAAATAAACTTTTATCTCCTCTATTTTTTCTAAATGTAGGTTTTTTCTAAATGTAGTTGATTCCACAAATTTAATTCTTGGGCTCCAGTTTGTATTCATCTGTTCGAAAAATGTTTTGGTACTCTAATTTAGAAAATTAATAATATACGTATTTTCACCTGCCCTACTCCGAGATAATCCCGCCTTTGGCTAATTGCATACTCTCCACCTTCCCCCTTTTCTTTCTCTCTTTTTTCGTTCACCTTCTCATTAACCTACTACACAACGCCAAATGGGCGGAGCAAAGTGGCCCCCAACGACACCAAACAACTCATATCTTGTTACTTACCTCTCTCATTTATGATTGATTTTTTTCTTTCTTTTTTTTTGGCCCAGTTGTAAACACACTGTTTTCAGTTGATAATAATGAGCGACGTGGAAGATTTGGAAATTATCGAAGCTGGAGAAGTTTTGGAAGCTATGAAAGCTTCGGAAGCTGTGGGAGATGCGAGAACTGTGGAGAATGAAGAGGGTGCTGCGGAAACTGTGGGAGCTGTGCAAAAATTGGAGACTGTGCAAGCTGTGAATCAAGAAGATATGGAGGGTTCAGATGATTCGGATGATTCGGAAGATTCTGAAGATTCGGATATGGAGATTGCAAAAACTGTCGTAGCAAAGGAAACTGTGAAAGCTTTGGAAGTTAAGAAACCTGTACAAGATTCGGGAATTGTGAAAACTATGAAAGGTGAAGAAACTGTGGTAACTGTGGCAATTGGGCAAAAATTGGAGACATCAAAAACTGTGCAAGCTGTTAATCAAGAAGATATGGAAGATTCAGATAGTTCGGAGGACTCAGATGATTCTGAAGATTCGGACAACTCAGATGACTCAGATACATCAGATGATGAGGAAGATGTAGAAGATGAGAAACCCGGGAAGGAGAATAAAAAAACGCTCACAGGAGAATCACTCATTGATAAACTTTTTGATGGATTGAATGATGAAGATTATGAGAAAAAATATGAGGCTCAGCAACTTATCTTTATGTATGTTAAACTTTTGAATAATCATGAAGAAGTTGTACCAAAACTGGTTGATATGCTCAAAGCGAGACCGCTCACTTATAGTGAAATATATGTACTTGTTGAGTGTATCGTTGAAATTTACCAATACTTGGACATTGATCCTGTTAATTTTTTCATGGAAGAAATGTTTGACAAAACTCCAATGGTTAGCACTACAAGACATATGATTCTTCTCATTCTCACCAATTTTGGTGTTGAAGACATTCCTGACACTTTATTGGAAAGAGCAGAAGAAGAAAAAGATGGAAGAAAGACATTGATTTATTTAAAATACCTTGACGAATTCGGATTCAGTTCATATGCAGATGACGAAGAAACACAGGCTAAAGAAGAAGAAGAATTCAAGAAAGATGTTGCTAATATTTATCTTCGAGTACTGGAGACACATTTTGGAGATCCGGTTTTGATTGCACAACTTGACGAATTAAGCTTTTTTGATTTTTATACATTTGCATCAGGAGCTTATGACTACATGAAGAAAAATAGTGACAAAAAAGAAGAAGCTCATTTCTATGGATGGTTTGGTATGAAAATATTATTAATGGCTAGACGTATCTTGAATCGCAATGAACCACAAAATCTGAAAATGGAATTTCTTGCTAAAAAGGTTTGTTAATTTTCAATATTTGTTTTTATCACTAACATAAATACATATTTTGTTTCAGTATCTCAAAATAGTAGATCAATTTGAACTGATGAATGCCATTGATAAAATACGAGAGGAAAAAATTCTGACAAACAATGAAATATGGTCGGTTTGTAAAGAAATCTACGACCAGAATGCGCCAACAAATTCTATCTGTAAGACAGCATTGCAGTTCTTGCTAACTGTTTACGCGACTTGTCATCATGCTGATCTGATGTCCTATGGACATCCAGACGAATTGGAATATTGATCTTGATAATTGATGTTACATGGTTTTTTAATACTGATATTTGATATTTATATTCTTGTCTTGACTATAATGTCATTTTGTAATGTTTCATGTGTCTATTGAATAAAGTTGATTGAAAAATGTATAATTTTGAGATAATTCAAAATTTCAGATGATTTATTTAGTCTAATGAATTTTAAATTAAGGATCTGTTTACATATTTTAACAGAGTAGTTTGAAACAATTTCGAAATTTCGAAGATTCATTTTCTCCACCAGAAAAAACCTCAAACCAATAAATTATCAAGAAAACTTATATAAGCAATTGAAAATCGAAGAATCTCAATTTTCGATAATTTCTTCTCCACCGGAAGTGTTGGAAGAAGTGCACGAAGTTGTGAAAAAGCCATATTGAACGATTCAACCCGAATTCTTTCACGAGTTGCATGAAGGTTACGGTATTTTGGTGTTGCACGACGACGTTTACGACGTTCAGCTTTTGACAATTTGCGATATTCTTCAGATGTTGTGTCAAGACCACCATCTTCAGTCAACATTTTTTCCTGGAATTTTTTTTAGAAATTTAATTATGAATTGAATATTGAAAAAAAAACTAATCGAATCTTTTTTTCTCAAAATTATTTAAATTTATTGAAACAGGTGAAATTCGACAAAAAAAGAAAGACTCACCGATAAAAGAATATCAGATTTTCTCACCATTTTCCAAACAAATCTCAAAAACAACAACCCAAAAAAGAAAAAAGTGTCGAAATCCAGAGAGATACTCTCATTTTATTGCTCATAATACTAATTGAATTGTATAATCACCATATGTGGCACAGTCAAGTGTACATGTCGGTTCTTCTTTTGTTCATCTTGAAAAACATATTTTTTATTGACACCCTTATGATTCCTAAAGAAAATAAGAAAGAACAATGACAAATTTATTCAGAGAAACCCGTAAAAATAAAAACTAAAAATGCAAACAAATGTTTTTGTGACCCGATGTTTGCTAATATTGGAACGCTGTATTTTCATATGCTGATATTGATGTTGACCGTTTTATTCGAGAAAGTTGCACAGGATTTCCGTTCCCATTTCCATTTCCATTTTGATGAATCGCATGTCCATTTCCATTTGTTAGCGTAGCAACATTTCTGTTTCATTTCCAACTCTTCTTTCTTTTTTGCAGCAAGTTTACCTTGTCTTCTACAAAAAATATGGTTTACACTTTCTATGTAGCTTATTTTTTTCAAACTGCAAAACCTACTTGTAATAATAATATTCAAAAGCTAGAGTAACAATTGACAAAGCAATTCCAGCCAAAATCACAATAAATACACCTCCAATATTCTGTATTGAAATTCCATCGCTTTCATCAGAAGAATCTGGACAAGACACTTTATTTGGATTTTCAGTCCACCATTTTTCTTTTAATGTTTCAAGTTTTCTTTGATTCAGCAGCATCAATATTGCGCTAGAAATCTCGTCTTTCAAAATATGCCCACTTTGTACAGCAATCGCATATGGTTTTCGTGAAAATTCAGTTCCAACTTGTTGAAGTTTACAATTTGTCAAAGCGGCATATTTGATCTCTGTGGCATCTCCTAAAGGTCAAGAGTTTATACAAATAAGTTAAACACAACTTACCAATAAACGCAAAACCATCCACAGAACTCAAAACTCTCTCAACCGCTGCATTCATATCTGGAGGAAGTTTTGATTCTTGCATATATCTCCACATATTTGTAAATTTGTCAGCAACCGGATAATCCCAAACAGCTAATTTTGCGCGATCTCGAGGAGACATACTTTCGTTCAACGACATTTCCTTCCACATGCTGAAAAAAATTGATGAATTTTTTTTTTCAGATTTTTCAGATAAAACAATGTTTCCAGATGAAAATCTCACTTATAAAAAGTTTCTTCAATTTCCGCCATTCTTCTAAAATATGTTTCCGATGCACTGCCTTTTATTGGCGCATATTCGATTTTATATTGCTTCGCTAAATCATCCAACGAACTAATCGGTTGTTCCAATCTAGAAACTGTCAAAAACGCCGCCAAGTTTGCAGTGTATGACGCAATTATGATGAAACCAAACAGCCACCAAGTGGCCGCCACAAGTCTTCCTGATATGTTTTTTGGTGCTTCGCCGCCGCCTTGTGGTGTTAAAGATGTCATACAAAACCATAAACATTCTTTCAGACTGAATTCACGTTTTTCAACATCATTTGTGTATCTGGAATAGGAAATTTAATGGTTTTTTGTTGAAATAATGAGAAAAATATGTACCTTTCTCGATTATTTGTAAAAGAATATGGACTAAATTTATCAAAGATCCATAGAAGCAAACTTGTGAATAAATATGCGCCAACAATACAAAGCCAAACCGGCCATTCCAAAACCTTCATAAATTTGAAAAGTGAATATTCAACATCTGCTTTTTTCATCAAAATTGTTGTTCCAACCAAATCATAATAAGGTACAGTAAAATCAACATCATTTTCACGTTCTGCCATAACACTCAAAGGAGCTAAAGCAATATCAGCTGAACCAGACACCAATGCACCAATCAAACCATTCCAATTTCCATTATCATCCATTGTTCCAAAACTTCCATCTTCAACTTCATAAATTGTATATGTGAAGTTGACTTCGTTTTTAATCATATTTATCAAATCAATACAGTAACCCTCGTATGGTTCATTTGGATCATTTGTTCGTTGGATGAATGGAGGTTGCTAAAAAACACATTTTTTATCTTAACTTCTCATAATACTCACGATTAGTGTGACAACTCGAAAAATATTAAGAGATCTGACATCAACTTCAAGAGATCCATACATAACAGTTAATTTTGAAGTTGGTGTCCAGGTTCCAACTTGTTTATTGAATTGAGCATCTTCATAATCTTTGTCCCGGTCAATTTTGAAAATTCTGACTTGAACATCCTGAAAAATTCATATTTATTTTGATTCTTCACAACCACTAATGAATGAATGACGTATGGAAATAAAAACAATCAAAATTTTTAGACAATGAATCAAAAAACATGACTAATATTTATTTACATTCATAACTAACCTGAAAAAACAAATCGTCACCAATAAGTGTATAATTTCCATATTCATGATAAGGATCGTTTAAAATAACATCTTTAACAGTTGTTGTTATATTCATTGAAGTTTCTTGACATACAAAACTTGGCATAACATCGAAAGTCGAGTTGAAGTTACGCAAAGTATCGAAAGCGTATCCCATAACGTTCATATAAAATGCAACGTTTAGCTGAGAATGTTTTTTTTTAATTATTGAAAAATTTTGATAAGATAAGAACTCACCGAGTCCCAACCATTTATTGTATAATCCAAATCCAAACCAATTTCATTTCGAAACAAAAAATCATCCAAATCTCGAATTTCCATCAACTTTCCGACACTAAATGGTCTCATCCAAAACATATAGGCTGATTCACAACTATCACATTTGAAAGCAGTTATGTCCTTAAAATATTCAATGAGAAAAAAATCAGAAATAAAATCAAATGAAATACAAATAATAATGTTAATATCATTTTATCGATTATTTTCCTATATTTTTATATTGTTTCACAAAAACACATAACTTTTTCATGTTTTCCTTGTATTGTTTTTGATTTTTTTCCTCATATCATTTTCTTTTTTTTCGGAACCGCGACCTATGGTTCTTCCAACTACATCTACATTCTTCTTTGCGATTTTCTTGTTTTTCGGAGTTATGGTAAGTTGTCACATAAAAATCATGTGATATGCTGAATATAATTGAAGGGCTCCGAAAAACAAGAACAAACTGTCTATGATGATTTTCTGATTGGAATTCAAAATGCAGTTATAAACAATAATCAAACTGCTTTTCTCCAATACTATACTCAAGATTTTGATGCAGCTGGTATTATTTTCTATAATTGATTTCAAATTTAAAAAACATTATTTTCAGCATGGTACAAAAGATTCTATCAACCATTCAAGCCCGAAGAACGAAAAACTTTCATTGTCAGCCAGATTCTTCTAAAGTTTAGAACATCTTATTTTTTACAGGTTCGTCGCTTTGGGGAAGTTCAGGAGAATACAGAAGGTGTGAAATTGAGCTACAGCGAGAGTTACAATCAAAACGGTAACAGTTCGGATATCCATTTGATTTCTTATGATGTGGTACTCAAAAAAGTAAACTATCTTGTTAAAAAATCTAAACCAATCTAATTTTTCTCCAGGTAACCAATAATACAATTGGCTATGGAATCAATGACATCAAACAGCATAAAACATAAAATGAAACATACCTTTGTTAACACATAAATATTGAAGATCCGATCTTGTATTTCATTTGCAGCTTCTAATGTGAATCTCTCAACGTTTTCAGTTTTCGCGACAAAAATCAATGAGTTTATCGAGTTTTGTTTGAGCATTGCGATTTGTGCCCGCATTTTTAGAACTGTTGTTTCCATCGACAGAAATCTGACACCCGGTATTGCAGAAAACGCTCCTTTCCATGATTTGAAATCTGGTGCTGGAATGAGAAAAAGTCATTGTTATCTTATGAACCAGTTTTGTTTGCTTACGGAAAATATTATCATACAAAACTGTAGTGTTTGGTGTGATGTTCAGATCCGCAAAAATATCTGTAATAACATTTTGAAACACCAACGTCGACATAACCATTTTGACATAAGAATTCGAGGTTGTTGAAACATCGTTCTTGGTTTCTGCAAAAAATGTGCGTAGATCAAAAAATGTTTCATTTGAGACAAGACCAACCATTGAAATTGAGAGGTAACGGCCAGTAATTGAAATCCACTTGAATTGTAGGCACTTGTGACATTTGTGCCAGTTCATGAATTATCTCAATTGATCGAGTAGAACGGCAAATACTGATTACGAATGACACATTTTGCATTGAATCACAAACTGAAACTCTTTTCTTGTAAGAGAGGTTTTTGAAAATCAATCTCGAATGTATTAGGATGCTATGATCCTCCAGGAACATTTTTCGTAAATTTTTCATGTAATTAAAAATTTTTAGCTTGATTGAGATTTTTTGTTTTCATTTCAACAAATTTTCAAATGTTCTTTGGACCCATAAATATCCACCCACTCTTCCACTTTTTCGAAAACCTAGTTATTATTCGAAATTCGATATTTTCGTACCCAAAAAATTAAATTTTGAGTGCAAAGTCCGTTACAATGATCAGCTAATATAGAAATTTTTGAAATTTATATGTACGCAAACACATAAACTTCACAGAAAATAGTTTTGGAACAAACTTAAAAAAAATTCTGGAACTGGTTTTTGGGTTATCACAAGTTCAGAAGCAAAAATTTCTTACATTGAACCTCTAGGTTCAAAATCCAAAACTTCACCTACACCTTCCTTCATACCTGATGTAATATTATAATCATCATCCATCACAATTTTATTCAAAGTAACCGTTTCAATCCGTAATTTATCCACATAAAATTGTTTGGAAATATTCAAATGCAATAAAACAGTTTCAGCAAAATTGTCATTTGCATCCATAGTAATCACTGAAAAACATGAACTTTTTTTTCAGAAATCTAGAAGATTTTCTTACATATGACTTCTGAATTTGATAACAATGAACATAATAATAGTAGCAATATCCATCGAAAAATCATTTCAATTTTTAGTTGAAAAACAAAATCAGAAAAAGAAAAACATTGATGATTTTTTGCAGCAATAAACTGAAATGAAATAAAATAATGAATGAATGTCCTGAAGGCAGTCGAAAAAAGAAATATTGAAAAAAGAGATCGGATTTCGAAAGGTAGGTAGGTAACTCTAGATTTGCTAGGGCCTCTCCATTTTTGCCGCAATATTTTGGTTTGGGTCTTATTTACATTCATTTTGTCTGCTTGACTGCTGCTTTCATACGCATAATTATTTATTTTTTTTTGTATTCTGTTCTCATTGGAATGTAAAGGTAAAAAATGAGGTCTGCAGAAAATGGATGATTGGGGAGTTGAACATTTCCAGATCAAAATGAACATCAGATAATTTTTTGAAGAAATATAGGACTATGTTTATAGCTTTTTTATTTACGTGAATGTCACGAGAAGAGTAAATAGATCGCATAATTGTGATTTCTAGCCCTATTTTTTGCAATATAGTTTAAAATATTCATTCAAAATTGTCAATATAAAAATAAAAGGAGATCAAAACATATGACTATTATTAGTATCGATTATATATAAATCTGAAATTCTACAAAATTATCCTTTTCTTGGTGTTGGTGTACTCATTGGTGGTGGTTGTTGTCTTGGAGTACGATTTGACAAACGGGAATATAACTCAATTTCAACTTCTGAAACCGGTGTGAAGCACAATGTTTTATTATTTTTAAGTTCATCTTCAGCTTCGGTTGTTGGTGAACTTCTTCCAGGAATTGGTGCATATAAATGATCATCATCATCCGCGTCTCCCGCCAAAACTGAATCATCAATTCGACTCTCAACAGCTCTTGGGGATGGTGCTCTTGGTTCACCAATTCGACTTTTCACAAAATATGTATCCACTGTAGTTTTGTCTCGAATATCAATTGGTTCATGACGATCGAATTGGAAAAGGCCGGGGTCCGATTTTTCAATTTTAGCATAAGTTGCCTCACTGACCAATACTTTCATTGGAACTGAATTTTGTTCCATTTGATTCGCAATAAAAACAGTTTCACCGAACAAACAATATCTTGGCATAGTTAAACCAACAACTCCAGCAACAACAGCTCCTGAATGAACGCCAGCTCGAATGTTTATAGTTTTGATTTTTGATTTCACATCGGTTTCTTTTCCAGTTTCAGCAACAAATTGAATTGCACAATCGAGAGCATATTCAGCATCATGAGTTGTTCTTTGTGGAGCACCACTCACTACCATATAAGCATCACCAATTGTTTCAACTTTATAAACACCGTGTTGATCAATTATAGCATCAAAATTAGTGTACATAACTTGAAGAAACTCGATAACCTCAAGTGGTGTTAAAGAGCTACACATTTTTGTGAATTCGACAATATCAGTGAAAAGAATTGTGACAGATTCAAATTTTTCACAACAACCAACAGCACTGTCACCATTTCTCAATTGATTTGCAACACTTTTCGGGAGCATTTGATAGAGAAGTTTGTCAGTTCGACGACGCTCTTTCTTAAGGCGATTCATATTTTCACGCATGTTTCGAGATTTTTGAGCTTCCTGCAAAAAAAAAACTTTTTTTGATTTTTGTAAAGCACCCCATAAAATCTGATGCAATAAAAATTAGTCTTCCCCTCGCACCTGATGCAGTAATAATTTTAGTTCAGCTGCCTGTTGAGTGCTTGCCAGTACCAGGTCACGACTAGAGTCGTGTGTCGCAAAATCATTGATGAATAATCCCGATTTGTACATTTGAGGAAGATGACTCATTCTGTAAAAAAACAAATAAATGCATGTTTTTGTATTTGTCATACAGAAGAAAAACAGTTAGGCAAACTCACACTGGAATTCCAACAAAACAGATGCTTTCCCATTCTTCCATATAAAACATTTGTCCCTTTAAAGTCAAGAATTTTTGACGTTCAGAATCGCCCATGCGATGACGTTCCTCGGTGCCTAAAAAATTTCAATATTTTTCTTCAATTTTGAGCAATCCAAAAATGTGTATCATTCAAAAAATTTCTGTTTCAAAAAATCAAAAGATGTAACTTTTGAAAACAATAAAACCGCTAGACAGGTTGCTCATAAATCACTTTGATGTGAATAGCACTAATTTGTAGAGAATTCAGAAACTACGATATTTATGATCTTTTTTTGTTCATTAGAAAGCTTCGAGAGATAATTAATTGTTTTATATTTGAAATTTAAATTTGAAAATTCCATATGAGAATCTCGAGAACAAAGATAAGTTCAATTTCATTTGTGAATTGTCAAAGATCATTCAGAATCCACAAGGAATCAAAATTTTGTAGTGATTTTCAGTTATCCTTTCTAGAATTTGAAAAATTGTTTCTATAGTTTTTCAAATATTCAGTTTCCCTTCCCATATTTTCCAATTATTACTTTGCTCAATATCGCTAGCCTTATAAACCAATAAACTATCTTCATCCTCTTGTATTGGTTCGGTCGATATCAATTCGAATATATTATTCGAATAGAGCATAATCTGCAAAAAAACACATTATTATCATTCGATTATAATATTATTTTTATTCTTTATTATTTACGATTGTCACACGCGTCCTTTTTTATCAATTCATAATCAATCAACAAAAAAAAAGAGATTTGCATAAATTTGTATGGGAAACAACTATATTCGAATGAATATGATGATAAGGTGTGTGACAAACCTCTTCCCATCTGAATCGTATAAACGGACGCATCAATAAAAAAGCTTGATTGATCTTTTTGCCGACAACTCCAGACATAATTCGAAGAAGTCCGATGCCAATGTTTCTGAAAATGGTCTTCGTTGAGAATTCTTGGAAAAACACTTCATACCTGATTCTCATTCCCCGATTAAAAACAATAATAAATGGGAAAATGTCAAAAAAGATATCTGAAGTAATTTTGAGTTTTTCAAGAGCTGAATCATGCATTGATCTATAAACACTATCAATTCTGGTGAAATCAAGATTATTAAAATGGAGTCGCATAATAACGTGTTCCAAATTGAGATCATGTTCAACATCCAATAATTCAATCACAACTTCAGTTTGAAAAAGTTCCATAGCAATATTACGAATTTGTCCCTGGACATAGTGTAAAAAGCCACGTCGTTTACTTCTACAAAAAAGTTTTGTTTTTTTATTATGATGGGTGCCATATGTTTAATTGTTTTATGACATTTTTCATAACAATTTTTGTTTATTTATTTATAGACACATGATTTTGATAAATTATCCAGATGTCAATAATATCCTCTAATTTTTTTTGATTTTGAAATGAAAACTATACCTATAATGAAGTGTTAATCCAGTTCGACTTTCATGTTCACAATAAAATGAAGGTGGTTTCAATTTCGGAAAAGTGAAACGCAAATATTCATGAAGGTTATCCAAACCATTCAAAAATTGTGGAAAAGTTCTTCCAAGAACTCTCAAAACCTTATTGAATTCATACTTTCCCAAAAATTTATAAAAACTGTGTCCAATATTTGTCATAAGCTCGTCAATCGCCACATTTGTCACATCTCTACATGCCCAAATTAATTTATGTGGTAAACCTTCCGAAAAAATACCATCCATTTGAAATGTGTCATCAGTAATCCCCGATACAAACTGCAAATGAAATTAATATGTATAATATGTAATTTTGAATGGATTTTCTCACCAATTTATTCGTAATACTTTTTTTAAATATATATTGTTAAATGTACTTTTAGTATTAACAAACCGGTATGTTATACATAAAAAAAGAGGTGCTGATGTGTACTTTTGATTTTCAATAATAAAAGAGATAAAATTCAAAACTATAGTGTAGTCTAGTTTTGGAAAATCCCCAAAACTATACAGTTTGATTTTCTAAACCCCCTCAATAATTTTTTTTCAATAAAAAAATTCTTTGACATTAAAACCAAACCAAGATTTGAATTCTTATCTTATGTTAACTCCCACACAAATCTTGATTATTATGATGTACAATACATGTCGCAATAAATCATTGTCTCTCCCAAGAAACCTTGATGAGAAAATAAAAAATGACACATGTCGGAGAGCTTTATAAGAGATAAGTATCAATCTATGAAAGGAAATCATGGTTTTGTTTTGTATTTTTATTATTATACACCTATAATAATAATAACCCCTCTGTTATCTATCTTTCTCTCTATAAAAAAAAGGAAAAACGGGGGTAACCAACGATAGATAGAGATAGATGATCTCGTCCTTGGGAGTAGGAAAATAACAAATTGACAATTAAACATACCTTGACTTCAGCCCATGCTGATTCGCCATATTTCTCTTTGATATAGGTGGCGATATGGTCAATTATTAAACCATACATTTTCGAATAAGGATTCTCTTCTTTCTCAAATGATAAGAAATATGTGTGGGAAATAACATTATGGAAAATATTAATCCGAAACGGATATGGATATGAGTAGTAGTTCCGGAACACTTAATTCATTTTATTTCTTGTGGCTTGGTTTGCATTTGATGATAAACACGATGAGGAATTTCAAATATAACGGGACGATTGATGTGAGAGTCTAGATTTCAAGCCAAAGAACGTTTGATGTGTTCTGATGATGCTTGGAACATTATGGGATTTCCTATATTCTGAATTATATTTTGTTGATAGCAAATTCAAAATTGTTCCAAGATTCTCCAATGATTTTGGATTTTTTTTTTTGTTATTTTTTCTCAATAACTGTGTCTCTTGGAGGACCTTAGTACTTGGAAACCTCAAAAAATTAAAATCTAAAAAAAAAACTTTCTTCAGATTCTCAAACATTTTTTTCCAGCAACGATTGATCCTAAACCGGAAGTGATCTAGTTGTTTGCAAACCGTAACCATCAATTTTCATTTTTGTTCTTGTTGAATATTTCATTTTGAGATCACTTTTTAAATTTTTATCTAGATTCTACTATTTTTCCTGTTCCCAATTTTTTTCAGAAATGATCCTCAACCGGAAGTGATCTGGGTTAAACCAAGACACACAGTTATTCCATATTGTTTTTTTTTCGCTGTCTCGATCGTCAGCAGAATCATTGATTTGAAAGAGGTCGGTCACATATACACATACACACATTCGATAAAATAAAACAATATTATATCTTGTTGTAAAAACCGAACGAACGAAACGTTTTTCATCATTTGTAAAACAGAGATAGAGAAGGAAAATAAGAAAAAAGAAGAAGGTCGGAAGATAGCAAAGAGACACAGACGCCCGTGGAACAACACAAAAAAAACATTCCTCACTTTTGCAAGCCAACCAATTTGAATGCAAAATGTGCCTCGAGACAGAAAGAAAACGAGGCAAACGGACATTACAGTACAACGCAGAAAAAAAAACAAGCGAAGACAAAAAGTTGGCGGGCAAGAAACATAGTTATTTTTTTTAGAAAAGAAAATTGAAAACATTACTGAAAATTAAATGGGTTGTGATTAAAAATGACAAAAACTATTAATCAACCAATGTTCAAAGAATGTTGAAAACCGGAAGAAAATAAATGATGATTTTTGGTCTTGGATATAAAATGTTTTTCAGGAAATTTGATTTTTTAGATGTTTTTGAGAAAGTTTAAAGAATTTTTGAGGATGTTGATAAATTTATGAGATGGTGTGGTTGTTGTTGAAATTCTGGGAAAAAATTCGAAATTATTTGGAAATTTGAAATTCCAGAAGTATTTTGAATCCTTTTTTCAATCTTCGAAAATTATAATTTTATCAAAATTATTCAGATTTGCAAATTTGTGAAAAATGTGTTTGTATTTTCAAAACCTCTTTAAAAATTTTTAAAAAGTTCCGAATCCCAATTTTTCATTTGAAAATTCGAAAATTCAAAGCCAAACTTCACAGTATGTATCTCTTCGATTTTTCTCTAAAAGCCTTTCAAAATTTCAAAATTACATTTTATTAATTCTTAAATCGGTTTTCTTCATTTCCCAAAACTTTCAGAAATTACTGTATTTTTTTCAAATCCCTTCAACCCCTCCCTTCCAGTCTCCGCTTTCCTATAAATTCTCCAGCTTCACGAAAAAACTTCCAAATACCAATCGATCTCACTTTCCTCCATTTTTCCAATCGTTTGTGTCAAAAACGAACGGCCGAACGAGACACAGTGATGAAAAATGAGACACAAACAAGAAAAAAAGAAGAAGGAAAAAATGCAGAGACACAGTCATTCCACTCATTTATGTAAACAAACTGTGTCGACAGCCTAGCTAATCGATAATTTCAGCCAATTTGTTTTGTTCGCAACACAAAAGACGGGGAAAGAAATGGAAACAATGATATACTTTGTTGCGATTTTTTCAAGAAATTCTTGGTTAACTGGAAAAAAGGTCAACTTGCAGCAACAGCAGTGAAGGAAGGAAGAAAAAAAGCAACCAGATACCCCGATTGCCCCCAATTTTCGGTGTAATACTTCTCCTTCTTCTTTTTTTGCCCGATTGCTTCGTTCGTCTGTTAAACTATTCAATTCTCATCAGTTCAAGTGTTGGCTATTTTGTATATGTCCTCTCCTCGTTCTCTCACCCTTGAACACTTGAAGAGCGCGCTCCGGTAGTAGTACATATTTAATCCCGTACAGGTCATAGCGGGTCTATAATTAAATCTCAGTTACCGCAATTGATTTTGGTGGGGGGCAAGTGAGATGGATTAATTTTGGTGCCAAGTGAGGTGATACCTGGAAAAATTTTGGGAAAAATATGGGATGTTTGAAAATTTTCAGCGCCGTAGATGAAAATTTAAATACAGTAGACTCTGTCGGCTCCTTTGATTTTTCTAGAATCAAATAGTTTTGGACAATATTTCTGAAGGTTTACAAACTTCTGATTCAGTTAAAATTTGTTCAGAAAGAGTCAGCGCACAAAATTTATTTTATAAAAACACAAAGTTCAAAAGCTGTCAACAAAGACCTGGAAAATAAAATATAGTAGTATAAGGTAGAAGATTAGTTTGTAGGGTAAAATTTTGAAAGCATCATATGCTAAAGCCCGTGATAACATATACAAAAAGATTTACAATATATATGTTTTGTTGTAACTGTATTATTGTTCAATGTACATGCGAGAAGAGCACTTGTTTCGCCGCATCATAACTTTGTTCCTTTGGGCAGTATGGGCACTTGAGTCGCGTTTGTCTGCAAAAATAGAACAAAGGTCAACATTTCATAAATATATATATCTATATATATATATACAAATATATATTATTCGTTTTCATTATATTCCGTCTCTAAAGGTACACTCTCTATTCCTTGTGTCCCTAAGAGCCCTCCGGTTCGTACGCGCGCGCGCGAGCGGGGCCATAGCAGCATCGAGATAGAATTGTAAACCAAGAGACGTTGCCTTTCGCCCCTTTTCTCTCTCTCAAACAAATCTGATTGATCGATCGATTGCCCCGTCTTTTCTTCTTTTTTTCGTTCTTTTCCATCTCCTTTTTCTCCATCTTCTTCTTCTTCATCGTTCGAATACGCAATCGCGGGACACCCAACAAAAGCTCCGCCCATTCGGGAGAGGAGGAGGAGAAAAGAGAAGAAGGAATTCATTCGACATACATACTCACTTGGTTGGTTGGCTTGTCCTCCTCTCCTCTCCGCTCTCCACTTTCTATTATTCTATCCAGTACTATAATACAGGACACATACCTTCACACAAATACTTCCAGCAATCGGTTTTCACCTTGATCTGAGATGTGTGAGTTTCGGTTCTGAGATCATCGTGAAAGCTAGTTGTTGGAATGTATTTATTTTCTCAAACCCAGGATTCGTGGTAAGTAAAAATTCTGAAACCAACTAACCTTGGTAAAGTGGCGCGTGTGCTGATTAACCGGTTGGCTGATAAGCGTTGCATTGCATCGCGAGAAATGACATGACCGCATAACAATTTCATTGGTGGATTCCGTTGCGAACTTTGCTCTTTGAGAATTGGACAAGTGAATGTTGAATGGATTTGACGTTTGACTTTGATTTCAACTGGCAGTTCTTCCTCGATCATTAGATTGGTTTTGCAGAACGTTTTCTGGAGCCCGGAAAGTACAGATACTGCTTGACGACCCGATTCAATACTGGAAAAATTTAGATATCAGAATAAAATTTTGTATTTTTTTCATAAATTGTTTCCTTCCATTCAAAAAATTCTCCCTGAAAACCCTACAGTTCGGACATGACACTTCTTGTTGGTGCCATTACATCAGCCATCCGTTGCACCAATGAATCCCAAATCTTCTCATCAAACATATCACGATATCTTGGATCACCTAAAGCGGCCGATCCGCGGAGCACAGCTCCCATCATTCGTGGTGTCTCACTATCATTTCCCAAAAACCGCAAGTCTTTCAACGATTTCAGCGCCTCCTTTTCTTTTCCTGCAAAAAAATCAAGCCCAATGATTAGTTTTGATCGATTTTGAAAACGAGAGAAGGCAGGAGGGCAGGAGCACGCAACTGTTTGGCCTCTCTTTTCCCTTCTCGTTTTTTTTTCTCCCCTACAGTTGAACACACACACACACAACATCGCGATAGATGCACACACACATATACTTTTAAACGGAGAAAAGAGGCATAAAGAGGCCAAAGGGTCACATCGCATCACACACTCTCATAGACACACACATATTGCTTGCTCCTGGGGCCCTTTTGCAAAAATCGATAGCAAATATCGACACAAAATATATTGGGGCAATAATGTATACGAAATTATTTTTTATTGTTATACAATTTTTATTATGAATCAGAATCACACACTTTTTTTTGTCATCGAAAATGTATATATATTTATTTATATTATCAAAAAATTATTGAATGGAAATTGAAAACGGAGGGTACTGTAGTTTTTTTAGTCAGAGTTTCAAAATTGTTATCAAGAAAGTTTCTAGTCTCAAGATTTTTAGAACATCGTTTCGTTAGAATCTAAAGAGGAATTTGTAGTATAATATGAGCAATAGGTAATTGTTTCTATTAAAATTCGGGAAATCTGTGAAATAAAATTTTCAAATTTCCCATAAAAATTGGTAGTTCAAATCGAATAGAAGGGTACTGTAGTTTTTTAAAGATAGATTTCCAAAATGTCTATCTGGGAAGTAAAATAGTTTGTTCCAAGGTGACTTTTTTGCTGAAGAGTTACAGTTACATTAAGTTCCAACTTTCAGATGACCTATATATTTTTTCAGAGTTAAAGTCGTGAAACAATATTTTCAGACTCAAAGTCAGTGAGATTTAAAATCATCTAAATTCTGTTGATTTTCAACAAAAAAATCCAAATTTCTGAAATATGGTTATATTAAAATTAACAGCAAAGTCTTTATTTCCGACTAGAGTTTTTAGACAGATTGTCCGATATCAAATTTAGTTTCAATTCTGTTTTCACGATCAGTAGAATTCAAATCATTCAGATATTGTTGATTATTAACTTCCCAAAATGTCAACATATTCAAGTTCCTCTTTTTATCAATCTCATTATTTCTCGAATTCAAATCGCCTGATATCAATCTGAATGACAGCATCATCAAACTTATCATAGTCAATTTGACAGGTTCAAAATCCATTCTTATCAACAAATCAACATGACATTATCATGACCAGGAAAATACGCACACACACAACCCACAATCATACAAAAACGGGGCGTTTTGTCTCGGATACGTGATCAAACATCCAAAGAGTTCGTATAAATTCATGTCAATTTTTTCCTAGCTAATGTTGTGAGTGTTCGTTTGATGTGGAAAAAAAGGTGTCAATGACAAGGTCAGCAGATTATTGTGAACGATTAAAAATGTACATATTTTTGAATTATTCATTCTCCCCTCTTCTATTGAATATAGAAGATTATGCTGCACTTTTTGTTCGTTGATTATAACCTTGAGAACCTTTTTGAGGAGTTACGCAATCAAAAAAATACTCAATCAGTGAAAAACAAAACTTACCATTAACGACAAGTTGAAGAGTACTCTGTTTTTGTAGATCATATCTGAGACGAGCTTCGTGAGGAGCGACTTCGGACAAATATACAAGTGCAGCTCGAACATCGTGACGTTGAATATCGGTTAGAATTTTGGTGATTGCTTCACGATTATCTATTGTTTCTTTGGCGTCAAGTTTGGCTTCCTGGAAAAAAACGTATGGAATTTTGGGGATTTTAGAAGGTTTCTGATTTTGCAAAATTTCAAGTTGGGTAGGGTATTTTTGGAACTTTGAAACCTTAGAAGAACTTTCCCTGAACAAGCCTATTCAAATTTGTACGGGCTAAATGTGATTCTGGAATGTTTTGGAACTTCATTCTTCCTACTGTAGTTTTATCATTCCCAATATAGCCTAACTTAATTCCTGGTGGTTTGCCGCTTTTTCTAATTAAAAAGCTAGGTTTTTTTCCATTACATTGTTTCTATTTTCCAGATCCTGTATAGTTTCAATGACATTCCAGTCTCATTTCCATTTCCAATCCCAATCTCAATTCCAATTCCACTTCCCCTTCCCTTTTTTTTCCAAATCCAATTTCATTAATCACCATCACTTTCTTTCAAATCAGTATAACCTCAACCCATTATATCAAATTCATTTGTTCTGTCTAACCAACCGATAAAACTGAACAAGACAAAACCCTAAAGCGACAGCAAGAAAAAATTTATCAAAGGCCACAATTCTTTCTCTCTCATTTTTCGAATGTTGAAAAAAAAATCGAGAGAGAGAAAATGTTTGCGTCTCTTCGATGTTCGTTCGTTTTTCGGTGCCAGGACACACGATTTGTGCCTGTTTTAGTTTTTCCCCTTCTTTTTTTCGCTGCTTGCTTGCTTGTCGTCCGTCCGTCCGTTCGCCCCAAATCACATCCAATCGATAACAATAACCTTCGAGGTTCCAAACGGGAATAGCAAAAAAAAAAAGGAGGGAGAAAAAACGATGATCGGCTAACGACTACTATATGTACACTGTACAAATAACGGTTGAACAACAACAACAAAAAGAAAAAGCAATTTGCCGCTTTTTAATACCTTGCAGGCTAAGCCTACGCACATAAATACACACACACACATACACATTTATATGTATATATATATATTAATTACTACTGTAGAGGTACTGTAGATTGGTGACGAACATTAATATTGCTTTGGTTTGCTTTTCTGAGTCATCTAGAACAGAACAAATATTGTTGTCGGCTGGCTGATTGCAACATATTGATGGGGTCATGATGAGAGGAAGAAGATGAAGAAGAAAATGAGGAGAGGAAAAATTGTCGGATGTGTTAAGAAAAAGAAAAACATCTGACACAATCAATTTGGAGACTGGAACATTGAACAATAATCTTGTGAATTTTCGAGAAATATTGGGGATCTGAAAATTCCGGAAACAAAGTGATGACGTTTCAGAGTTCTATGAGTCATTGTTTGTATGGTAAACCATTGGTTTTGCTTGTAAAACACAGATTAAAAATGTTAAGTGACGTTTCAAGAATGAGTCATCAAAAATCTATCTCTCTAGTTCGGAACTGAGTTTATGTATGAATCAAGACTCGAGCCTCAAGCCTAGAGGTAAAGCGGAAATTCAGAATTTTACCATATCGGGAATTGCTTGTGGTCCTATGTGGTATATTTGTGATTTGAAAACTTTTAGAGCGAACTCCGAAATTAATTTGGAATTTGTTCACCTCATTAACAATCAGTAATGGACTTGAACATCTGAAACTCTGCTTCTGAAAAACGTGATAGATCTGAATCAGAAACTATCAATCCAATCTAGAATCCAGCACGTCCAGCCAAAATTCCAGAAAAAATCTTAACACAACGCCTCATTAACCTTAATGTGCTTTTCATAAGATCTGATCCCTCTATCTCTGAAAGTCTATCTCTGAAAATTTAAAACCTGAATCAGAAACTTTCAACCAAATCTAGAATTTTGAAGTTTATCATCCCAAACTTCAGAATGATTCTCTAACTACTTCAAGACACCCATCATCACCCATAAATTCACAGTCTGAAACATATATCTGAAAATCTAGACCCAGAAATCCTCATTCAAAATTGTTTTTTCAAACACCTAAAATCATTAGTGAAAACCAATTCATAGTAATGATCCATTCTTCTCAATGTCACCCATAAATTCTCGCTCGATCGTTCTCATTAAGACGCTTAAAAACACACTCCCTCTCATAAATTTCTTGTCGATAATCATTCGATAAAATCTTCTTCCTATCCTCCCCCCACCAAAAGATGTTTATCTTCTCCCAATTCCCCTCCGCGATCTTCTTACCTTTTTCAGCGTTTCGGCAACATCAATACATCCTTCAGACATCAAAAAATCATATATCAATGAGCACGCATCGTGTTGATTTGCCGGCTCACGTATCAAATCTTTTTCACGCACAAAAAACGAGCCAATGTTTTTGGAAAATTGACGATCAACAATTTTGCCAATTTTTGAGACACCATTATGCAAATTCTTGTGTTGGCGCATATATTCATCTGTCAATTTTGTTGCGCGATCAGCAGACTGTTCTAATATAATTTGTGCGGTAACAGACAGTGTTCCACAATCATTTTCTTTTATTAATTGTGTCTCATAATCTCTCATTGATTTCGAGAGCTTATCCAAACTCGTCGACCAAACTCTAGAATATCCAATGAAATTGTCATTCAGGTTATTGATGGCTGTCCGAAGTGATTTCATTTTTTTGACAGGTTCTTGTTCCTGTGTTGATGATGGTTGTGGTTGTGGTTGTGATTGTGATGTTTGTGTTGCCGATTCAGCCATTTTTGCTCGCTAAAAAATAACTTACGTTTGTAAATTTCAACAAATTTTCGAAGAAAACTTGGCTATTCAAGGCAATTGGCTTTCACAATGATCTCAGAAAAATGGCTAACTCTCTGCTGATCACGGTGAAAACCCATTGCCAACATAACCAACTGATGAATATATATGAGAGAATAATATTATAATACTACTATAATATATATCAGCAAGCAAGCAGGGAGAGAAGAGGAGAAGAGCCACCGCCTGTTGGGACGATTCAGCAAACTATGAGAGCGAGGCAAATGGGAGCATTTTGTCGGGTCGTCGCAAAATGGGCGGAGCCTTATCTCCTTCTCCTCCCCCTGTGTTCTATCTACCTATCAACGCGCTATACTGTCCGGCCATAAGTTAGACATCCAGAGTTTCTATTAAGTGTACAGTATCTCTACACGTCTATGACCTCCTATTTTATGTGTATTCATTCAATTGATGGGGGCGTTTCAAACCGCAATATATATGATTTTTTTATTATTAATAATATATAATATAATATAGATTATATTATATTATATTGCATTGTGGTGTGTTGGCAAGCAGAAAAGAGAATTGAACAAAAAACTATTCGATTGATTGGAAATCGTACAATTTTTTTTAGAAATCAAAGGCTCAACAACGGAAAATCAAAGGATAGCAGAGATCAAAATGAGAGTATTTTATATTAAAAAAGTAGAAGCATAAAGTGAAATTCTGAAAATCGAAAAAAGTGTTTGGGATTTTTCAACTGATAAGTTCTCGGAGTTAGAACAAACATTTAGACTACACTAAAACAATGCAACCAAAAAACTTGAGAGATACACTTTAGAAGACTTTCAAATTGGTATTATTTTTAAAATAAATTCGAAATTTTCAGATTCTACTGGTGTTAGACTGTACTAACTTTGTACTCAAAGGAGAATCTGAACTTAAAAAATATATTCTTAAAATATAGCAAAATTTCCAAAATTTTAAAATTTAGATTCTGACCCTTTATATTCTGAAAGTCATGAGACTTGAGAAAAATAACCAAAAGCTCTTTAATTTCATTATCGGTTCTCTAGAGTTAAAAAAGTATTCACCGGTCCAAATTTGGATCTCAAGAAATCTAATTCTAAAAACTCTGAAACTCGGGTAAATTAGTCTTGTAGATTATTTTTTTTGTAAATTTCCTAATTTAATTTTAAAGTTTTTGAACTCTCCTACTTGGAAAAAAACTTTTTTGAACAGAAAAAACCTAGACAATTCCATTCTAGTTCAAATGAAACCTAATCCCCAATCAATCATTGTCAAATTAGCAACCACTCGATAATTATTTACTCATTGTCTAGTAAATCAGCTGAACAACTATACTATTTCTTCTTCTTTCCCTCTTTTGCTATATTTGAGATTGTATATCATCCCAACTCGATACATTATGATCAGTTTATAAATATATATATATTTATAAATATATAATGTGTGCTCGCCTTGTATTATTTGTCTACAAATCACCGGCCCGAAATGTCAACTTTCTTTTTTCTCCTTTTTGTTCAAAATAATATTGTTAATATAGATTTTTCGTTCTATCTCGCAACAAAAAAGAAGAAAAGAGGGAGCGTTGTCTACTATTATTTTGTTCAATTCAATTCATTTCATTTCATCGATACAATACAATATATATGCTTATCAGTATAATAGTACTGTGTGGTGTTTTTTATCAACACTATCAAAGTATTTTCGTCTGCAGTCTCTTTTGGCGTTTTTGATGTCTCTATCTTGCCTCTATCTTGCCCCGTGCCTGCCCTTTCACAAATTGACTTCTATTTTATATTACAACACATTATTTATTTGAATAGAGAGACAAAAATTGGGGGATGTTGAAAAAATATATGCATATCGTTGATCTAATAAAACTAGAGTTTTTTTTACATTTAGATTGGAATTGAATGTACAAATGTACCAAAACCTATATTAGAATAAGAGGAAAAAAAAAAGAAAAAACAAGGTCAACAATAAATCAAAAATCTCAGGAATGGAATGTATTTGAGGGGTTTTGGAATTTCAGAAAGTTTGTTGTTGCAATTGAATTTGATTTCTATTGAAACATCATAATTTTTTGCTCTCATTTTTGTTCATATCTTTCCTGTCGGCGTACAGTAAAAGATAGGAAGATACGATAAAAGTATACAAATGACCCTGTCAGTCAAAAGAGCCCCCAAAAAAGGTTGATTGACTTATGCGCGGTGTAATTTTTGTACTATACAAATAGGTTATTACGCAATAGATCGTTTGCTAGAAATTTTCGTTTGGCCAGAAATTAGGGATTTGAAAAATGTGCAAGAGAGATTTGTTGAAAAAAAGATATCAAAAGATGTTTGGTAAAATTTATAATAAAGTTTTAATTTTTTCAAATTTTTAAATAAAAAAAATGACCAAATATATAACTAATGGAAATATTTTTTTCAATTAATCTTAAATTTATCTGATTACAGAATAATTTTTGATAGCAGGAATTCAGAAGGAACACAGCAATTGGATCTAAGAAGTATTCAAAAATTATTTAAAAAATCAACTGTCTGAAAAAAACAGACATATATGACAGCAAAACTTTGAAAATATCTATCACTTTCATTTCTGGACTTCAAAATCTTGTAGAAGCACAAAAAAATTTTTTAATCAACACTCGTAATTATTTCTGAAATTATAGGCACCAAATCTGTTTTCCTTTAAAAATTTTTCAATAATTTCAGAAATTTTGATAAGCAAAACGTTTTTTTCATATAGCTTGAAAAGAATACTGACAATGAATTCTGATTATGAAAAAAATCAGTAGATTGAAAAACATACAAATCCTACTCAAATTATTTACTTTGAAGAACAAGCTTTAGGAATTCAGGAGTTTTGAATTTGGAAAGCTTCAGCTATTCTCAAGTCATCTTGAAAATCATTTGAAAACTTCCAGAAATAAATGAAAACCCATAGTTCTTATTTAAAATTCCCACATAAGACAATTCCGACTATTTTCCTAGATATTTGTATTCAAGAAATTGAATTTTGATTAAAGTTTTAGTTGAAATTCAATAAAAATCTTCAAACATATTAGCAAATTCAATTCAATTTTAAAAAATGTAGTTCTGAATGTTTTTTATTATTGATTTGTATTTGCAGAACTTTCGCTTAAATGTTTTCCAACGTGATGTTTTCTATTTTATTTTTCAAGCAGGATTGTGAAAATTAACGAATACAGAAACTCAGAGGATTTTATGAATATAGTCTCAACTCTTTCGAGAGAAATGAATCAGTAAAGTCAAAAGTACCGTGATGGCTGAGTTTTGATTGAAAAAACAACAAATTTTATTTCGCGTGTTTCATTAATTTCATAAAACAGCAAAAATTGACAATTTATTGATTTCTCGATACTTTGTTTCTCAAAAATTCACATAATTGTCAAAACTTTAATCGCGAATAATTTTATTCCCGTTTTACAGATTTTTTTCCACGAAAAAAACACATTTTTGTAATTTGTACTTACGAAAAGTACAAAATTCCATATTCCAATTGCAACAACAAACTTTCCAATGAATTTCCAATTTTAAACCCTCCCAAAAACACTCACCAATACGCCAAAAACTTGCAAAAAACCAGAAAAACGCCAAAAATAATAAAATAAAATCACATGATCGATCGCTCGTAAATCGACACCACGCTCTCAGGGACACCACAAACAAGTCTCAACGCGAAAAAATGTGCAATGGGGCGCATTTTCTCCTCTCTTTCCTTCCCTGTGTTTTTATATTTTTATTATTATATCATTTGGTTTGAAAATAAAATATATTTTAGTATTAGAACACTTTTTTTCAGTATGAAGAGAAATGATCCAATTGAATTTATTTTTATAAGAATTTCACTGTTAAATTTTGGAGAAAAACTAGATAATTCAATTTTTTGTCCTATTACACTGTACCGTAACAAATGAGATTTTCAGTATTCTCAAATTCCATGTCATTTCAAACCCACAGAAAACTACAATAAAATTTCTTTTTCCAGTGAGAAAATGACAAACAGTTTGGGATTTGTTTATTTATTCATTTTATTTTTGTTCCTTTTTTCTTCTTCCTTTTTTAGAGTATTCTTTGTGTTTTCATACATAAAAAAGAAACAAAAGAAGAAGAAAAATGATGTGAAGAGATAAATAAAAAATATATGAGTCACGCAATTTTACGTCAATATCGACGAAATATCATATATAAAACATCATTTTCACTGTTGACAATGAAAAAGAGCCGAATAAATGTCTGAAAAATGAGAAAAAAATTCGTAATACATTTTAAATTTTGAGAAAAAAAGCTAGACTATGATGCGAATATAAGACGAAAAGAACTAAAAATAGAATTGGATCGTTTTATAAATATCCAATTGTTGAACTTTTGTCAAAGTTCATTAATTTTTTTTCAGGATGATGGGAAAAGTACATGCGAACGAAACAAGAATGCTTGATTTTCTGGAAAAATTAAATTCATTTCAATGTAGAATTGAATAAAAATCGGCCAAAATATACCTTTCTGAAAAAAATTACATTTTACAGAAAAACAATAATCATTGATTTTTGAAACAGATTTTAGTGAAGTTTCTAAAAATTTCACAGATTAAAAAAGAGAATTATTTCGAGTTTCCTCACAGTTTTGTGTGAAAAAAGTTCAATATGAAAGGAGCCAGTAAAAAAATTCAAAAATCAAGAAATTTAATACATGCTTGGAAATTCTTTTTAAATTTCAAATTGCCTCAACGCCCAGAGGATTGGTGTGTGCAAACTGTTTTAAGTTTAGGAAGATTGGAGCTTTCACATTTTTTTCAATATTTCATCTCCATGGTTCAAGTTTGGGAAAGTTCAAGTCAGAGGCTTCGTGAGTGGTCTCAATTAATCTAACGGCCTTCAAATAGATTTGACAAAAAGTTCAAAATACCTTGGCGATATCACAAATTTCTTAATTTTGTACAAAATTTGTTTTGTATTTTGAAAATAAATGAGACCGGTGAATTTTTCGTTTGATTCACCAAAAGTATATCGAGTGTGAAACTTCAGAAAGTCCAGAGTAACCAATGTTTATTTATATTCTCAAATCAAGGTTCTTGAAAAATAAGATACATAAATCTCCTTACTCTTTTCATCAATCATAAAATGGTCTATATCCTGTCAATCGAAAAAGTCACGATCCAAATGTAGAACATTTTGAGTACATTCCATAAGTAAAATTTCTCAATAACATTCTTTGCCCTTTTTTTTGCCACGTGCCTTACGCAAAAAAGAGCCATCTAAAACAAGTCCCGCCTATTTTTTGTGTATCTCTTTTTCCGTTTGGATGGTGTGACATATCCTCATTCAACAAACAGCATCCCATCCAACATAAAACGGCGCTGCCAATATATAGTGTTCTAAGATATTCATGAAATCGGTCATTTCATTCACTCTTCCAATGCCAAGAACTTTTATTTTTTCGTTTCTCGTATTTTATCTATTTTCATCAACATTTTTGTTCTCAACAAGTTTGGCTATCAAATGCCGAATATATCACGATTTTTATCAAGATGGACAACATATAACAATGGTTCCGGATACATGTTATTCAGGTGCCGATTATTGTGTTCTTGCTATATATCGGGATCCAGATCCAGTGAAGAAAAATGGATTTTCAGTTGGCTGTGATGTGGTTGATTGTAAAACTGTCAATGATCCGGCGTATAGTGGATGGAAAAAACGAAAAGATGGAATGATTTGTCGAAAAAGTCGTGATTATGGGAAATTTGGCGAACTTTGTTGTTGTGACACACCAATGTGCAATAATCCAAGCCAGGCAATTCAATTTATCATTGTATTCGTCTTTGTGTTTTTCAATATTCTATTACTCTAACAGTTCTTTATAATAATCGAAAACAAACAACAACAACAACATCAACAATAAAAATAATAATTGAAAACGGGGTATGTAACTTCACCATTCTTTCTTTCTTACTCGAATTGTTTGGTTGTGTAAATGAACTTTTTTCTGAACAATTTTACGTATTTATAAATACTTTGAATGCATTTTTTATCACGAAAGTCCAACAACATTTGTAAATGGAGAATGAGGAAAAAGATGTCAAAATAACAAAAAAATAGGCGGAACATGAATTCCAGCTTTCAAGGTTTGTTGAATTGGTTTTTGAGTTTTAAATTAGTTAAAAAAAACCTTCTTTGTTATATAAAAACTCTTCAAAAATCAGAAAGTACTAGAGTTCTGATGAATTGATGAGGGTTCACGAAATTGTGACAACAATTTTAGGTGTTTCTTAAAAATTGTCAGGTTTTACTGGAAATTTCAGTAAAAATATACATTCGAAATGTTTGATCTTGGAAATTGAACTTCCTATTGAAACTAGTGTGTTAGTTTGTGAGATATGAACATTTCAATTTGAAACTATTCTACTATGGAATCTCTTTTAAAAAATTGAATTATCAAATCTCAAAGTCTAACTTTGGGCCATTCTTTTCTGTAATTTGTATGTTTCTTACCTTTGATTTTCACTGCACCAGTTAATCTTTTGGGCTTTTCAAATTGGCACATTTTTCGGGATTTTGGGAACTCAAATCCCTTTCTAGATTTCTCTCAAACAATTCCATCATGTTTTTTGAGTTTTCTCATACAAATAGTAATTCAGAAACATTTTCCCAGGTTTTGAACAAAAAAAAACCAGGCAAGGAAAAGTGTTTTGCACTTTTGTTCCAAAACAACATTTCCCTCAAAACTTTTGAAAAGCAAAAGCGACAAACTAAAAATAGTGTATTTACAAATCCATCCAAATCAATCAAAAACTAATCCAAGAGTGTCACACTCACACCAAAGAAAACCCATTTCCAACAACTCAAAAAACTCTGCGACATGCCAATTTTTCTTTTGGATTAGACGAGAAAAAAAAAGAAAAAACACCACAACAAAAATTATAGAGACTTCATCATGTACACATTATATGTATGCTTTCACAAAAAAAAATATTTAAAAAAGTAAAACTCATTCCAAAAAAAAGTACAGAAAAGAAAATGGTAGAAGAACACAAGAAAATTTCAAGAAATAAAATCAAATTATGCAATTAAAGCTTACCGAGACCGAGAAAAATAATATGATTTTTTGTTTGTAGTTTTAGTTTTAAAGTTTCAAAGTTTTTTTAAAGACAAAATGATTTTCAATAAACACAAAAAAATGTTCCAAATATCCGTACACACGTTGATATATGTATGTAATAATAATTACATAGATTTCGAGAAAAAATGAACATATATGTAAAATTGGGGGAGAAAATATGTGCTATGAACAAGAAGAATATGATGCTTTCAGATTATTTTCAGCACTGAGTGAGAAGTACAAAAAGGAGGAAAACAGAGAGAGAGAGAGAGAGAGAGAGAATAAAACAATATAGAGAGGTCAATATGTCAGAATGAAAGCTCACACGTTTCCAGATTCCTTTGAGAAATCCTTAATTATTATTGGATATTATAATTATTAATTATAATTATATATTTTCTAATATGGTGTGAACCGGTTGATAGTGCGATATGCTGGGTTGATTGGATAAGTTGGAAGAGTTGCAGCTGAAAGAGCATTTCCAAGATATTGCTCTCCAAGAGATGCTCCAGATTGAGCAGCACCTAGAAAATTGAAATGATTTTCATATTTTCTCAAGAAGATTCTGGTAGAGCTCATGTGTATGTTCTTCCCAAAAAAAACTTGAACTAACCTTGTGCAGCGGCAGCTGCAGCAAACTGCAATCTTGCTTGTTCATTAGCCAAAATGGCGGCTTGAAGATTAGCTTGATCCAAACCAAATGCTCCAGCTTGTTGTAGAGCGCCAGTTTGCAAAGCGGCAGCATTCAACATCAACGGTTGTCCTTGCAATTGTGCCAATGGGTTTGCAGCAAATGCAGCTTGTAATTGAAGAGCCGCTGCAGCTGCAGCATTTGGTTGTTGTAATCCAGGTATCAGTCCAGTTCCACGAGCAAGAAGTGATTGTGCAACAAGTGGACTGCGAAGCAAAAGTGCGCGATTCATATGAGCTTGAGCGGCGAGAGCAGTTTGAGCAACAAGTGGATTCATTGTGTCGAGAATTCCAGTTGGTGGTTTGACTTTCTTTGAGTGAACTCGAGCTGTGGCACAATTCACTTCAACTTTTCTTCCCTCAATCATTGAGCCGTGCAATTCTTGACGCGCTTTTTCAGCATCCACTGGTCTTTCCATTGTGACAAATCCGAAGCCCTAGAAAAATCAATAATATTTTTTTTCAATTTTCTATATTATATCTCACCTTTGATCCACGTTCATTGAAAATAATTTCAACATCCGAAACTGGTCCATATTTTTCAAACATGGTTTTCAAGTCAGGATCTCTGAATCTGAATGGAATATTCGAAACGTGCAATCGTTTTGGTCCTTCTGGTCCAGCTGCAAAAATTTTGCTTTGAACTTTGAAAAAAACAAATGTTTGGCTGAAATTGGGGGTAAATTGTGTGCAACAAACACTTTTGGTTTTTGATTAAGAGTTGATCACATGAAAAAAAAACAATAGGGTGAGAAGACATCTAAAATCAACAACTGAAAATGAAAAAGGTTAATTTCGAAAAAATGTCAATGCAATTTCCAATTCATTTTCATGATCTGAACGAACATGCTTCACAATTCAATTAACTGCAGAGATGTTTTTTCTCGTTTTCTCATTTTTTTTTAGGTTTTCAAAAATTGAAGAGAAAAAAAATATATATAGAGAGAGAGGGCAAGGCTTACAGCTAGTGCTGGGATCGGGTTGAGTGACTCCGGCGTTAACAATTCCGACTGCTTGAACAACACCATTTGCTGATGAAGTTGGTGGAAGTGGTCCGATTTGTGGACCAATTTGATTGTGCGCAGCAGCGGCGGCTGCCAATTGTTGTTGAATTGATAGTTGCAAATCATATTCGGCCGAATTTGTTTCGTCCTGCAAAACAAAAAGCGCTCATTCACAGATCATGCGCCTTAAAAACATTGTTTGTCTTTTCCAAAACTGTATTATTTTCATAATCAATATATTTTCCAAAAAAAATCTTCGTGCTAAGTTCCTCTAACTAACAAGTTATTCAAAAAAATCACGTCTAAAAAACTTCCAGTCCCAAAAAAAAACCCGACATGCTCTACAAACACGTGTGTTAACTTTTTTATTGTTTTGGATTTTGAGATTCAATTTGAAATTTTACAATAATCATAGTTATTTAACTAAAAAATATTCTTTCTGGAATTGTTTTGGGAAAGCTCAAAGGTAGGAAGGTTGCTGCTACATTCCAACACACACCAAAAAAATAAAATTTTGTGAAACGAGAAAGTGAACGGGGGTGAGAGAGCATAACTATAATAATAATAAACATTTTTTTTTGTAATTGAATTTTGCAGTTTGGCTTCGTTATTTTGAAAAAAATTGTGCAAAAATAAAGTAGTTAGAAAAAAATGATACAAAAATTAACTAACCTTGATTTTATCATTGTCAATGTGATTTAATGATGGTGCACTTGTCGCCAACATAATGCTATTTTGATTGTGTTGAGCGGCTGAAAAAAAATATTATGAATTTCCAAAAATCAAAAAAAATTAAAGTAGAAGATTGGAGGAAGAAATGATATCTATGCGTGAAATCTATCTAACAAGATTCTGTGTTTCGATAAGTCAAAAAGACCTTGTTTCTTCATGAATTTCTTCCCAGTTACCAGGCCAATGAGGGAAAAGAAAATTGAAAGTTTTTAAAATTTCTTATCTTTTTTGTTGCAGAAAGATGGGAAAATTTATGTGTGCTTTTCTTTTTGATTTTTAATACTTTGTTGAATTATTATTATTGAAAAGGGCAACCATTTTTCAATCAAAAAATATTGATCAAAAATATTTATATCCCTTCAAAAAGAAAATGTGGGACCTCAAAGGTGTTCCTTTCTCCAAAAATCCCATCAATCATCAAGTTTCAATGATTTATCCCTTCTCTTTTTCATCGTTCTTCCACACACACACACACGCGCTAAAAAACAATTTCGAAACATTTCCGGGCGCGTCCGCCCACCAGCCTGAACAAAGAGAGGGGCTTACTTTTGTAGAAGAGGGGGGCACATAAAGTGCATAGGTCACTCAACAACAGTGTGTTTGAGGAACGGTGCGGTACGTTAGAAAAAAAAACCAAATCAACACACAGCCACACTGTTTTTCGAGTAGGTGCGCAAAAAGAAAGGGAGAGTACAAAAATGACCATGTTGATGAAGAGAACGAGAGAAGACAACCGCAAAAAATCAGAGATGGCACACTTTTTCGACCCTCATTTAAATCAATCAATAAATGAGGATTTGAATTGATTTGCTTTAAACATGCATGAATATAGAAACAACATCAGGATGAGTAGGAAACAATCGATTTGGCGTGGCATTTTTCTCCCATAAAAAATCACATTTGGTGGCCGACGGAAATGAATGTAACAACCAACATTATTATGCTTGTTATTATTTTTTTTGGGTGTTTGCCTAAGTTTTCTATAGAATAGCAATAGAAAAACATGGTTTGGGGTTCTCACAGAACATGATATTAGGGGTTGATTCATGGGAAAATGGAAAAATATTCTAATAAAAAGTGCATTTTCTGTAGATTGTTTTGTACTAAATGGCCACACCTTGAGCCACATTTTTTTGGGAAAAAGTCTGGGATAAATTGGAGATCAGGGACCGATCCTTATCATTTAGAGCCTCCAATTGTAACTTCAGGGCTCAAACAGGAAAGTGGAAAGTTCAGAATTCTTTGGGTGCAAATCTAATTCGAACATCCAGCCTAGAATCCACTTCCAATAAATTTATCCAAATTATAGGACCTTTTTTGGACTATGTTCTTTGTCTCAGCCTCAAATCCTTTTAGAAATAACTTTTAAAATTCCAGCACGTCTGCTCGTAAAATCATTGATCATTTTTTGCTGATCAAAAAATTAAATCATCACCGGAAATTCAGAAATGTCTATATATCTCATCATTTCCCATCATCATCAAGAAAAAATAGCTAAATGCAACTTCCCGGAAATTACAAAACTCAAATTTCCGATCAGATTATCTTTTTTTCGCCATTTTCGTCTCTTACTTTCATTTTCAAATGACATCACACACGCCTCCAATCCAAAAAACTGATAAGAAATCTAATCATTTTCTCATTCATTCTCCTCTCCGTTTACCCTTAAAAATACTAACCTGCCGCGGAAACTGCTAAATGTTGTTGTTGTGCTGCGAGATGTTGTTGAGCTGCAAGTTGCTGATATAACAATGCATTCTGGCCTTGCAATAATCCCATTCCAAGTGATTGATTTTGTGCAGCTCCAGCTCCAGCTGACATTTGATATAAGGCTTGCATTGGTAAAGCCTGAAAAAATTCAAGAATATTGGGGAATTTTGAAGGATTTTTTGCAAGAAAAGAATTTTTGTTGCATTCCAAAGGGTTACCTTAATTTGAGGGGATAATTGCGGCGGATAAAGAATATTTGGTTTAGTTTCAACCATTTTATTAATTTTATTATCAATATAATACACGTTTGACGATGATGATGATGATGATAAAATAATAAAGGGTCCAAAAAATATATAATAATAATAATACTAACAGCACAGCTTACTCACACTCTCTAACTCCCTCTTTTCTCTGTTTCTTTCTTTCTTTTCCTACTCTCTGCACAAAGCGGCTGGCCTATTCTCCGACTCGCCTGACCTTACAAGCCGCTGCGCGCACACTGTGCGATGCGTATAATATGTGTGTGCAATGAGGGAGAGTGTGAGAAAAACAGACGATTTTTTAGCGAGAAAAAAAGAAATAATTTTTTTTTGAAAATTTTTGTCTGTTGAAAAAATAATAGTTTTTGTTTTTAGGGTGTTAGAGAAGACGAGAGGATTACTTGGTTTTTTGTTTATATTTTTTCATATTTAGTTTGCACTTTAAAATGAAACTGATTTTTGAATTTAGGGGATAAAAAAGATAAGATGAGCAATCGTAGAAAAACAAGGAAAATATTTTAGATCCACATAGAAAAAGAGAATAAAAATAAAAATAATCTAATTTATATCTATACGACAAAATAACAAGGAAATAGGAATAATATAATAGTGATTCCTTTTTGTCTCTCTTCGGTTTCCTCTTTCGACTCATCTCATTAGGCGCAAAATTTAATTAAATTTAAATCCCGGAGCCCCATGGATTTCTCTTGCTTGCCAATGTGAGAACAAAAAAAAAACACAAGAAAGAAAGAAATGAGAGAGAGTTAGTTTGGATGAATGGATGAATCAATATTAGAGCAAAAATCGACAGTTGTTGCTCATTTAAAATTACGAAATAAAATGAAATGAATTGAAATGAGTAACAAAATGAAGTGAATCTTCTATTTTATAATGTTTTTGTTATTGTTGAAAACTATTACTCAACAAAAAAAAAATAAAATAAAAGGAAGCAAAAAATACAAGGGGTATAAAAATAGCAGTAGAAAAAAACTCAGCGGGTGGTTGCGCTAATTAATGTTTTCTAGTATTTTTAACGGGTTTACAAGAAAATAATGTTGTTCGACTGCCTCACAACCAGATTTATACACACATTTCCGAACAAAAAAAAAGACAGATGGTATCCTAATAGGTAACATGTGTTGGAGAAAGGGATCGTTGACTTTTTTCTTCGCTGCGCCCGCCTTCACCCACCAAAAAGTGTTATAAACAATTTTTGTTTATTCCATTTCCCAAAAACTTGCTATTCAAATGGGAAAGTGCATTTATTCGAAGAACAAAACAATATGTTTATGGTGGGGAACACAAAGGGAAAATGGAACTTTTTTATGAGTAGATCTAAACTTATGAAGAGTTTTGAATTTCTAAGATTTCCAAAAATCATTTGGTTTTTATGAAACTACTAGAAATTTGAGAGCTTCAGAGAAAGTTCTAGAAAATTTCTGACAAGATTCCACAGGTTTTTATTGGTAGATCGAAAAGTGTTTTCAGACCTACAAAAAGTTCAGATTTACAAGAATAATACATCCAAATCTAAAGTTCCAAAATGAAAATCATTAAAAAAACTGTTCATTTTTCTCGACCCTGAAAAGAATTGTAAAAAAAACTGTATACCTCATGTAATCGTGCCTTATCTTTGAAATTGATCAGACTTTGATTCAACTTTTTTTCAAATCAAAGAGAATTGGAACGAGGAAAAAAGAATTGAGAAAAAATGAAACCGTAATGTTTTTTATTTTTGCTAGCGATTGTTATTCTCGACAATTATAGGTAATTATGTGGTGTGTGGGGAAAAAACAAAACAGAAGCCAATCTCAAAAATCGCATAAAATGAGACACTAACTAACAATGTCAGAAGAATCGGAAAATCGTGTCGGAAACACTTTTTTTAACTGCGCCCGCCACAAAAAAACAGATATAATTGCCGCGAATTTCTAAACAGTTTTACTTGATTCTTTTCTCTCAAACGCTCAAATTAGCTGAATAAAAATAAAAATAAGAAAATGAGAAAAAAACAGAAATAAATTAAATTTTCCCATTTTCATTTTCATTTCTGCGAAACGCGTCAAACTTTTTTTTATTATTTTTTTCTGCAGTGCTCAAAGAAGCAAGGATTAATGAATTTTTCGGGAGTGGGAAAATGTGACAAGAGAGGGGAAAAATGAGAAAAAATTGAATCATATTAAGTTGTTTATCCCTCAATCCAATCATGCGCCTTTTTTTGTACATTCATACAAATACATGTGCACTTTTTGGGTGAAAAAATATGGAGAGAGAGTGAGAGTTTTTTGTGTGAAGAAAGGAATCAGTGATGCACGAAATATTATGACGACGTCATGAGACTGATTTTTGAAACATTTTCAGACCGGAAAAAATTTTTGGGTTCTGAAGTGAATTGCTCATTTGGAAATTCTGATCATCTGAGAATTGAGGGAGAATTGAAAAATCAGAAAATGCTGATATTCAGTTCTGAGGTACTTCAGGTTTAGAAAATAAATAATATTTTTATGGTTGAGGTTGAAAAATTACTGAAAATCTCCCAGAGTTTCCTGATTTTTGCCATGAAATTGTTTAAAATTAAAACGTTTCAACGTATCTGAAGTAGTATTGAAATTAGGACTCAAAATTTTCAGATTAGGCAATCAATCTAAAAAGATCGAAAACTTTTCAAAAAAAACTGATTCAAAAAATGGTTGGTTATTCCAGTTCATGAAATATTTTTCAACAGAAAACCACAAGGAAGTCTCATGAGCTACAAATTCTGGAATTTGCAGAAAAAAGTTGATTTTTTTTTGATTATGAGAAAAAAACAAAAACCACAAAACAATTACTTTCTGATTTTGCAAAAATTAGAAATTAAATATAATTACTGTAGTGTGGGAAAAACAAAAATGAAATTTATTCAAAATAATTTCATCTGCAAGTGAAAAGGTGTGAAAATTGTTGAAATTATAGTTTCAGAAGAGAAATTGAAAATCTCAAAAAAAAAATTTCTTTTGGGAATTCTAAATTTTGTGGAATTTTAAAAATTATGGTTTTTCTAATTTTTCAAAAATTAAAATTCACAAATTAATCATGAGAGTATTGAAAACCCAGAACTTGAAAAATCTCCCAAGGGCTCTGAAATTACAGTAAATCATCCCCCAATTCTCAAAAAAAGAAACCAAAAGCATTCACCGGAAAAAAGGAGACGAAAAAAAAATAGTGTTGCACATACCTCAGTTTGTAGTAATTGATCACATGCAGGAGTAGCAGTAGAAGTATTATGTTGCTGGAGAAGAGACGTGCTCTTGCTCACCTCATCATATAAATCAGCCATGTTTTCAGGAATTTCTCAGAATTTGATGCAACTTGTTTTTTCTAGGATTGAAAAAGAATTTTGTTTGAAATATATATAAATATATTTGTATATATATATGTATGTGAATGTAGAAATCTGTTAGCAGAACACAATTGGCCTCATCCGACACGCAACTTCTTCTTCTTCTTCTTCTTCTTATTTTCTTCTTTTTTTCAGAATTGAAGAAAGAGAAGAAGAAGAAGAGACTTGAGTTAGTGACAACAACAAGCGGATCTCCTCGTTTACTCCTTTTCTTCTTCTTCTTCCTATTCAGAAGGCAAAAAAGAACAACTTCTTACACGAGAGGATGCTTTCTTCTTCTTATTAATTGAGAAGCTCGAAAATGGGCGGAGCCGACGAGAGTTTCTTCAACCCCTTTACTCTCCTTCACTAAAAGCATGACTAATCACATTATCTTCACTGACTGAATTCAGAAGACTGAATTTCAGATGCATGTTACTTTACTTATCTTGATTTGGATTCAAAGCATGGATATACGCACACTTTTTCTAATGAAAAATACTAAAATTAGAAAAAAAAACACACACACATACATAAATTCTAAGACTGACGAGTAGTGAAGCACATAAAAACTATAGTAAATGAAAAATAAGCTTGACAACCGGTGGGAAAGTTGGAGGGTTTGAAAAAAAAAAGAATTTTTTGTTCACTGAAAATTAAAGAGAAATATTTTTTGATCAAAATCATAACATAACATTACGAATGATCGTTTGCAATGAATGTTTTGGAAGAATGGGCGGAGCTTGGATTATTATAAAACAAAAAATATTGTATTGCGAAATGAGGTCGAGGATTTTTTTGGGCAGATGAATCGAGCTGGGTCAGAATTACCATAGGAATCGGGCTACCAAGAAGAAATCGGGGACCGGGCTCAAAAATTAGACTTTTTCTAAATTTCCCAAAAAAAAAAGTTAGGGTAACTTTTTTCAAATAGTCAAAGGTCGTATTCCTGTTCGGTGACTAATAAAAAATGGTTACAGTACCCCATTTTTTTGGACAAAAAAAAACAGAATTAAAAAAACCGCGAAGAACTCCCAAGCCGAAATCCAAGTCATCAACAAATCTACAGTATAACTCACTTTTTCCCAAATACACAAAACTTAGACACTTTGCAAATATTTGAGAGAACCTGTCAAAACCAACTTATCTCTTTTCGTTTCTCAAAAAAAAGAGCAAAAAATTGCTGTCCTAACTAATTAGTTAAACCAAATTACGAGTGCTCTTTCTTTTCGTTTCCCATTCTCTGATTCAATTATATCGTAGAAGAGTTACTGTAACTCAATGTTTCCAACCTAAAGTGCACTTTGTCAACAACAATATGATAACAAATGCATGAAACAGTAAAAATGTATAACCGGCAAAAAAGACAAAAAACATAGAGAGAAGGAGGAAGGAACATTCAATAAAGTGATTCAGTCTTTTTTTGCTGCCATGCAAAAAAAAAAGTTTTGGAGTCTTCAGAGATAGAAATATATAAGAAAATTATTTTTTTTTCAAAAAAAAATAAAGCAAGCGTCTGAAAGAGAAAGAAAAAGAGAATATTCAATAAAAGAAAAGAAGAAGCTAGGAAAAAAAAAAAGAAAAAAGTGTAATCGAATATTTTTTGGAGCTCTTATTCTAGTTTGGTAGGAAGCAAAAATGTAGTCATTCACGTGAAAACTAATTGCGAGCCGAGCCGAGATTGAAAATCAGTCATGTGTGAAAGCTCGATTTCTTTTGAAGAAATACGTATGCACAATGAATGAATGAATAATTCTCATTTTCATTTTCATTTTCGAAACAAATGGCATATGTTTCGGTTTTCGAAGTGAAAGTCGGGGGAGAAAAGGGAAAACCAAACTCACTATTTTATGAGCTCATTTCGTTTTATGAAACACACTTTCTTCATCTGTTTTTCTGTTTTCTTTTTTTTTGCTTCAGCTTTTCTCTTTTTTTTTTCACTTTCAATTTTTGGAAAATTTCAGGGTTCTTTAATTTCTTACGAGAGGAGATTTCGAGATTTTGAACATGATCAGAAAATTTAGAATTGAAAACTTCTGGATGTTTGTATCGAAATTTTTTGCTCATGCCTGATTTTAAGTTAGGCTAATAAAAAAATAAAAAAAATATTTTCGAAAATGTCTCTATCAAAAAATATAAGACAATAGTGAAAAAGACGAAAAATGTTTTTTTTTTCCCAAATAAATGTACAAACAAACGGGGGGAGCTGAATCACCATTCAGCAAAAACAAAAATCTTTTTTTATTTCTTCTATTTCTCAAATAAAATTTCAAAAAAAAATTACAGTATTCTTCACTCTCTACATATTTGATAAAACATTAATCCGATTCGGAAACTAAAAAATTAACATAATCGGAACATTTTTCTAGATAGAGAGAGAAAATTTGTATGTATGTATATTTTTTTTAGAAAAATATAAAAAATATTTTGAAGGAAGGGGGAAATACTTGTTCAAAAATATTTTTCAAGAAAAGCTTCTTCTTCACAAAGAATCATCATGAGTGCTTCTTTTTTCATTCCCCCTTTTTTTCTTTCATTCATTCTTCGTTGCACAAATTCAATCATAATTCTGAGAGGTTTGGCGCTTTCTGATTGAGATTGGGAAAAAAGGACAAAGAGATCAGAAAATCGCAAGTTTGAGAGACGATAAAAGGTATTATTGAAATATATACGCTTCGGAGAAAAAAAAAATAAAAATGAAGTTGTTGTCTACAAAAAAGAAATTTTTTCGTAAAAATTTGTCTGGGAAAATCGGAAATATATTAGTATCTTACAAAAACTAAAATCTTGAAAAATTTTTATCGAAAAATAATTGAAAGTTACAACAAAATATTACGAACCATGAGAATGAAAACAAAATTGTTCTAGAAAAATGGGCGGAGCCTTATGGTTCGTACAATTGTGAAATAAATGCTCATGTATTTGAACTTTGTGCTTTTAGACTTTAAAGCAACACCCTCGTATAATAAGGCCATTGCGAAATGCTTTCAAACACCAAAATATATAAAATTAACCTATTCAGCTATGTTCACAAGAAATATGAAAAAGAAATACTCAAAAACGATCAAGTTTGACCGATTTTGAAAAAAAAATTATTTTTTTTGAAAATCGCCTGCAGATTGTGCAGATCCGCAATTTCATGACATTTGTGCAAACACTGTGACGACAATTGTGTGCTACAGTACCCCTTTCAACTTTTTTCCAACAAAAAGTGAATTGTTTCACTGAAAACAATGAAATAAATTATAACAATGATTTCTGAACATCCTTAACTATCTCTACTTTCATTTTTGACAATGATATTTCAGTTTTATATTTCATATTCCGGTCAAAAACTAAAAAAAACACAATTTCCCTCGAAAAAAATTAGTTTTCATCTGATATATTGAATCTTAGTGTTTATACTTCTTCACTGTATTTTTTTCATACCCAGAACACAGTTTTTTCATGCAAATTGTCATTTTCCGAAAAAAACCGAAAAATTTTGCGAAAAAATAAAAAGAAAACAACGAGACTCCGCGTTGACGCTAGCCCGCGTTGTTTGAATTTGAGTTTTTTCAGTTTTTCAATGGGCTTCCATATTTCGGCGACTACTTATTCAAACGTTTTGAATTTATTTCTCCGAACTAGAAAACAGTAAAACTAAGCTAAATCTAAGATTTGAGAAAATTTGTGCTTTTTTCAAGAAAGTGCCTATTATACGAGGGTGTTGCTTTAAATTTTTAATTGATGGGAACGTGATGCAAAATGTTTAGAAAAGACAATGTTTTTCGAAAAATGAAGAGGTCAAATGAAAAATATTCCCAATTATTTTTAATTAGGATGTTGTTGGACTTTTTTGGTATTGTGCCAACTTCAATGAATTTTCGTGCGAATTGCGCCTCAAATGGGGTATGAAAGGCTCTTCGGAATAAGACGTGAACAATTATTTTTCGATCAAATTTCGACTAGATGAAATCTATTTTCAAACTTGATTCAGAACATTCTACAGAAATGAATCAAAAATTTTGAAATTCGCGCATAATTGCTCATTTCTGTTGTCTTCAGTAACTTTTCTTAGTTTATGGCCGGAAAATTGAATTCTGGCAATCAACGACAAAAGCTGTGTCCCATCCCAGCTCTTCAGAGATCATCCAAACTTCAGCAAGCCAGATAGAAAAGATTAGAACAAAAGTCAAATTGAAATGTGTACAGTCTGTCACATTATAGTTCTACAGTGTTTGAACACTCCAAACAGATAGAAAAAGCTGCAAGATACTCAAAGAACGAAACATTTTATCGATTAAAATTTTCCCTAAATCTTAGCGCATATTTTTGTTCATGAAACGTTGTTAACGAAATATGTTCATGAAACGAACATCCAGAATTCTGACAGAGAATCAAAGCACATCTACAATCATATCTACAAGATTCTACATTCACATACATAACTACATATATATATATATCAAAGAAATCAATCTAACATTAAATCGTTCAAAAATACTCACCTGAATTGGATTAGATTAACTAAATAAATAAGCAAAAAGTAAGAAAGAAAAATGAGAAGGAAAAAGGGGGGATCAAGTGAAGTGTGTTTGGTAGATATATAATATTTGTGTATATCTCGAGTTGCTCCTGCTCTTCTTATTTTATTCTTTCCTTGGATCAACAAACGCAGAAAAGAGAATGATGACGGGGCTGGGAAGATGAAGAAGTGCTACGCACAAGCGACCTTTTTTCTCAAGATGTTCCCCCCAACTTTCAAGTACATATATATATCTCCTCATATATACCTATATTTGTTAGAAATTTATCCAACCCATCGATACAATAACCAAAAGAGCAAAAGCTTGGACTTTTCTTCTTCTATTTTTAAATAAAGCCTCCGGCATTTTTTCTTTCCCTGAACTAATTGTTTTGTTGTTTGAGAAAGAAAAAAAATTATAAATGCAAGTAGCGTGTGAAAATGTTAGTATTTTCCTCATAAATCTAACTCATTGTAAGAAGGGAAGCATGGAAAAAACAATAAACGTACAACTAATTAGTATCAGATTACGTTCCCTTCGGTGAAATTTGATAACTTCTAATTATTTTGAAACATGAGGGGTTTTGCTCCAGACGAAGCACGAATCAAGTATTCTGGGAAAACAACATTTGTTGGTTTGCGTGAGGCTTTGGTTTTTAATTGCTACTACTTTTTTTTCAATATTATCACAGAGAACACACCTTTTCTAACATGTAAATAAAATAAATTATATATACGATTCCTTATTTTCTTTTCATTTTTAATATGAAAAAAATATATACGTGGCTGGTCAACATCTGGAAAGCAAAAATTTATGGGCGACTAGAGACATCTGGAAATGAATTTGGGGTTTTGTCTCATTGGATTTTTTATTATGCAGGTGTTAAAATAATGAGGGATTACTGTAGTGGAAAAAAAGTTTTGGCAACAGATGGGATAAGGTTTGGAAGTTTTTTATTAAACGAGAAGACAAGAGACACGGGATTTTACAATTATAGGTTTTCGGGGACTGGAGGAAAATCTTATGAGAACATTTTTTGTGTATAACCTTTATGAATGATTTTTACTATGATTTTACTATGAAAAAAACAAGATTCATTTAAACTCTTCGGGCAAAACACGAGAAATTAGCATAATTATTTTGAAAAAAAAAATACAATTCTTGGTTTTTTTGGAGTTCACACAAGATGACAATTTTTAATTTATGATTTCTCATAACCTTCATCAATGAAGTCTTCATTTTTTTAACTATGTTTTCCTTTTTTCAATATTGTTAGATCCTAGCTTTATATTAGAAAAACACGAGTCACAGAGCCAAACAAAAACAACAAAAACATGATCATAAATAAAAATTGGCAAAAAAAGAAACTAACCCATGCCGGCACTTCAAAATACACCATCCCGTCATCGCCATTCCCTGCGCCGCCACCAGCAAACATGATATACTATTCTTGTTTTGTTGAGCAATAAAAATGAGACCCTGGAAGCAGTAAGAAATGCAAAAAAACATCATAAAATCGCAGGCAATTTCAATTTCATTTTCAAGAAAATAAAAGACACGACGAAAAATAAGAGAGAATATTCTGGTAGCTCTATGAATAACAAATTCAATCATACATAAGGTGTTTAGAAGAATTTATCGATTTCTAACAACACGAAGAAGAGGAATAATTTCGATTTTATTTTTATTCCATTTTTTTCGCGACAATCAACTATGGGAAATGTATCATGAAAATGAACTTGGTTTTTTTTTACTTTTAGGACAATTTCAACGAAAGTGAATTGAAAATTACGGGTTATATGTACATATGGAAAATTTTTTTTTCTGAAAAAAAAAGACAAAAAAGTTCACAATTTTATTAGACGTGGCAAAAAAGGGGGAGAAAATATGAATGAGATGAAAGAAAATAAAAATATCCTCGTTATTTTTGGTTGGGGGCACTCTATTATTTTATTTTATTAGTATTTATTATTATTATTTTTATTTTTATTAAAAAGAGTAGAGTAGAGTCAAGGAAGGAAAATAATTAAATTTGGGACTACTATATACATTTTGATGCTTATAACTATAAATATCAAAAAGTTAACAGAGAGGTTGAGTTGCTTTTGAATCCATATAGAGGCCGATTTCGGTGATTCCAATTTGGCCAAAATTCTGCACGCTTGATGTATTTTGCCAGGCAATTATGAAAAACTGCAATAATTATCGGATATTGATTGAGTTTTTCGATGAAATGTTTATTTCGAAAGGAAAAAAACGAGGTGGAAAATCTGGTTAAAAATTCTATGGCTGTGTGAAAATTTAGAAAATCAAAAGTGTTTTCACAACTTTGATTTTTTTCTTCCCAGTATAATTATGAGAGAGACTTTCTGTAACTCGTTTTTCAAAAACGATTTTCTCGCTGTTTCCCACATTTACATTAAAAAAAACTTCCCACCATAATCGTGAAATCCTAATTTGAATATCAATATGATTTTTATATTAACACTCTTCTTTTTTTCTTCTCTCTTACCGTAGTCAATTCTTGCGGCAAACGAACAATTTCCTTTGTCCATTTTCTAGCAAATGGTTCCGAACTATTTGCATAAACATTCCAAAAACAATGATTTCCTTGTCCATCTTCACAAACTGACAAAAATAATCCTTTTGTGTATAAATATTTTTTGAATCCGAGGTATGTTTCAGGCGAGTCGCTAACCGTAAACTCTGGAGCTTCGAGAACATAACGATCTGCTGGTTTTTCTTTGGGATATTTTCGAAAACCAGTGAAATCAGCGACAAGAAATGAGGAATCTGAAAAATATGTATGAAATTTTGAGAAAAAATACTGTCTGATTGTGAGTACCTGTATCTTTTCCCGGAGTAATATGAATTCCGGTCAACTTATTAGCTTTGTTATTCACTATTGATGTAATTTTCCAGCCAACAAAATAACCTTCACCCTTTGCGCCAATTCCAGATCTTTTATAATCACATTGAGCATCCGGTTCATCCATAAGACATTGAAGAGTTCTAAGAAATATAGTTTTTTTCAGAATCCTCAGAATTCTTGAACAACTTACCGACAATCATTCTCATCAAGATCATTATTTGAATCATTGTTCTCAACTAAAATCAATTCCCTTGACGCATTCACTAATGTTGGAGCAGCTTGTTGAACTACATCGTGCGATAAAATTTTTCCGGGGTTTTGTGGTGTGTCTCCAGAAATCACATTTTTCTGAACTTCATCATCAGTAACTTCATATTCTTCTTCTTCCTCATCATCCTCAGATTCCCCAAATGGTTCTAATTCTGTGGATTTTATTGGGATAACACATTTCTCCGGTTGCTCAACTTCAGAAAAATATTCAATTTCGTCCAATAAAATGAGTCCTCCTTCAGGCTCATTGATGAAATTATATCCACGTAGAACTATGACAAAAGGTTCGATGATTGGTGGAATACTTGCTATAACAGTATGATTATCTGTAGGGATTACAGCCATACAATTTTCCAGCTCTTGTGCCAACACTTTTCTTGTGCAAATATCAAGAATTGGTTCAGAGCCAAGAGTTCGCGCACGACTTCTCCAAAATCGAAAACTCAGAATTCCTGGATTCTTCTGACATCCAATAGGCATTGAAACAAGATGTCCATCTTGTGAAGAAGGTCGAGGATTTGAAGCGAGTATAAAAAATGTTTGATCTGCAAAAATTATAATTATTATGAGAGTTTTGTTAGAAAAAACTTCACCGAAATTTCCTGGAAGTGATTGTGATCCAGTAATCAATGAAAGCTTCATCGAATCAACTCTTCCTTCTCCAAGAACCCAATCCAAATCATCTTCAACAGTATTTTGCCAACTACAATTATTGACAGATAAACATTGAAGATCTGTATCTTTTTTAGCGTAATCGGAATTTATTCGATGTTCGGAATATGCACGAGCTTTCACATTTGCTCCAAGAAAACCTAAACAATTTATCAGTGTTCAGTTTTCAGTTTTTTCAAAGAAAATTTCTACCATTATAAGATCCGCTGGAATATTGTTGCCCATAATTTCCAATATGTGATTGACTATCAAATTGTTGTCGACAATCAGAATTATATCGATAAGAAGCTACAGAACATCCACCTTGATTTGATAAACATGCTGAAAATATTTTTCCGGTTAACGCCAAGCATTTTTCGTTTTTTTTCGATGTGAACTATGTAAACCGGTTAGAAAGTGTAATTAGCTTGACCTATGTTATTAAAAATATATGAACCGATTATAATTAAATAGGAACCTAAACCTGACTGCGATGGCGAGAGGAAAGTCGAGACAAAGTCTCGATGCGCTTTCAAAGATCACTAATTATAGCTAATGAGAAAAATTAGATTTTTGGACTTTCAAGATTGATTGGGTTGGAGAGGAGACGGTTTTCGAAGGACAAAATTAATTGAAAAAGTTAATAAAAAGAAATTGTGCTTGATGATACCATGAGTGAATATCCAAGAAAGAAACAATTTTGAAAATCAACGGAGAAAAAATCAAAAAAGTGATAATAGGAAGTCTGCCATTTTTCTAAATTAAATTTTCAACATTTTTGAAGAACATCATGTGCTGGCCCTTAAAAAGAAAAAAGTTCTTCTGCTTACTCCGTTTAAAAACACTGAATTGTGTCCAGAAAAAATCAAGAGCCCAAGAGTTAGTAAAAAAATATTTTTAGAAAACCATATGAGCGTTTTTTTGGTGATTTAAAATTAGACAAAAAATTAATTAGATTTTCGAATGAGCGTGACAACATTATCCTTCATAAATGATTGAATTAGTATTTTAAACTTGTTTCAATAAATAAGTTACTAACTTTTCGTGTTAGAGAAAAAATATTTACACAAACAAAAAATTAAAAAATGTTCAGAAAAATTAGAAACTCTAATATCCTATGTCCCAACAGTGTTTGGAAAATCGTTTGAAACACTGTAAAATTCCAGATTGTTTATAAATTTCACATAAAAAATTTGAGTTGAAAACAACCTTAATATTTTTTCAGAATACTAGAATTTTTTTTGTTTCATTAAGGATAATCAGAGAAACCCATAAACATTTTTCACAAAACCCCCATACAAAAAAAAACTAACCATCAATCAAAAACTGTTCTCGTATCGAATACAGTAACAAAAATATATATAAAATCATCTAGAATAATAGAAATAATATTAATTTTTGGTCATTCAATTTCTAACCATATTCAAATTTTGTTACGTTCGAAATGTTTCTGAATCCTTCTTGCTAATTATTCGGAGGTTGTCCGCCTCATTTCACTTTTACTTTTTTTTTCTTTTCCCCTCCTGCTTTCTTTAATTGTTCAACTTTCTTCAATTACCGTAAATATTATTATATTGGGACAAGACATGGAGGTTTTTTCGGAACAGGAAACCGTTTCAAGAATATCATTTTTTTGATCTTGAACAAAAGGTTATCTGAAAATATGGCGGTCTGTGAAAAAATGTGCAATATTGTCACCTGTATATTTTTTGGATACACGAGGTGCGAAAAAATTATCGGAAATTTAGCAGACATCTGTGAAAAGAAAACCAGGAAAACGTATATTTTCCCAAAAATGTGTGAATTTCGGCACCTCTAGTATTACCTGGGAAACACGAGGTGCGAAAAATCTACATCTGTTATCTGATAAAGTCGGGTTATGTTTTGATGATGGGAAAAATACTTTTCTATTATGGTGTGGTTTTTGTGAAGGATGAAATAGTTTCAAAGAAGTTCACGGCAATAGGTAAAAAAATTTCAAAAAAGGAGATAATTGTGCTGATTTTTTTCATGAAGCACTCTATGAATTATATAGTTGGTGAAATTTTAAAGATAAGTTATTTCTGTAGAAATCAGTTCACTTTTGAAGAAAATATACAATCAAAAATTTTTCTTGTTTTTTAACAGTGTTAAAAAAAAAGAACCAAGCCTTCATTTGCATGGAATAACGCGATTCACATGGAAATCACCGAAATTTTGAGAAATTTTTGCGATGCATTTAACGGTCTGCGTTCTCGAAAGATGTTAAGAACAAGAATTACAATCAAATTCGTAAAAAATTTCAAGTTTTTCGTTCAAAAAATGACTCGTGGCAAAATCAGGAACGGTTTCTAATTTTGCCATAGATGACGTCATCAAACAATTTTTCAAAAAAACTTATTGAATCTCTTTTTTTGCATAATTATAAACATGACCGTCTCCGAACAGAAATTTTGGTTTGGAGACATGATGTTTTCTCAATAATTTCATATCTGGAAGAACTTTTAAATTTTCTTGTTTTTTAACAGTGTTAAAAAGCCAAGCCTTTATTTGCAAGGAATAACGCGATTCATGTGGAAATCAATTTTCAAAATTTTTGCGATGCATTTAACGGTCTGCATCTAACGGTCTGCGTTCTCGAAAGATGTTAAGAACAAGAATTACAATCAAATTCATAGAAAATTTAAAGTTTTTCGATCAAAAAATGACTCGTGGCAAAATCAAGAACGGTTTTGAAACTTCGGATTTTTGGAACCAAATGTTTCAAATAAAATAAAAAGAAACACTATTTTTTCTGGAATTTATTTTCCGAAACCATTTCTTTATTTTCTGTAAACTCTTGATTTTCCCAGTTGTCTATTCTTCCCAAATCATTCACCTGTCTCCTACATATTTCCCAGAAAACTTCCCAAAATCATATTTAACGCATTCCCGGATAACATAAGATGTTGCGAAGGGGCGTGTCTGAAAAAGGGGCGTGGCCTACTGAAATCACCTATAAAAGGGGAGCAGTGGACGGCATAAATCACATCTCTCTAAAAAGAGTCTCTCTAATATTATCTCACTGATACTATCACTCTGATATTATGTCTGCTTCAAACGTCCAATCAGTCTCTCCAGATATGGAAAGAGTTTTGAATATGCTCAAAGTGACTACAAAGTTGCAAAAGACAGTGCCTAACCGTGCATTGACCACAGAACAATTGGTTAGTTTTTTCATCTTCTTCTTTATAATTTTCTTATGAACTATAATATTCAATTTTCAGGAAGTCAAAATGTTCCTCAGCAACTTTGTCTATACAATGATGAGAGAAATCATCGACCACGGAATTGTTGAAGAGAAAATGCAACTCCGATTCTTGGACCAAGTTCGGCAAATCAAAGATTATGTGCAAGGAATTTTGTGCTCTCGGTCGTTTTTGGAACGTCAAACTCATCTTTTTCAACATCTTCCACTCTACCTTTATCCATTCAACGATAATTTGAAGAGGGAATTGGAGGAATATAAATACAGCGCTACTTATATCGCTGCAATGCGAACTGTTGTAAATTATTAATGTTCTGTATTTTGTTTTTTTTTCTAATAATTATTTTTGTGTAATTTCTGGTCTAGTCAAAATAATAATAAAAAGTGAAAAATTAAAAACTGTGTTGAGTTTAAAATAATTTACAGGAAAAATAGTCTAGATTGATCAAATATTTGTAAGTTTGTCACAAAAATTTCCGAAAAAAAATAAACAACTCGTATCATTTTCCCAATTCCTCTTAAAATATTTTTTATTATTCTGAGATAACAATAAAAACACTTTTTTTTTCAGAAAAAAAAGTGCGTTCTGATATGAAACCCCCTTACAAAAAAATGTCAACGAAATTGATAGTAGACTGAAAATAACACCCTGTTTTTTTAAGTCCTTTCTTTCACTAACTTCTTCAAACAACAAATTACCATTGTTCATTGAAATTTACTACCAAATTTGCTTCTGTGCATACTAAATTCGTGCCAAAATCGTGTTATAATCTGTATCAATTGTGTTAATTAATTTCATCAGCCACTCTGTACCACCCCAATAAACGACAAAATTATGATAAGAAAAAATTAAACTCATATAAAAAGTTGTAAAACAAATTATTCCTGTCATTTTCTGTCAACATGGTGTGCTTTGGTTGTATTGCTCTAGTCTTGCTGACCACTTATGTGATCTACAAAGCTTATTTCTATTTCGCATCTCAATATAATGATAGATATTATGTGCAATCAGTGGTGATTTCTGGTTGTGATACTGGATTTGGAAATTTGCTTGCTACTAGATTGGCAAATCAAGGAACTTTTGTTATTGCCGGTTTATACAACTTAAAGGTATATTTTTTTGAAGAATTTTCAAGAGAAAAAAATATTGAACACTGTCTTTGTAGAATGAGCATTCAATCCGTGAAAACATCAAAAATCAAAAGAATATCGTTTTTCATCAATTGGACGTGAGCAAAGATGAATCAGTGAAAGAGTTTGCTGATTTTGTTGGAACGACTGTGAAAGGTAAAGGTGTTTGGGGAGTCGTTGCAAATGCTGGAATTCTTGGAAACACTGGACCAGATGATTGGTTGAATGTTAATGATTATATTAATGTGAGTCAGAGCTGGGACGAAAGTGGAATTGATTTTGTTTTTAAATCTGATTTTAGATTATCATTTAAGGTTAATCTAGAAAAACTTCATTGTATATTGTGTTTGTGATCTTTAACTTGAATTTATTATCATGATCTAATCACAGCTAGGAAAATAGAATATCTTACATCAGTTTAAGATCAAATTTGGTACAAATATATTTGAGAACGCGCGCAGAATAATCTTACCATCTTTATAAAATCTAGTTTTTCAGACAATGCAAGTCAACACCTTCGGAGTAATGAGATTCATTCAAAATCTCAAAAAATATGTCAAAGTTCAAAAAGGAAGGTAAGTACTTATTCTCATATCTCTTTTCATTTCCACCTAACAAAAATATTTGCAGAGTTGTCATCATCTCATCAATTTCTGGAAGAACACCAAGACCAACAGTTGGACCATATTGTGTTTCCAAACATGCTGTCGAAGCTTACGCTGATGTAATTCGTCACGAACTCAGTGATTTTGGTGTCTCTGTGCATATGTTGGAGCCTGGATTCTTCACAACACCGATCACTCAAACTGCCACAAATGATTTGGATAAAGTTTGGGAAAGATTGGATGAGGAAACTAAAACAGAATATGGCAAAAAGTTCTTTGATGATTGTGAGTTGAATTTGAATTTCAAATTATTTTTTAAATGTTTTTTTCAGACAAAAAATCTCGATTCTCCCGCTTATCTCACTGCGCTGACAATTTGAATCCAGTTCTTGATGCTTATGAACACGCACTATTTGGAACATACCCAAAATCTCGCTATTGGGTTGGCATGGATACAGTACTTTTCTACATTCCTTTGGCAACTCTTCCAACTTTTGCGCAAAATTGGTTTATTGCTATTCAACGTAGAAATCGACCAACTCCAGCAGCAATGATTGAAAGAACTCATTAACTGTTGTTTTTATTAATTAAATGATGAACAAATAAATATTATTAATTGATAACTGGAGCAACAACTCTATCCATCATCGAACATACTTGCTTACCACGTATCAATCTCAAGTACCTGAAGACAAAAGTTACGAGCAGAATACTACTCAAAAACTCACCCATTCTCACCCCAATTTTTACCCCAAGAATTTTTGACAATCCAATAATCTTTCCCTTTCTCGCTTCCATATCCAACAATAGCCATCGCATGAGATCCCAAAGATTTATCAGCACAGTCTTCTGAAGAGGGATGATATATTCCAGAACGATAGAATAATAAAGGTCGAGTTGTAGTCATGGCAAATGTCACCGGTCCATTTTTCGCAATCCAGTTTGCTACAAAAGTCTCGTTTTTTGGTAAAAATATGTAGGCATCGATGGATATACGTGTCTGAAAATATTTTATTTTTGGATGGAGTGTTTTGGAATAAGGTACCAAGTTTTTGGTTCTCAAGCATTTTTCACTGTCAGCTGCTCTATATTTGTATTCCTCTTCTGTGCACAAACCAATTTCTCGCACAAATCTAGAAAAATAAACTTGGTTTTTCTGAATTAAAGTGAATACTCACTCCATTGCACTTGCTGTTGTCCCGCCAGAACAACCATAATATTTTGGATTACAATCCAAAATTTCTTGCTCTGATAAACTTATCAATTTTCCACGCTTTATTGAGTTCAAACTCTCAACTGTTGCAACTGTTGAAAACGCCCAACAAGATCCACAATAACCTTGATCTTTGATTGGAGTTACGTGATTTCGTTCACGCCAATCAAAATGAGCTGGGTGATCCGTGGAACTTGTTTTCCCCTGTGTTTCAAGTGAATATGATTGTGTGATGCCATTCGAACTCGAGATTGGAACAAGTAAACTTTTGAGTTCATCATCTGTTCGATCGGAAAATTGAGTTACACCAAGATTAATACCGTTGTGACTGAAATTGAAAAAACAATGTTTATTGCAAAAAATTTTCAATCATATGTAGTTACCGTTTTTCATCTTCCTCGTGTTTTCTCACATTCCTCATAAAAATACTAAAACGATGATCTTTTTCTTGTTGAGACCTATATCGTTTCTCATAAACATGCACAAAGTCTTCAAACATTTTCTCCAACTCATTCATATTTTCCAAATAATTATAGTACACGCCAAATAATCCAAGCACTATCAGAAATAATAAAATACGGTAGCGATATTTTTTGAGACAACCTTCAGATTCTTTCTGAACTTCTTTCTGATTGGCAGATGGAAGAAGATCATTTTTCATGATTATCGGAAGAAAAAGAAGAATTGAAGATTGAAGAACATTTTAGCAATTTTTATTATCAGTCGGAGTTTTCATGAATATTCATTTCAAAATCGAAGACGCTGGCAAAGCGAATTTGGCCGCCTTTTTTCAATGATGGGCACAAAATAAATTACGGAACAGAAAAAAGAAATGAAGGATCTAGGTGGCAAGCTTTTTCTGGAAAGATTCATTTTGAGAAAAAACACGCCGAAAAAATACATTTTTTCTGTTTGAACCCACCTAGTTCATCCTTTAATTTAAAATATTGAGCTTTTGGTACACACTTGTTATTGGATAACAAGAGACAAAAGTCTTTTACTGGTATCCCCCAGAGGCTTCACAGAAATCTTGATTTTGTGCTCGGTACAAATGATATCATGTGCTCCACTTCTGAAATAGAATTTTTTCAACGTTCCTATGCCAACTGTACTGATTGTTTTTGTGGTTTTGCTCTGGGGTCCCTTGAGATGGCATCCTATAAAACCAAGCTTCCGTCTTCACTCACTTTCAAATGAGAAAATGATTGGTTTCTTGAAAAATGTTCATAAAACAACTCAATTTTTCTGCGCAACAACTTCTGTTCTACTGAACTCAACACTGATTGGTTTGATTATTTTCAAATCTCCAAAAAGCATCGGTTTTTACAAATATCTCATGATCTACATTTCATTGTTCGAAGCAGTATATTCGATTTTGGATGTTTCCGCTGAACCAATCATCTTTTCTCATGGAAGTGCATTCATCGCTCTCACCAATGTTCAAAACTCTTTTCTTGATAAATCTTGGATGTTTCTTGTCATCATAATTTATGCCGGTTGTTTTGGTTTCTCACTTGCTCTTTTTGCTGTCCATTTTCTTTATCGATATAGTATTATCCGATTGTCTTTTGGTGGAAAACTTCTGCACGGTTCGAAGAAACAATGTCTTTTTGTTATTCCCTTGATCTATGGTTTTTGGTGGACCTATTTATGCTCGTTGTTTTCACCAGATTCCGAAAACGATTCTTATATGCGCAAGGCAATTTTAGACAATTTCAATCTTAAAATGGAAGATTTGACCTACGTGTGCTTTTTATTCTACAGAATTGATCACAAAGGAATCTCAACACCCAACCTCAAGGCGTTCATAGCCATTTTATGCATGATGTTTATGATAGTAAGTTACTAATATTTTTACAAAGAAGCTTTTCAGTCAACTTTTCAGCTCACTTCAATGTTTTGTGTTCTCTATTTTGGCGTCAATTGCTATAAAGTAATGAACCACGCATTCCTCGACAAGCCCAACGAATCCGTATTAACCAAAAGTCTTCAAAAACAATTATTCTACGCATTGGTAATTCAAACGTGTATTCCACTAGTTCTAATGTATATCCCAGCTGGTGTTTTGTTTTTGACGGCAATTTTCGAATTTCCAATGGGCTCTGCTAGTAATATTGTGGCTATTACAATTGCTATTTATCCGGCAATTGATCCATTGCCAAATTTATTGATTATCACAGAATATCGGAGAGCTATCAAGCAGTTTTTGATGGTGTATGTGTTTAGAAATTCGTCAAAAACAAATAATACAAACATCGTTCTGAATCGGTTTTAATAAAAATAAAATATATTTTTCTCGTAGAAAATTATTAATAATAATCATAATTCAATTCTGAACAAAAACTCGATGTGGCCTTTTAAAATATTTTCGCAAAAAAAAACACTTTCTGCTTCATCAGTTTATTTCTACCTTCTACAAAAATCATTTGAATGAAGTCAAAAATCGATTATACTTATTATCATAATTATTATTTTGTGTTCACTTTTTCGATGGGATTTCCATAAGATCCTCGATTCCCTTCCTTCTTTTCTTGCTCACATTCTTCATCATCTTCATCCCCATCTTCTTCGTTGTCACTTTCCGGAATGCGATCAAGTTGCTAGAAAACATATATATATATATATTTAAATTTTTCATAGGCACATATCAAAGCAAAAAACAACTCACTTGACAAAGATCTTCAGCGCTGCTGTCCGATAACAAGTCAAAAAGAAGACCAAGTTGAGGATATTTTCCACGCTGATAGGCTTGACGCATTTTCACTTCGACTGGAATGTCTTCTTCTTCATCAGACGAGAACATCGAATCTGAATCTGTGGATGACAGAGATCCATCATCGGATTCATTCAAATCTTCATTTTTGACAATTTGAACAGTATTTTCTTCTTGTTCTTCCTCTTCTTTCTCTTCATTGTTTGATTTTCCGTTGAAGAATGGTTTCCACAAACAACAGAATGCCATGATTTTCTGAAAAAAAAAACGTATTTTTACAGTAAACCAAAACAAATAAAAATATTAGGAGAGGATATAAATCCAAACAAAAATAAACATGCATTTTCACCAGAAAAGTGTGGAATGAAAATGGCGGATTATCTCAATCTGGCATACATATTCATTTTTTTAATGTGGACTAAACGGAAAGATAAGCTAGAGTGTTTTCAGAACATCCAAAAGATGTCAAATGTATGTACTGTCTTATCATTGAACAAGAAAAAATGAACACCAATCTGATAAAAAGCAGTTTTTTGGACATATTGGTTGGATTTTTCTCAAAACAAGGTTCATTTTTCAAAATTGAAAATAGAGAAGTTCACAGTTCAAAAAAAATTAATCAAATGAAATGCACGGTTTTTGAATTGAATCCCTGATCGGTCAATTATTATGTTTCTCCGTTAAATTTTGATACAGTATGCATTTATTTGCTTATTGTAATTTTTATTCCGCATCGTTTGACAACTATACAACCAGAAACATAAACATTGAAATCAAATCATTATACAAATAATTGATAATCTAGCTACCAAACGATTCAAAAATTTATCAGTGCTCGAAAAGGTATTAAAAATTAACTTCACCATTTACACATGATAAGTTCATTTTTCATCAATCGAATAATTTCTCAACTTGTGTTGAAATTTTGAACCATTATTTTTCGATTTCTAATTTTCAGATGTCTATGTATGGTAAAGATCGTGCATTTATCGAAAATGAACAGAGGTTCCGACAAGATAGAGATTATTTATCCGGACCTGGTTTAACTCAAAATCAAAATTATTCGGCACCAAGTTATTCAACAACAACTAAACCAATGACAAATTATTCAAGACTTGATGATGCGATGTTGATCAATGATATTAACAAAACGAAAGAGGTGAGCTCAAAATTTTGAAATCAGATATTATTGAACATAATTTAAGGCATCAAATGTGCAAACAGTTGAACAAGTTGAATGCACACCGTTTATGTGGTCTCACCCAATGGGACTTCTTAGATGGTTTCAGTTGATTATGTTTTTCATTTTGCAATGGTTAGTTCAAATTACTTGCGGTGGAGATGCTTGCACAATGATTATGAATGTTTTCGGATATACAGCGATGGGTCAAGTGAGTTTGGGGAGAAAAATCGATATTTTTAATGAATCAGAGTTTTTTGAAACTACTCTGAAATTAGTGAAAATGAAGTTATGTATCTAAAAGATCGAAGTAGGACCCACAAAAAAATATCCACGCAAAATGCGGCGCTTTGATATTGCCAAGAAATTAGACAGATAAAGCTTCAAACAATTTTTCTATTTTCTCACTATCAAGATCAAATACCAAATTTTATACCCTATTCAAATCTATTTTTACCCAGAATACCAAGAATCTTGCAAACTTAGCAGACGTATAATATCAGAACAACTGAAATTTCAACCTGTCTCAAAAACATCACTGAAATCATTCTCAAAAACCAAAAACTGGTCTGAACATTGAAAGCAAAAAAAAAAACTGAAAAATGAGCGCGTGAAAAATAAGAAAATATTCCAACCGGAAATTGATATACACTTGTTAGTATCTGCAAATTTTCTTGAAATTGTACACTTACCAAGATTTGAAAAATAATATAGAAGTATAAGATGTAAAAATAATCAAACATGATTATTAGTATACATGCATAGGTGGGCTAAAAATGAAAAAGAAGTGTCTGAACTTTTGCTAATTTACAGTATCCAATTATAATTTTTTCAGCTTTTTGTGCTCGTCATTTTTCTTGGTCTCTCAATGTTTTGCGCACTTATTTTGCTCGCCTTCATTCTCAATGCTCATAAATCGTTTCCATCTGCAATTTTAGCCATGGAGCGAATTTATGCAATTCTTGGAATCGTTTTTATGTTTATCGCTGGCATTTTGGGAACATGGATGGCAGTGTTGGCTAATAATCCGGATGTGAATTATCAAGGACGAGGACGTGGACATATTCAAGGACAATGGATTGCAGCCGCTGTGAGTTAACATAACTTTGAAAAATGGAGATATGTATGTTTTTTAGGTTCTCGAATTTATAATGGTCTTTGTATATGTATTCGACTTGCTGTTACAACGTCGTGAAGTATGGATTAAACCAAAGAATATGGGTATTTCAATGGGGGAAAATTTGGAATAAATAAAATCCCAGGGTATCAGTTTATTTTTAAAAAAAATGTTTCAGAACTATCCCTTCACTGGAAAGGAATACAAAATCGAGAAACGACGTCGCGCAATCAACCAGGATTTTCACAGATCTGAAAATTCTATAAACTATTTTTAAGTCTTGATGAATAAATAACAAATAAATGTGTTTTTTTCAGAATTTTTTATGGAAGAAGACAAATATATATTAGAAATATTGGGAAAGTTGAATAAAGAGAGAAAAAAAAACGTTGGAAAAAATGACAGAGATGATCCGGTGGTTATTATCTTCGATTTTTTTAAGATTATTAATCAAATGGAATTTTTCTTATTTTTCTTTTTTAAAAAAACAAAAAATCGTATCGACTATCACAAAAAATAGTGGGGGGATTGTATTGTAGAGAAAAAAGATCGCAAGAGATGGGTATACAAATAGAATAATTTTGTGACAAAATATAACAATGAAAGGTTTTCAAGGATAGTTTGGTTTAGGTTGGACTAAAAAGACAAAAAAAAAAGGTTTCAGAATGCAACTTTGAAAAAAAAGGATGATTTTCACAACATGTTAGGAATGAGTCTGATTAGCAGACGAAAAACAAAATACAATGAGATATTTATATTAGTTTAGGCTTTTGAGTCGAAGAATGAATAGGTTGGATTCTCATATCCGTTGACTTGCATACCGGCAACGTGACGTTCTTCTGGAGTGTAAACATCGACTTCGATGAATCCACGCATAGCACGACGACGTCTAACAACAACCATCAACATGGTGATGCAAATGACTGAGAAGACAAAAACAACAAACATGAATTGACTGTTGTTCAAGAAGTCTCCCTTTTTGTGCTGAAAATTGATGAATTTATTGATATATCTCTGGATTTTCAAACAAACCTCTGATTGAACAAATTGGTTGCGTTTGTAGAATGATTGTGGTTCATCAATGATTGGTTCGATGTCAACACGAAGTTCCTTGATGTTCTTATCGTCTTCATCTGATTCATCAGATTCTGATGAAGATGTGTTGTCGGTGTTATCATTGTCGTTTTCATCGTCATCGTCAGAGCTATCGTCTTCAGCTTGAGCTGAAGTAACCTTGGTTTTGATAGGCTTTGGTGGAACAACATCAAGAAGCTCTTTCTTTGGTGTGATCTCAACAACTTTGGTTTTTGGTTGTCCTCCGGCGATTTTCTTGCGTGGAACCTCCTCATCATCTTCATCCTCGTAATAATCATCATCATCGTCTTCCGAATCGCTGTTATCAGTTGGAAGAACCTTGACGGAATCTTTGTCTTTTGGTTTTTCAGTGGTACTTGGTGCTTTAACATCAAGTTTGGCGCTTTGGTGAAGTTTCTCATACGCTTCAGTGTAGAGTTCAACAAGTTTCTTGCTCTTGGCATCTTCTGACGAGTTCAATGATTTCAATTCAGCGTCAGAGAGTTCTGGAGTGTTTTCACGGCGATAATCTTGCCAGAATGAAATGGCGACTGGTGCAACATATTTCTCCAAATCTGGGAAATCGTGGAGCATAGCCAAAGTTCCATTGATTCTCAAATCATAATATCTGAGTTTGTGCAAAACATTTGCTCTGTAAACATTGGCTTCTTCTTGATCAGTTCTGACCAAATGTCTGTATCTGTTCAATGTGTGAATACGATCCTTCTCTTCAGCCTTGATGTAAGCTTTCAATGAATCAAGAACAGCGTTCTTGTTTGGCTTGTTGAGATGAGATGAAAGAGCTTGACGATATTCATGGGTAGCCTGAAAAATAAGAAAATTTTTTTGAAATCAGATGGTTTTAAAAACTTACATCTCTCTTCTTCTCATTGATCAATCCTTGAACACGTTCCTCATGAACAGCTTCAATTTCCTTTTTCATTTTTCTGTGTTCTTCCTCGAGAGATGCAACGATCTGGAATTAATTGAATTTTCCTTTTATTATTCAAAAGTTCACCGGAAATTACACTTCCGATTGATATTTTCTATATTTTTTCCTATATTTTATCCAACAAACCTTTTGGAATCTGGCATTCATTGATGTTTTGAAATGTTCAGCTCCCTTTGGATCTTTGGTCTTCATCTCAGCATATCTGGTTTCCAACTCTCCCCATTCTTTCATAACCTTGTCAACCTTTCTGCGATGTTTGGAGTTCATGCGATCTTCAGCATTTTTGAAGTCTTCGTGCTCGTTAGTCCAGTTGGCAGTCTTGAAGTATGGATCTTGGGTGGTTGATTCTTCCTTATCCTCATCTGATTCTTCAGAATATTCTTCATCATCGTATGCCATATCATCTTCTTCCTCATCATCATCTTCATCTTCGTTGGCTTTTTTGTTCTCTTTTTTGAGTTCTAAAAAAATAAGAATAAACAACTTGGTCGCCATAGAAACAAATGAGCATGAAAACAACTTACGTTCGCCTGGGCAGCAAACAAATTCAACACCTGTGAACATATCAATTGCACAAGGTTCCAAAACAGCAAACGATCGAACAATCATTGGTTTGTTGCTCGATGTTTTCTTGGCGGAACATTGCTTTGAAGCCTCTTCCTTCCAATATTTGTGTTCGCTACATTTTTCGCGAGCACTGACATGCGAGAATTGGCAGTCATGTGGAACTTGAAGAGCTTCTGAATGGAACTCTCCATCGATACATTGATATGGTCGAACGCTATGTGTCCAATGACATGGTGATCCTTCTTCGCGACACCAATTGTCGATCGAAACTTCGTGCGAATATTCAACAATGTTTGTAATATTCAATGATGGATATGCCTAAAATAGTTTTTTTTCCAATTAGCTAATGACATTTTCTCTTATTGGTAATCTTAATACTCTCAATGTTCTTACAAAAATCAGCTTTTCTTTTTATTTCTGCTAGTAATCCCTCGATCAATCATATACATAATCCTAATCTAAAATATTTTTTTTTCATTATAATCTCATCAGCAAAAAATGTCTACTACCGTAATCCGAACAGGTGAAAATACAAACTTTTATTCTTTTTGTCTAGATAGATTTCAGACACTGATAGGCACTAACCTTTTTACAGTATTTCAAGATGTCCATTTTGCCTGTGAAACATGAGGCATATCTGTTTTCGTCAGTCTTCCAGGATCCATTTTCCAACATGTATTGATTGCGATATCCGCAAGAGAATGCGACCAATGGCACGAATTTTTCGTGTCGTTTTCCATCTTGAATATATGAGGAAGCGACTACAATCGGTATAAGTAAGCCAATTATCAGTTTACCCACCGTCATGGCTGCAAAATGAATTTTTTTGATAACGAATGAATCGATAATTATGACAAGTTAGAACGAAAATTGAGGTCAAAAAAAGAAAATGAAGATGATAGGGTCGGCGAATAAATTTATGAAATGAAATGAAATAGTTGGCGGAATACATATTATTTATTTCATTAGGTTTTTCAGGGAGAAATGTCGAAATCGTTCAATCAAAAAAATCGGGCGCCAAACTATTTAACCTTCCAATTGAATTCGGGTAAGAATGGAACACAGATAAAATCAATACTCTTTTTTTTTCAAAAAAAGTTCAAAAATGTTTGAGAAGAAAAGGATGGCGCAAATCGAATTTCAACAACAACAAAAGAAAAAAGTAAAGAACTACAGTATCTTTATCTATCAATCTATCTATTGTCAAAAAAAAATGTTTCTTCAGATTTAATGAGAACGGCGTTGAACACAACATTAAAAAAACAGAAGTAAGGCGGGGTGGATGAACAAAATCATATAAAATGTGAGAAGAAGGCGAAAGAAGTTTGGAAAGGGGCGGAGCTTGTAAGGCTTGCGCTCTTGCCAAAGGAGGGGCTCGAGATTATTGATAGCCAATGCAGGCGGGCGGAGTTAGGAGCAAAGAAACGAACAGCGTTTTTTTTCGCTTGTTGTTGTTAGCGGGCAGGGAATCAGGAAATTGTTAACTCGAAAGTATTACTGTACTTCTTCAAAAATAAATTGGGAAGGGAACAAAAAAAGAAAATTCAACTGAACTAAAGTTCTGCCGTGTAACTGGTTTTGATTTTGATACAAATTAAAAATGACAAGTGTTTTGATAAACTTTGATTTGTTTTTCTTCAATTGTTCCCTGATAATATAAAAAAGTGGGTTAAAATGGGGAAAGAACAAGAACCTGGCCTCAAAGGATGCCTATGCGGTGAAGCCTAAATTCACTGTGGAGGATTTTGGTTAGGTTAAATGGAAGTCTCATCTATTTCATACGCTAAATATTGAATAAGATCTCACTTATATAATTTTCGGCCACCAAATTTTCAACGTTTTTATGCCTCACCGGAGAAAAACAATCCAAGCTGAGCTTGGAGTTTTCAACAGAGTCGGAAGTTGGAGCCCTGAAATGATGGCCCGAAAAAGGGACTTCGTTAGAGCCTCAAAACCAGCGAGCTTTACGTGATTCTCAAAAATGTATCAAAAAACGTACAAGAAAAATTTTATTACATCTGAACTCTCGATAAAAATAATTTCCTGCACTATTTTCCCATTTATTAAAAATAGTGTAAAGTTCAAACTGTAAATGAAGAAAAAAAAAAGAAAAAGCAGAGTGTTTATTAAATAAGGCTTTTCTCTTGTCCTTTTTTCCAACCAACTAGCAAAAATGAACGAACGAAAGAAACAAAAAGAAAGGAAGGAAGAAAAAAAAAGTCTGTCATCAAATATCGGGGCCGAAAAAGTACACAACTTTTTGTGGCTTCTTTTTTTTGTGAACCAAAGAAATTCAATTTGGCTGAAACAAGTAACCAAAAATAGACATTTTTGACGTCGGAAATGAAGTTCTTATCTCATGGTTTTTTTTTGCAAAAGTGACAAAAATATTTGACGTTTATAAAATGATGACTCGCTGATTTTTTATGCGAAAAAGTTATTAGTAAATTTCTCAAGGGACTGTGATCGAAAAAGGAACTGAACTGAAACCAAACTAACAAAAATTCCAGAAAATGTCTGCGTCTCACAAATTCCACCATTATCATCTTAACATTCCATCAAAAAGGATAATTAATCATATGACAATGATTTACAGTATCTTCTTATGAAGAATAAGAAAAAGAAGAAGAAATCAATAATTGAGGAAAGCCGAGATGGAAAACAAGAAAAAATATATTATAAATAAAAATAATAATAAATAATTTAAGAAGCTGCTTGTGAAAAGAAAGAACAAAGAAGTTGGGGTTAGAAAAATGGGAAGAAAAAAAAACATACACTCCCTTTTTTAGAAAAAAGACAGTTCCCACCTAAATCAATCAAATCACACACACCACAGTCAGTCAGACATCAAAAAATTGGGGGGAGAAAACTATAATCGGTGCGGTTAGGCAGATGATGATGATGATGAAGAAGAAAATGTGAGTAGAAAGTTGGAGGGTGAGGTAGAGAATAGGAGAAATACAAATCAAAACAGTACTGGAAGAGACGCAGAGAAACCGACCGGTTTTTTGTATTCAACTTTGCTTCTTTCAAAAGTAGTGGTAGAGGCAGATGGTTGAAATGTGATGTACGCTTTTGTGTGTGTGTGCGTATAATACAATATGTGTTTTTGTTTTGCGGTTGGAAAATTGCGGCGAATTGAAAAATATTGCAAAAAAATCCGGCCGTTTGTGGATCGATAGACTTTGAAAAAAATTCGATTTTTCGAAATTGTGTGTATTAAAAAACTATTAAAGGCACACATAATCTCTACGAGACCCAACACACAAACCCCTCGAAAAAAATATCGCAGAATAATTTTTCTGAAATAGAATTAAGCAAATTTTACCCAATTTCAAGATGTCTGAGACATACTAGAAACTACGGTTCTAGTACAAGTAATACTAGGTCCGATTTATGTTTTCAGACAACTTTTCAACAAATATCGAAAAAAATTTTGCATCAAAAATTAGGAACACACAACAACCACTGAAGACAGATTCCCTTATCATCACCCCAGTCCCGAATCATAACCGTTCGCCTATTTTTTCGGTTGTTTCTCTCAGGTGACCCTTTCTTTTTCTGCCTCCTAATCAATAATCGGCTCGTTATCATTTTCATCATCAACATCAAAAAATCTTTCCCGCTTCGATGTTTTCAAAATATATGTCTTGTTTTTCGTTATTACATTTTTTGTGATAAGAAAAAATGAAATGTATATATATATATATATTTTTTTTAATATATATAAGAAAATGAAAATCTATTAATAATAACAAGCAAGCCAAAAACTATCTGCAAATATTATATTCGCGAAAACAACTGGAATTCAACAAAAGGAAAAAGGCAAAAAGTTGTTCGTCAAAAAAGGGAACGGTGAGAAGAATTGACAATGTCTAAACAAAAAAAAAGCAGAAAATCTGACTCATTTTGCGCTCTTTTCAAACCACAACCCAATGAAAGAAAAATATTAAACATTAGGCAGAGCGTACCGTAATCAAACAAAAAGCGACGAAGGACAAAGTGAGTATGTGGTTTCAGAAAGAGACAAAGAGAAATAGAGGGAGAAACGATAGAAATGGAAAAAAAAAGAAAACACTTCCAGAAGGTCGTTTGCGCGCCACGCAATTGATTGCGTAATTTTTCGAGGAAAGCGAATGTTTATGAGTCATATGGGGATATTATTCGGTCTGTTTCGCATTTTTTCGAAAATCATTAGCAATTCGATTTGATTTGATGACTTTCTGTTAGAAAACGTTTTTTAATGAGACTTTCTGAATGTAAGAAAAAACTTGAGAGGGGTGATTGAAGCCTAAAGGCGTACCCAATTTTCAGTAAGATAAATGTTTGCAGGGTTACTTGCGAAAAATACGCGAGAGAAAATTAATCACATGGCTATAATTTTCAGTGTTCTCCCTGATTTTGAATCAAATTTTTCCCTCACAAAAAATTGTTATCAAAATCAAAAGAAGCGAAAATAATGACGTGATGATTATTTTCAAAACAAAAATATTTTCCGAACAAAAAAAAATTAATTATGCAATTGGAAATCAAAACCAAAAGCTCAATTTTCAGACCCATTGAGCTCTCATAAATCCAGCCATAAACGCACTCGTGAAAAAAGTTAGTAAAGCAAAAAAAAAAGCGGGGATAGAAAGAAAAGCTCGTAAAAATATCCGAAGCTCATAAAACATAGTCACAAAACAAAAAGAATATACAAATTGATTATAAACTTTTTGTTGTTGAAGCAACAACAAAAAATGTATTTATCCTGCCTGTGCCACAGGAAAAAAAACAAAATTGAAATCGAATCTCTCATATTTTTTTGCGGCGAAGCTTCGAGAGGCACTTATATTGCAAAAATGAGATCGGAAAATGGAGAAAAAATGAGATGGATTGAAAAAAGTTGGGGCAAAATTGTTACATGGTCATATTTATACACCTGTTGAAAACTAAACATGCCTAAAAAACTAGGCGAAAATGAAAATCCGGACACGAGAACAAGAAAATACATGTGAAATAAAAAGAGGAAGAAGAAGAAGAAGAGCATGTCGTTTTCTCGCCAGAGCTCTTCTTTGCACATGTACATACATGGAAAAGGAAGCAAAAAAGGGGATATTGATTTTTGTTTTACACGCTTCTTGTTTTGTTTCGCACTTTTTTCGGGGGGTGTGGGTGGCGGGTGGGTGAGGAAGAAATTGGGCGAGAAAATATGTAGAGACCACACATGTTGTTATTGTGCTTGCCTTGGTGACTCGGGGTGACTGACTGAATAGCTAATTGCTTTTGTTATTTATTTATTCATTCTTTTTTTTTTCGGTGAATTCTAAAAAATTCTGATCTGAGTGAGAGAGAGACATCAAAAATCCAAAAGACCACCTCGAAGAAAAAATATAATAAAACAGCTTGACCTAGAGATTAATCTATTACATACACATATACCTCGGTTCATGGTAATAAATAAATATGTAAATTTTCTGTCTATATGGAAAAAAAGAGAGGAAAGGATTTATTATGAATGAATGAATGAATACAATTCAATTTGTAATAAAACCAAAGTAGGTAAATCAGATTGAAATGGTTCTAGTCAGTGAGATTTTATGGCGAAGCTTCAGAGCTGAAGCGGGCTCAAAATTTATTGCAATAGGGATATGATCTAGCTTATGAAAAATAATTATCATTTGTCCTAACTAACCCAATTTCAGTTTCAGATTTTAGTTTCAGTAACTAACAATGAATTTTTCATATTATGAAAATGAAAAATTGGTAATTCATTGTTAGTCACATCAAAAAAAATTCTGGAAACCCCTTTTCCCTATTCAATCTCC